CGCTGTCGGAGGCGTTTCCAAAGTCGATGAAATGAGGCAGAGGGTCGAGTTGACTGTCATTCTATGATGATGCGTAGCGTAGCGTTGCGATTTGGTCCGCACATGATTTGTACTTCCTGAATCCAGTCAGCCTGTTCTGGTTGTAGTTTTGAATCTAGCGCATCCTTCATTCTCTCCAGGATGATGCGGCTTAATATTTTGCTTACTTTGGGTGGAGAGGAGCGTGATTCCACGCCAGTTCCTGCAAAGACTTAGGTCTCCCTTCATCGGGAGTTTGACAAGGTATCCCTTCTTCCAATCTGCAGGTACCTTTCCTTCCTTCCAGACCTTCTGCAACAGTGGTGTAGTGTGAGCATGTCCGCTGTTGTCTCTTGGTCTGCCCGCAGTGCTTCTGGTGGGATCCATCTGGTCCTGCTGCTTTCCCGCATTTCAGTAGCCTTATGGCGTTCAGGACTTCGACTTTCGTCGGAGGGCTTGTGTTCACTTGTGGTTCTGTGGCTGGGGTGCTGGTGGTATTTCTTGACGAAGTGCAGGTGGTGGTCGATTCAAGAGCTTTTTGAAGTGGTCGGCCCATCGTTTCCTTTGTTTCTCTTCGTTGGTAGTTAGATTTCCTTCATCTTTTATTGGCCTAAACCCACATCTGCTCTCCTTCTTGACCTTGCGTCAAGCAGGATGTAACGGAGAATTGATCTGAAAATCCCTCTTGATCAGCCTACTTGATTGTACTGACATTTATTTTAATGTTTTTACCCTCGTTATGGATAGTGTACCTCTGACCCTAGCCCGTGTAATGTTATTTGGTTGTTTGATCGTCTTCTTTGACTTTTTACTCTGTATTCGTCCTTGTGTGATTGAGAATGATCATGAATGTTTCACTTTCCTACTATGTGACGCTGGACTGTTGACAAGGTGATGTGGTTTTACTGCGCCCGACAGTTTGTTTTGGTTCAACTTGCGATGTGCTGCGCTTTGACTGTTTGTCTTTTGACTATCTACTGGAAAAGTTTATTTGTTGATTTGATTCTGGTAGGCAGAGTCCGGAATATTCTTATTGACCGTCAGGTATTTAACAGTTGTATTTGTTTAACCAGTTTTTACAGCATAGTACTTATTCGCACCCAAGAACGTTTTGGACTGTATAGTTACCCACCGGCACTGTTGAGGTATTTTTGTAATTTTGATATAAATTAATGTTGCTTTGATAGTACCACAAGTTTCGTTACGAATCCGCTACTGAATTACTACAAGCCGTGTTTTGATATTTTGATCCAACCTTTGACCGTGCGTCACTCGCGGAAGTTCGGAAGCTAAACAGTAGAACGCAGGAACTAGTCAGATCCACGTCAGTTGGCACCGCCTAGTTATTTCATAGGTTCAGGCCAAGATTATTCGATTCAAGCAGCTACATAGGCTGCGTCTCCATATTCTTCACACTGCGATGAAGTCGATCTGCTCTATCAGTTCCAATGTGTCCGTCGAGATCCATTTCATTCCTTATTTTCTTTCTTCTTCCTTCCTAATACGGTTATGCAGGTTTCTTTCCACATCTTTCAAAGACTTCCAGTGTTCTTCCACACAGGTTTCTTCAGGGATGTTGCTCGATATCTCCCATTTTGTCTTGATGGCTGCTGTGAAGATTTCCTTTGTAGCTTCGTCCTTCAGTTTCCGAGTGTTAAACTTGAACTGTGGTCTATCACCGACTTCTTTGAAGGTTTTCAACTTGATTTGGAAGGTTCCTTGCACTAGATAGTGAGTGGTCTGAACCCACATGTGCTCCTCTTTTTGACCTTGTGTCAAGTAGGCTGCGTCTCCATTTTCTTGAGATTGAGATGAAGTCGATCTGATTTTTAGTGTGTCCTGGTGTCTGGTGAAATCCATGTTGCTTTGTGGACATCCTTGTGCTTGAACACAGTGCCTCCCTCCAATCACCAAATCGGTGAATGCACAGAATTCTGCAAACAATTCTCCATCCTCGTTCATCACTTCACCGAGCGCTTCTCGACCCGTGGTTAGTTCTCTTCGTATGTTGTCCGCTCCCGGTTTGGCATTCATGTCGCCCGTTAGAATTTTGGTATCGCCGACTGAGGTCTTATCCGGTGCCGATTGCAGTTGTCTGTAGAATTCCCCCTTATCTTGATCCGCATTATTTTTAGGTGCGTAGCATTGTATGATTGTGACTTTCCTTCCTTTTGAGTTGAACCTTGCTGTCATAATTTTGGAGGAGATCGGTTCCCACTGTATGAGTGCCCTTGATGCCCTCCGGGACATCATGATAGCCACTCCATAACTCAGTGTGCTAGTGGTTGTCGTCTGGGTGACAATATCGGAGTAAATTATTGACTCTCCAGTTGACAGTTTGAAGAGTTCACTTCAATTCCATTTGCTGTTGCAGATTCCTAGCACTTCTATGCTACACCTCATCTCTTTGGCAATCTGGGCACTCTTGACAGGTTCAAACATGGTGGGGGCATTCCATGTCCCCACGTTTACTTTTGGTTTTATCGAGAGAAGACATATTGGCCAATAGGCTTCCCGAAGGCTTTTACCAACCGGCGTCCTTTCACCTTTCCGATTCCAGCGAGGAACAATATTGTTTTTCGTTCGTGCTTTGAGGTTCCTTTAGCGTTCGGATTGATTTTGCGGGTTAGGGTTGCTAGCCGTGTGCCCAACCTTCCCTCCTTACCCAGGCTTAGGACCGACTAATAACTGGTGAGCTAGTTAACCGGGAGAGGTTAATTGGATCATTAGAGCCAGTAAATACATAATTATTTATAACATTTCGTCAACTCATGGTCGTTTGGCTTCAAGCTTCACCTAGTTGGTAACCAGGGTCCGCACATGACCAGTTATAGAGAGAAACTATCTAATTGAATAGTGGAAAACAACGAGGTCGCAGGCAGTACCGAAGTTGAAGAAAGATTTTATCCGATCATGCATCAGTCATTAAGACAGAATAGCGAACAATCCAAGGCAGTCGTAAGCTAATAGTATTGTTTCCCTTCTTATCCGAGGCGTTGAAAACTTTTGTTGCACATGTAGTCGAAACTTCATCGACTTGGATAGTACTATGCTTTCGGCCCAATGTTGTTTTGGAACCAGGCAGTCGTTCATGACAAACCTAATGACGATTTAGCTGCTAGGTGAAGCGAAAGGCCAGCGGACGCCTTCAAGAACACTGACACAACTACGTTGCTTTGAGGCTGCCAAAGCCGACACCCACTTAACCACTCTTTGTATAGTAAGACAGCAGAAAGTCCTGAAGTAAGGTTCAAAGATCTTGGCCTGTTCGATGGGACTCAAAGACAGAAGTGTTTCGGGGAGTGATCGCCGGGTCAATTCTGTTTTAGTTCATAAGTGACCTGCTTGTGAAATCACAATTCGTCGATGAGGGTAAACTATGGGTGACAATGGTTCACAGGGGTAATCTACGGTATTCGGAAACATCCAACTACATCTGGACTTTTGGGCAGCTGAAAGTTGCTTGACTTTCAACCTAGGGAAGCGAATGGTTATGAATTTCCAGGCACTTGAAAGTATGAAGACCGAGTATACCTTCTGTGCCACCTAACCACCAGTGTGCAAAAAAGGCAAGCTACGACTACACTTTTGCGATATGCTATACAGTCAGACCAACTATCAATGAGTGGCAGAAAAACAGAACTTCAAGTTGAACTTTTTAAGGAGTCATCTTAAGGCCCTTACTCATGAACTGTCCTACAAGACATGAACAAAGAACGTTTAGACCTATTCAGCATATTGGTTCCTCTTCTCCGCTGTGCAGAGACTCAAACATTCTCCAGAAGGCGCATAGAAGAGTGATAAGTTCAGACGTCGAGCTAGCAGACAAAAAATACTCGATACACCTGAAACAGCTTTATCTGCTCACTTCCAGTTGGATAAAGAAGTGACTTATTAACGGCTTATAGGATTACCTATAAAACATCACGAAACAAGGTGATATTATCGGCCGGAGGCTGGCAGTATCATGGGAAGCCTGCTCGTATGCCACACAAGAGGTCTAAAAAGGGTGTTGCATATATTTTCTTCCGTCTTGGAGTAATCGTGACATGAAATGTTCTACCAGCTAGCACCTTCAGCCGGAGGTTAAACAGACAAGTTGCGGGACAATTTTATCGGCAACCCAAGCTGTTAGTCGTTGACAATTCGCCCAATTATCTCTTTGTTACTCTACCCTAGCATCTGCGTGACTTTCTACATTTCCCCTCTCAGTAGACTCTTTCAGACAGTGACATCGGTTCACGTGGTTTACCATGGACATACCCATAGCATTACTGACCTTACTAGCTCATTACCACTTCTTTCTTATTCACCACCCATCATCGATTTCTTTTGACACACCTGATAGACTTCCCTCACAAGTAGGCCAATACTATCAACCATAACCCTTCGGGTAAGTCCCATATACCTCTCCCCACCACCCTGCTATTCCTTTTCTGATACCTATACATACGGGAGTCACAAAAGACATACAGTCTTCAGGAAAACTTGCAGCTTCCTAACCATCTCAATCTACAAATTACAATCACCAACCCACAAAAACATTTATCTCACTGGAACCAAAAGCAGGGAAGCAGAAGATATTTGCCTGTCCGCTGCAGCAGCAGACCAAACAACAGTAATTAAGCTCTAAGAAGTTGGCACGACAGATCAAAACTAGCGGTTTCTTACTCTAAGACTACTGATTTTGGCTGTTATTACAGCTCCTTATCCTACAAAACAGCCCTTATTGTGAACATATCAAGGAAGGATTTGGATCTGCAAAGTAATATCTCACTGAGCAATAAGCCTAAATCCACCTGCCAATTGTTCTGAATACTGAGGACTGGTAACCTTGATAGGTAAACGTAATTCATAACGTGCGTTTAAACGGAGTGTGAGAGTAGTCTTCAGTTGTTGCGCCATTATGAGTATCGTTTACTTCAGACCTTGTTTATTTTAGTGATTTTGATCTGGAATGTGCTCTTATTCAACATTCTACAATGGATTCTAAAACTGAGTTAGAGCTTATGAATTCAGAAGTGAGAGACCTAAATGGTCTTAATTTGCATGAAAATCTAACCGTACTGAACCTACATCACAATTGTATTTCTGAGATAAGCGGACTAACTAAAGTCTCTAAGCTGCGCTTTTTGGATTTATCCTCGAACTCTATAACAAGGATATGTGGGATGAACAATCTTCAGCACCTCAGAACGCTGAATCTGTCTTCAAATAAAATACGAATAATTGAGTCACTAGATAACCTACAGTAAGTTTTCCTGATGTTGGAGTAGAAAGCAGAAATGTCTGTGTAATCGCGCATAAGAGGTTTTGAACTATGTGTCATTAACAATAAGTTGTGCATTCGAATTCATGAAACAACTGAGTACGGTTTTGTTTCGTAGGATTTATTTAACGTCCACAGATTATAATATCCTAACTTAATAATGTATTGTCAAAGTGTGTTTCCTCTGCATTCACTTTGCGACATCGAGACAGCTTTTTTATAAACTTCTTGTAGTCTACTTTCTCTAATACTTAACGAGTCCAAACCGATGATTCAAAGATTTGGAATGTGGTAATGTTTCTCCTCATTAATGGGTCATCTCCAGTTACACTTCTGATAACTTCATTTCAACATGTATAGAAAACAAACTTGTATTGCTGTGCATTTAGGATTTTGAGTCAACCTACTTTTTTGCAGCAAATTGGGTAGATTTATGAAAGTGGAAATCTCATTCGTTCAATTTATACCAATGATTAGAAGTAATGCTTAAGGGTGTGTCTTAAGACATTCCCACTTTACATTCCAGTGCTTTATTTCGTTTCCTTATTAAGCCACATTTTAGATTGTAACCGACCCGGAAATAAGTAGCACAAAAAATTATGTCTGTTATTGATGACCACTAACAATCATGAACAAAGCAACAACAAAAATCTACAGAAGTGTAAATTTAACCGGAAGTTCAATCAGTACTAAAAATATAATAAAGAACAGATTTGCCTGAATGGTGTTATCGGATTCAACTTACTACAAATTTAGTCTCGATCGAAGGATGTGACGACGAAGCATAAGAGATACTGCCACAGAGTAGATTAGTAATGTTTGAAGATTGGGGATGCGTTTACTGTAGAAGTTTTGCGAGGACAACCTATCGGTTGATCTGATATAGCAGTGGAAACAGGGAGAACTCAGTAGAAGTGAGTTACTGTATATTTCCACTCAAGACACCGAAATTGCGAAGATTGTTTTCTTACTACAGATAAACAATCTTTGCATATATATCAATGGAAATGTACGAAACCATATGAAAAAACGTCATTTTCAACCTAAGGATTTATGGAGAAAGTATTTATGTCGTCGTCACAAGGTTAATTAAAGTTTTATCAAGTCGGTATTCTTTTTGCTCTCTTATTAACTCCCTGAATGTCAGATACACAAAATATTTCGTGAAATTATTCCTAAAGACTATATTTTTTGTTTGGATGAAGTTTTGTGGATAATTCGGTGGTTCTAAGCTAAAGTTAGCACAAATCATGCATCTAATAAGGTAATATGCGTCACCTTACACTGACGTTCTAAATATCAATTTATTTGTTGTGCTATCGTGTGAAAATACACCGAAACGTAAAATAACGAATTGAAGTATTTTAAAAGATAAATAAGAACTGACAATAAATGTACAATTAATACGTGTATAGCATTATAAAATACTGCGGTGGTCAGTGCCTATTAGGCATGACTACTGAATTATAAAAATGTCGTAGTTAGTAGCCGATAAAAAAGACAGGAAGGGAACATGAAAAACTAAAAATTAACCAAGAATCGTGCTTCAAGACTATAAGTGTGGGTGGTTGTAAACTAATAAGTATGAATATGCATTAAAAGCATGTGATTGTATCTAATGTACATGAAATCAATGTAATCACAGAAACTGGATCTAGCAAATGGTTTGAATATCAAAAAATTAAATTATTATTATTTGCATATGGTGTTCCTGTCAGTCATCTCTTCTACCTTATCTACTAACTGTTCTAGGCTTCCGTTGTCTCACTTGCTGTACATTTGGTTGTGCAGTGTCATTTCTAGTTGTTTCTGAAGGACCATTGCCGTGCGCAGGTTTAACGCGATCACTACTAACATATCAAGTAAGACTTGACCATCTGGGATGAGAAGTTTTTCAAGTAATCGTATTGTTATCCCACAGACTTATTCTGAAGTGCAAGAATCAATTTTTGCCTTTGAATGTGGCTATAATTTCAGGCAGCACCAGTGGAATTTTGGTGGACCACATTGCATGTCAAAGCAGAACAAAGTGCTATCTTAAGTTGTCTGTTCAAACGTTTTACTGCATTCTTAGAAATAGTATGGTATGTCGCTTTGTGTATAAATTAAATACCAAACAAGTTAGTCAACCTTCAGCGCAACCGACTTTCAAACTGGGCTTTCCTATTGGTAGCGATGAATAAAGGGACACTAAAGTTAGGTATCCAGTCATTCACAAGCGTCTTCGTAACGGTTTTTGTCAAAATGTCTGGTAAGGGAGCAGGAACAGGTTGGCAAGCAAATATTTCTGTGCATATGAAAAGGTAGTTAAAACCTGTAGAAGTAGGAAGTGCTTTATTAATCTGTATTTATTGGTTCAAATCTGGTTGTAGAGGTATGAAACTGATTAAGTGGAGTGTTGGTGGAACGATGAATGCTTAATCTTTGACAAGTTGGGGAAGTTTGCATTCACCCTTTTACGTGATGATTAATGTGTAGCCACAGAAATCTCTCATTAATCAACTACATGGTGGCGCTGACTCAAAGATGAAAAAGGCTATGTAGTTTATCAAAAACAGTACATATCGTTGCTTTAGGAACACGTCGTCTTAGTATCCCATCAGATGTGTAGTATGCAACTCTGAAAGTGTTAACTTGAGCTTCTACAGAAGTTAGAGAGGTTGTTTCCAAAGACAACAACTTCTGGAATTCCGAATTGCATTTTTGTATTCATGGTGGACAGTGGCAATCGATATCCGGACACATCATTGAGGTATGTGCATAACGAGACACCGGCAAATTCGTTACTGGAGCATTTAATCCATCGAATATCAGAGGTAAACTTGCGACGTATCTCAAGTGAGGAGTGGTTGTTTTACCCAGCTGATATGGCTTTGTGGTCTGGAAAGACTGTAAAAACAGTACCTTCTAACGTGTCTGAAATGTTTGATAGTTAGGTACACAGCTGGCAACCTCCTATCAAGTGCTCTGTAATTGGTTTAATCATTTTAAAAAGAATTTTAATGGTTGCCACTCATCATTTATCTATTGTTGTAAAACAGCTCCAAAGGTGATACTAAAAAAAATCTGTCCTAAGTGATATTGGCCAATTGATATTTCTTCTGACGAAAAATTTGGTGTCACCAAACAACTTCATAGTTTTAAAACGCTCATCTGGCTTCTTTTGATGTGTGAGCGTAACAGAAACGACCTCGCAGACAAACACTTAATGATTGCAAAATAGTGGCACAGTTTCGATGAAGCGGTGATAAAAAACTGAAAACTATATTATTTCTTAAATAAATTGGTCAGTAGTAGTCTTATGGCTCACACTTTATCGGAAACCGGTTTTATATCTTGTCTGTCAACTAGAATTCCAAAGAACTTCAATTATTTTTCCCGAAATTCACATCTACTTAAGTTATACACCATTTTATATTTGTAAAGCATTTCAAAAGTGACTTTCAGGTAATTTATGTATTCTCTCTCATCTTAACTTCTAACAAGCGATTTGTTAATGGATGCATACACAAAGGTAAGTGTGTGGGAGAACTAATATCGATGAAACGCTGAAATATTTGAACGATGTTAATTAGTTGGCAAGGTATACAGTCGAATTCATGTAAACCAAAAGGACTGGCAGTGGCTGTTTTGGTGATATTATCGGGGGAAACTAGGAATATGATAGTTAGCTCTCAAAAGGTTTATCTATGAAAAGACGGTCACTTTTAACAGGTTGCTAGCAAAGTAGTTAGTATGGCGCATGATGATTTACATGACTACCAAACTTTCTACGATGTCAGCAGATGTTTGTGCTATCTATTGAGGTAACATGTGTCCATGATCAGTGTTAACACAATCAACTTCTTCGACGGTCGGACATATGGTTTGTTGTGAGCTATAATGGTCCTAGAACCAAGAAGTCTACTTTTTCTTCTAACGTTTGTATTCTGGTCTGACTGTCATGTAATTATATAGTGGGGGCAACTGTACAGGAAGTGGGTTCTTTTTGCGTGCGGTAAACTATAGCTACGAGTTTATACATGTAAAAATTGTCGTCACCAAGTGTGGGGGCTTGTTGACTGTTGACTAGCAGGGGTCGTAACCATATCTGGTACAGAAGTCTTTTGTCTGTTTTTCAACCTGTGACTAAATCTTGTACGTATCTGAACAGTTTCGAAGAGGTTTTGCCTCCTAATTCGACTTTGCTTAGAAGTTGGTTTAATTACGAACTGATAGAAGTAGGAAATAGGGACCACTAGATTACGACCCAGTGGGTCATTGGGTGAACGTGGATGTACGGGTGGACAGCAACTTGGTTTGAGGACGACGCAATAAGTCTCAAATACAGAACTTTTCTAACGAACAACCACCAACGAAACGTAAGATAAAAGCAAGAAAACCGACAGACAAATGACACAGAATTCAAAAAGCTGTAATTAAAATAGAATCAGTTTCAATATTAATGTAATATTAGTGAACAGGATGTTTACACAACTACTTGAATAAAGTTACGTGAGATAGACAGTACCACATCTAGATACAAGGTGGCAAGGTGGAAGATAGAGAAATAAAGAGGAAAAATGTGATCAGAAGTCATAGAAAGGCAGAAGAAGAGAGGACGCCGTAAAGCAATAACGAAGTGTAATGTGATGATTAGGATGCAGACAGTGTATAGATGCATGTGTGTCTTTGATATTAATGATGAGCCATATTACCATAAGTCTCCAGCCGCTGATTGTGCTTATTACATGGGTCCAGATCGGAAAGTATAGATTTCTTTGCGCGTCTCACATCAACAGTCAGAAACTTTATGAACTGATACCACGGTCTAGTCTAGTTGCTTTTGACGTCTATGTGTTTTGAACATATTCTGGCTAAGATTGTACCACGGATATGCGATGACTAAACATCCGCATTCTTGTTCGAGGTAATGTAACGGAAACTAGAGATTTCCAGTTTTACAATATTATTGGATCAACTTTTAATAAACTATTTTATCTGGGGAATATGACATCGACTGAGTAGGCAGTATTTTGTATCCTTTATTAAGTGCGTTTGATTGAAAAAAGCTTATAGAAATGATAATGATAAGCCATATCTGCGGAACTATATGAAGGATTTTATCATTGGTGAAGTCATTGGTTCTTCTTTAACAACTAATTGACTTTTTGTCATAAAAGTTAGGTTTCATTTTAATGTTGGTTTCTTTAAATGTGACATTTGGAATTGTTTTGTTTTAATTCAGGTGTAGTCGCTCCCTTCTGAGCATAAACTTGTTGTAAAACGTAGTGATTTCCCACATGGTCAAACGGAAATCATAGCTCATAACCATTCTGTCTTAGTCCGTTAGGGCAACAATCGATTTAATAAATCCGTAGTGTAGAAAAATGTGTTCAATTCGTGTGTATACAATGGGTTCAGTGCCTGTTGCTGGTGATTCGATTACCAACGACGCGTACTGAAAATACCAGAACACGAATGTTTGCGAACGATGTATTTCACGCACACCTTGATCACCAAACCGCAAGCCAAAAAGGTGCTAAGTGTACAGGGCTTAAAGAAAGTGTCTGGAATGTTCTCAGGCATTTCTGATCCAGATAAACATCTCAAAAATGTACAATGCCTAACAGTTGAATGATATGTTATAGGGAACTAATTCAGGTTACTACACTATTCATGTCTCTTTCACCTATCTAGGCAGCATCGTTTGAACTCCATATTCGGCACAGACCAGGACGTCAAAGCCTTAAACGGAAACATAGCAAGACAGGAGTTCACTTACCTGAAACCAGTGTGGAGATCTTCTGCAATCAGCACAAAGAACAAGATCCGAATTTTCAACACCATCGTCAAGTCAGTGCTTCTGTATGGCTCAGAGACTTGGCACGTCACGAAAAGCACTTCCAACAAATTACAGACATTCATCAACAACTGCCTACGCTGGCTCGTTACTGAAGATCAGATGGCCAGAAAGAATAAGCAATAAGGAAATCAGGCTGACTGTCAACGAACCAACCCAAGAACCTATCGCCCAACAAATATGCAGAAGGAAGTGGAGATGGATTGGGCATACACTGAGAAGGCCGAGTGGGGACATCACTAGCCAGACCAGGATATCGAGTGGAACTCAGATGGGAAACAACGAGTTGGGTGTCCGAAGTGAGGGTGACATAGAGGAGATCGTGTGAGGAAGAAATGAAAGCTTCTGGGCAGTCGTGGAGCCAGGTTCAAAAGTTTTCAGAGAACAGAGTGCACTGGAGACGTGCTGCTGAAGCCCTATGTTCCATTAGGAACCCAAGAGACAAATAATAAATAATAATAATACACTGTTCATGTAACTCTATCACAGGATCATTTAGTAATAAGACTAGTTTTTTCACTAATATTATGAACATGTTATTCTATGGACAGTGGTACCATTTCAATTTTTCTGCTAAAAAAACTTCCCACATCCTAATTATTATTATTTATTATTTGTCCCTTGGATTCCTAGTGGAACATACGGCTTCAGTAGCATATCCCCATTGGACTCTGTTCTCTTCAGTTTTTTTTGACCTGGCTCCACGTCTGCCCAGAAGCTTTCATTTCTTCTTTACATGATCTCCTCCATGTCACTCTTGGATGTCCAACTCGTCTTTTCCCCTTTAAATTCCACTCGAGGGCCTGGCATGGCGTGTGATGTCCCCAATCGGTCTTCTCAGTGTATGCCAAGTCTAACTTGCTAGTTCAGCTACTGTGTGACTATAAATATATTATTCATTTACCGTTCATTTCTGTTTCCTGTGGTGACATAAAGTATATATTTATCATAAATATGATTGTTTACTTTACACAGAATCCTTGATCTTCTGGAAAATTCTCTGTGATATCAAATGCTTTGGAACCGTTTGTAATATATAATTATTCATCTTTCTTTCTTGTATATATTCATGAAAAGAAAGTTTTCTTTCTTAAACAATAGTTTTTTATTTCTTTTATCATTTTTACTCAGTTGTTTAGTTCGTTTAGATGTTTCTTTCAATGAAATTATTAGTTTGGATGGTTTGAAAAAATTATTTGGTCCTTCATACAGTTTGACTGTTATTATATTACAAGGAAACAAAATTGAATCTAAACAACATGTTTTGGATTGTACAAAGAATTTAGTTAATTTACGTCAGTTAACTTTATTCAATCCACAAACAGGAGATGCTAATCCTGTTTGTAGAGTGCAAGGTAAAGATAATGGTATTCATTATAAATATTGGTTAGTTTTCAGTAGTCATGATTTTCAATGTTATAGCTTTTAATTTCTTGGAGTTGATTCTACATAAGTGATCAATCATTATAGCGGTATTCATACAAACAGTTGGCTTTCAGTTAATGGGTTACTGGTTCGAATCCTGCTCCACCTACTGAGATGTAGGCAGCTAGGTGTAGTTTCATTAGGTCTCACATGATAGGCGTGGCTTATTGTCTACTGCATGGATCTCCGCGTGAGTGTTGAGTACAGTTCGTTTTTTTTCTTCTACAGGAGCCCGTGTCAATTGTGGCTGATCGATTCGGTCAAATCAACAATGACAGATAACAAGCTATAACATTAGAACTATTGTCTTTAGTTACGTATTGAATAAAGTTCTGGTGTTTGAAGAAGCAACTAATCCTTGGTTGAGTTTCAGTGTGAGGCAAGTAGGTCCAGGTGATGAGTGCCAAAATGTGCCTCCTAGACTTCACTGCTAGCCACTCCCCATCATCAAGATCATTTCCTTTTTGTGTAGCTTTTATTGGTTTGTACTTCGTTACGTTAATGACTAATGGAAATGTATGTTGAAGTGAATGGATTACTTAAATAGTACTGGACTATCTACCTTAATGGAATGAGGTAATCTATTCCCGAATAATAGTGACATCATTGATTCCATCGCACTGGTAGAAACCACTGCGTTTAGATTACAGTTTTCCATTCTCAATCCTACTGACCTCTCTAGTATCCTTTCACAATATCTCCTCAGAATTGCTTTTCTTGCTGTGTAAGTCATTTTGTTGAAGACTAAAATAAGATATAGATTATGTCAATTTTGAGGTTTGTCGTGATATGTTGATTTCAGTTTGGTATTCATCTTGAGCTGACATTAGTGAACTGATACAAGCAGGAAGTATGGACCATTGGATTCTGACCTAGTGGCTCAGTGGTAAGCTGAAAGTCCTTGGTTCGATCCCCGATAGGGCCATAGGTGTCCACTGCTGAGGAGTCCCATGCTGGGACGAAACAGCTGTCCAGTGATCCCAGGTCTCCAATGTTTCTCCACCTAATGTCAGTCCGTGATGAATAATAACCTAAAAAGTATTTCCTGGTGAGAGTGATTGTACGATACGACTGAACTACAGGATTTTGCTATGTAATTCAGTGCTTCCTGATGCCTTTTGAAATAAGATAATCCTATAGACATACCTTTTCATTTGTCCATTGAAATTATTTGATCATTTTGTACTTCATACTGATTTATCCAGTATTCTACCTTCAGGTTACCGTATGGATATTCTCCAAGGATTACCTCAGTTAGAAGTCTTAGATCATGTTGATAGAATGGGTCGGGCCACTCAAATTGATGTCTTAGCTGATTTACCAGGTAAGTAACTTTACTCATATTAAAGTATATTTTGAAAGTTGATGAAGGTTCTTATGTGCTGAAGTGAAGATATATACTAACCACATCAACTTGAATAACACTATAACGCATATTATCTACTTACTTCTATATGTATCTCGTTAGAATTATGATTAGAAGGTGTACTGTGTAAAACTGACCGAATTTGGGGGAACCATAACACGTAAATCGATCATTATATCAGTGGGTAGTTCCTCTATATGTTGACAACAACCTCAGATGATGAAAAAATCACCGTTGAATTCTCGTTTAGAGTTAGTACATTTGCCTTGAGATGTATAACTTTTAGCTTTCAGCCTCAAGGAAAAATCTTAGGTCTAAATGGAAATGAAATGTCAAATTCTATTCTACTTTCTAAGGTTTTTCATATTTCTATAAAGTGTTTTTCTTTATGAATAAAATTATTTGTAAGTTAACTGATAGAATGAAAATCATCATTTTAATTAGAAAAACATCTTTATTCCAAACTTTTTATTAGTCATTATATGTTTTCGTTTTATTGTTTGTATTATACCGTTGTTAATTGAACCGAATTTATCAGTGTCTATTGGCATAAGGGCTCCTGCGCTGATGCCTCAATATTGTCTGTGTTTTTAATCATATAGTAAAGGTGAATAGTGGCTAGCAGTGTGGAATCTATTTTGTCCTCTTTAGAATGATGTTTTCATTGAATGTTTTCTTTCTTTTTAAAGAACTCAATGACTTTATGGACCTCCTTTCTACTGCAAGTTTATCTGTAAGTTCAAGTTTATCATACTCATACTTGCTAGTCCATTTTGTTTAGTTTATCCGATTGAATTGAATTAATTTATCAAGAGAAATGTACAAATTGAAAGGCCTATTCTCAAAAATTGGATCTATGAGTTCGTCTTAATCTTTACCCATAAGTTATCTTGTTCTTATTAGACAACAACGGCGGCCTCATTGAACCTTGGGCTACCAAATTTATCAACCAAACATTTTTCATAGAATTCTTTCCCTTCAATTTGATTTAATCATTTAACTATGTTCTTTGAATGTATCATGTACTCTTGCACATTTTTAAACTGTTTTCAACTCTTCGTTTCTCAAGTCAATAACGAAGCAGAGAAAGTGGACTTTTCAGTGCACAAAAGTTCATCATATTTTTATCCATCAGATGCTTAGCTTGAGTTATAGATTTTTGTACCATCTAAATGAACCACCACTGCCATCATCACCATATTTACGCTTACATTTCTGTTGATTCTTCATTATGGATCGGATACCCATCCAGAACCAGCTGACTATTTCATATTATTGCTTTGAATACTGTTATTATTAACATCATTCCTATGCAATAACCATTTCATCTGAAAGTATTGTTTTGAGAGTGAACTTGTTGAAGAATTACATGCTGAGAATTCCATACTGTCATGCATATTGCTTGGAATAAAGTGATTATTATTATTAGTAAAACACAGTTTATTTATTTAGGCTGTAAAGTTCAGTTGTTACTGAGACCGATAAGCATCATTCAGTAACTATTTTTCCAAAGCATTCATATCAAATTTTCAGCTATGACTTTGAACAACGAAGTTTGATTTTAATGGGAGAGAGAGGGACTGAATTTCTGGGTGTTTTTTTTGTGACACTCTATATAAAATTTACATTCATTGTTTCTTGCACATTCTTCCAGTTGCTCAACACTAGTTAAACTAATTTCATTATTAGTCTCTATACTGTTTATACCTTTTCGAAAGATTAGTTAATCCTGAAAAACTCTTTTCATAGCTAAACGCTACGTGATATTGTCGTGAAACTACTTGGAATTAGGAAGAATATTATTCACAATATTGAAAGAATAATTCCATTTACCAAATTCCAAACTGAACATTTAAAACTTGTTTTCAAACAATAACCATACTTATTAAAGAAGTTGCACCATGTTTCAAAAGGTAATATTTCAGTATGCAGTATTATTCAACAGACAAGCGAGCAGTACAGCATAAAACCTCACTCTGAGTTGTTTTACTTAAAGATAATCAACTTGATAAAAAGCAGTTATGAAGGTCATCATAATTGATGAATCCCTTTACATCAATGTGTACCTAGGATATGGTCTAATGATAAAATAGTGAAGGAATACAGGCTGTTGTAGTCAAGTAGAACTGACTAATCTAAAACAGGTAAGTGAATCCTCAACCTGCGGTATCCAAAATACATTTCAAACTAGATAATTGTTCTAATCTGTAACGAGTAGCTGTTGATAGGTTTCCGTCTAACCTGTAGGTAGGTGCATTGTTGCGGAGAGGGTGTGTGTGCGTAGAGAAGTGTGAGTTTATTGGTGACCATGACAACCTGGAAGGGAAAACGGAAGCGAAGAAACGTGAGCCGAGGACTCAGCACGTACGCAGGATATACTTACATTTAATAACAAAAGATAATTAACAAACGGCGAACCTTTACAACGAAGAGGTGAGATAGTCGAGAAATAGAAACTGAAGAGTAGATGAGTAAGGTTCCAAATACGCTACAACTTGTTAATTGTAAAGAGACTCGTAAGTTGTAGTACTTAAAAGCACCTGATAAAATAACTCGAAAGTTTCTTAAACCCAATTATTTTTCCTTTTGAAACATGACTTCAGCGAAATGGTATATCGCTTTCTGGAAGATTATTGAAATACAGCTATGTAGAACTCGTCTTGTCGCACAACAGATGTATAGGTTTCACTCTGTGTTTTGATTGTCTAATGTTTTTGGTTGATTTATGCAAGTTAACTAAAACAGTTAAGACTGTGTACGGAAATTCATTGTTCGTTTTAGTAATTATGCAGCAGGGCACATTCAAAATCACGAGAGATAGAGTTCATTACCACTAAGTCTCCCAATGAACATGTTACCATTCAGCCATTGGTTTGAAATCCGTTGTTCCGGATTTTCTCATTTCTGTCAAATCAAGATAAACCATGATCATCATCCTATATCTTCCCTAGTTAACTGTCTTCACTCTTGACTTAGCTGACCCGTACAGGTCATGGTTTCTCATCAGAACTTCAGAAAATTCATCCGATTCATCGATGAGCACTAGTTGGCTTTTCAGTCCATGCTTTACGGAATAAAAAAGTTGCCAAGTATCTCAAATCTTCTAATGGTTTTCTAACTGATGCCAATCCGTGATGAAAACTACTTTGAAATCAAGTAATTCATACAAACCATCTATCGAATTATACCGAAGGAATTACGCATCCTATAAATGCATGTTTATGGAACAAGGGCCCATTTATTTCCGTTACATGCGACTGGCTACTACTAAGTAGTTTATATTTTCTGGTGTAAATTTAATGTCAGCAACCTCATTGAAAAATGAACTGTTTTTCATTTTCATTCGATTATATTCAGTTTATTTTGTTTACGACCAAGTAGTTTTGCCATTTTACATTAATCTAGGAGTCTAATCACCTGGAAGTGAATAAATTTCAGGGGAATGAATGCTATCAAACTCAAACAGATTTTCCGGATAAAGATCATGATTCACCAAAGAAAAATGTGGATGGAGTTAAGAAGGCAAGTAGTTTAAGATTATTCTCTAATTTTATTCCATCGATTATTGATTCAATAACCTGAGGCAGCTTTGGTTAACAGAGTGACCCTGACAAATGGTGGCAGTGGCTGAAATTCGATGAAAGCTGAGGTTGCAAGTGGGGTCATATTGTCTCCACCGACTCCCTGGGCCAGGACTAACGACTGAGCCCCAAGACCACCTGCTGACTAGTCCTCAGACTTTGTGATCTTGATTAGGTATTTTGTATCAATAAACCTGTCAACTTCAGAGTTGGGAAGTTTAAAAACTACTAAGGTATAAAAACAAATAACACGGACTATGAAGTTTGTACATAATTTGAAAACTGATCGCTTCACTGAAAGTATGTTGTCATCTGACTGACCCTTTTTTCAGCATGTAGAATCAGACTAGTAGACGAATAAACCTGAAAACCAATCAGTAGTCCCTCAGCGTGAGGTGCTTTTTAGAATAAGATTACGTGAAAAACTTTTATAGATATCCAGCACTAATCTGTTAACCTACTGATTGTTTGTCATGCACAGTTAAATACTATATCCTCATGTGTTGCTGTGCACTTTAAATTTGAATTACGCCAACTTTTGCCATCTGTGATGCTGGTGAGGTATTCAAGTCCCATTAAAAACTGAATGTTTATCCTACTACTACGGTTGTGAAACGGTCGTTGAAACGGAAAGTTTGGACAGATCGAAGCTACTGACCCTAATCACAGTCTGAAATGCCTAGTGAATGATGCTAGTGATAAATGCAAAGTACTGAACAAAGGAAGTGAGTCAGTGTGTTACCATCTACTGACTGATGCAGTTGGAATGCACATTACGCATGCCTAACCACTAGTCGTTACAAGATGCTATTCTCACAGCTAGAATGGAAGATTTTTCATGATCGGCACGATGATATCCGATAAATTTGTTCATATACACGATTCATAGAGAGATAACTATCTGAAGAAGTTCCGTCTTGTAAATTAAGTGTATTTCACGTCCTATGGATTGGTATGCTGACATCAGTGTCTTCATCTCATTGCCTTTCCACTTTTCTATTTTCTCTCCTCGTATTGATGTGGATTGGGACGATTCGAATAGATACATATGTGGGCCAACCATAATGATGGCCCTCTCTCTCCATTTCGTGCAAGGTGGTGAAAATATAGAAATAAATATCAACCCTGTCGGGAGATGTAACGCAATAGCAGGTGACATACTAGACTGGTAGTTGTCATATAAATGCATCGGTTTAAGTCATTACACTACATATATAACAAGAAAAATGAATCACGAGGTTATAACCAGGCTATTTAAAGTAGTATAGCTTAGATCGAAATGATGGTGTACTCAGTTTCTAAAGAAAATTAAGGACTGAATTCGTTTGTCCCCACTAAGTTGGGTTTTGAACCGTATTGGTCTAATATTGGATAATCAACATTTTAACGACTTTGCCTCATCAACCAATTTGGCTTCCGCATACCTTCAAATAATAGTCATCGAGATCATAGATCGATTTTAGCCGCTGACAGTATGGTTCTTTTGTGTTATTCATCCATATTCTGGTTGAAACACTGTAATACTCTGAAAAAACTGATGCTGATGATATTCAGTAGATAGACTAAATGCGTATAAGTGGACTGAAAATAACTCATATCAAAGTAGACAAGGGTGTTTGAGAGGAAAGCGGTTTTAAAAATGAATGTTAGTCAAAGCATTCAAGCTTTAGAAGGCTTAAAAGGGTGAATCCATCTGCGTCATTGTGACCGATTTTCAGGTATTTCACCAATAGTCCCCAGCCACTGTTCTTTATGGTCTACGCGACCGAAACCAGGTACTCTACACCTCCTTACACGGCTCAGACCAGCTGTTAAGAACTTCATAGACTGGTGCCACGTTTTGATCTGAACACTCTAAACCCTTTTTCAACGTAATATAATTTCTTAAGATATTGGTACTATAAGTCATATCCTAATGAAACTTACAGTTCAGACATCCGATACTCAGCCATGAAATCAGCTTGTTTATAAGAACTGTCTATACAAATAAAAACTAACCTATTCTAAGAAGTAGGAAAGAAAGATTTTTCAGAAACATTCGTCTTCTGAAATACTTATCACCTTTTTCTTTAATTCAAGAAACTTCCCACATCCATGTGTGGTCACAAATTTGAGTTTTCAGCAATATGTTGAGTTACTATGCGTTTAAAATTGAATTATTCACTTTCCTTCACTATATCCTAAAAGGTTCCACTTCACTGCTTAGAAATATTCTTATCTTCTCTCACACTCATTGGCATATTTTGCGACTTCCTCATGCAATATGATGCAGTATAGCATCGAAACCGCCTATATGTTTGTTTATCATTGGTCTATAAATAGTGGTATTTTGATGTCCTCTAAGTTTTGATATTTTGTTATGGACGTTTTATTACCAGGCTTGGTGAAATCTTCACGACAAAATATCAAAACTCAGAGAATACTAAAACATCATCATTTTCGCTAGAAAATCCGCTCCTCTATTTCATTTGGCTATAGTCCTCACATTTTGTACGATGGTTAGTGGTAAACATAACATAGTGCTTGATAGTCAAGTACCTAAAACTCTTAAACCTGTATCTCTTGTTAGACACTGTCTTTCTTCTAAGAACCAGAAATTGTTTTCGATACAATAATATCCGAACTTACATTCCCGTCGAAAAACAATAATTTTTTCTGAAATTTCATTCTTTTGCTTACTGTGGGCAAAAAAACAGTGAAGGCAAAAGCATGTTCAAGTCTGTGACATGAATATCTTGGTTTTTGGCAGTCTTCGGGTGGGGGGGTGTCTGGGACATCGAAAAAACTTTTATTTTCTCCTTACCTGCAAAAAACTGGTTAATTTCAGTTAGCACTCAAGATTCGATAATCACACTGGTTACTGTTTGGTTATGAATTCATCTAACCTTTTGTAGACTAATGGAAAGATAATGTAAGTATTCCTAATTTTCAAACATCATGCAGTCACGATCTTACACCCTATTCTAATCAGTGCAAGTGCAAGATGTAATTGAGTGACGTGAACAGTTGGATACCGTTAATATTAAGTAGTGAAAGAATTCTTCTTTTCAGCATTTGCCTTCATCTATTTTGGTATTCTCAATGACACTGAAATCTAGCACTCTTGACTTCAAATTTCAAAACTTGTCATGAATGTATTTGTCGATATCTGTTGTCTACTCATTCGAGTTAGCTAAATTCAAATATTTCAGATAATTTAGCTTTTAGAATCAAACATTTTGAGTTAATTGATGAATTCTTCTTCAAAATAGAAGAAATAGTTGGTTCATGTTTAGATAGCTGATTTAAATGGTGGTAACTATTAACAATGAGTTTTGTTGAAATTCATCAATTTATGTGACATTTTGTTGACTCAAGAATCAACCTTATTCTTTTCTATATTTGTTCTCAAGATTACTCGATTGATACTTACTATGAAATGAGAATATAACTGAATTCCTTCTACACATATTGATACCTGATGTAAGAACCGGATAAGAAAAAGTTGATGTATAGCAGATAGTAGTTTCAGTGTATGAACTTTCAAAGAATGAGAAAGATCAGTTTTCTAGAATATTTCAATATCATCTACGCATTACTGATATTATTATTTTTCCTTTTGGTTCCTAGTGGGACATACCGCTGCAGCAGCACGTCTCCATTCCACTCTATTCTCTTCAATCTTTTGGACCCGGCGTCACAACTGCCCACAAGCTTTCATTTCTTCCTCACATGATCTCCTCCTTGTCACCCTCACTTCGGACACCCAACTCGTCGTTTACCCTTCGGATTCCACTCGACGGCCTCACCTGACGCGTGATATCCCCACTCGGCCTTCTCAGTGTATGCCCACACCAACCCATCTCCACTTTCTACTTCTGCATATTCCTTGAGTGATAGGTTTTGGTTGGTTCGTTGACAGTCAGCCTGATTTCCTTATTGCTTATTCTTTCTGGCCATCTCATATGATCTTCAGTATCGAGTGAGCATAAGCAGTTGTTGATGAATGTCTGTAATTTGTTGGAAGTGCTTTTCGTGACGTGCCAAGTTTCTGAACCATCACATAGAAGCACTGACTTGACGTTGGTGTTGAAAATCCAGAACTTGTTCATCTACGCATAAACTAGTCAAAATAAGTTATTCGACAGAATGGGATTGGATGACAGCGTACTTGAAAATTGAGAAACTGAAGTTCATTACTAAGACAATAAGGTAGATAGAAGGAAAGATGTGGAATACCATTTATCTCTTTGTCGACAAAAAAGTCAGACTTTACCCACTTTCTTTTCTTGAAGTATCTGTAACCTTCATTGGACTTAAACTGGATTCATTCTTGACTGTTCTAAATACCTTTTTGATGTTGACTTGATGATTAATGTCTAGTGGATGTTGCACTATTGAGTTTTTGATACCATCTAGTCGTATGGTCGTTATCCTGACCTTGATTACAATTCAATGGTCTTAACTCAAATCTAACATTGTCCAAGTTGTTCCCATCATAATTTTGTTTTACTGAACACTTTGAAAGATCACTTCCTTTCTTATTCTCTAAAAATCGTCACCTCCCCTTACAGTGTAATGTATTCCATATCTTAACTTCTATTTACCTCTATTGTCTTAGCAATGAACTCCCGCTTCTCAGTTTTCAAGTACGCTCTCATTCACTCCTATTTCATCGAATAACTTCCCTGAAATCTCTCTAATCTTTACTATTGGTCTGATATATGTTGGAAATTTTTGAATAAGACTGGAATAGTTTATATGCCAGTAAATGAGTCTTAGACTTTTACTGACGTACCTTAAAGTTGATATCACTGATAGATATGTTCACCGCCTAACACAATATTCTTCATGCATTTGTTCTTGCTCCTTTGGAAATTTATAAAATGTGTTCACACTACTCATAAGTAGTATAAAATGTCAAGTCAGCATTTTTAATTTTTATTTTCAGGTGCTTCCATGTAAACAGGACAAAGATTATATTCCTCCTTCATCATCTTCAATCGCTGAACATCGACTATTGAGTTTAGAAAGTCAGTTAAACTCTTTAGTCACTCTACAGTTGATGAAGATGTATCAAGCAGAATCTGATCACTCCATATGCCATTGTAATACACACCAAACGTCATTAGCTACATCAAAGCAAGACAAATCAAATAATTTGAATGTACATTGTGAAGCTAGGGCAAATCGTCCTCATAATAGAATAGATAGAAGTTCCTCACAACACATACCAGAAAAGGAGGTGAGTAGTATTGTGTAAAATAAGTTTTACTACATGTCGTTGATATTTGCTGATCCACTTAGGATTTAGTTATTTCAAGTTCCATGAGTTTTTTTTTAGAGTGCTGGTTTCAGCAGTGACATAGATCGTTCCATTTCACTTCATGTTTATTGTCATTTGACAATTATGCTTGAGTTCACGAAAAAGTCATAGAATTTCCTAGATATGAAGGAAAACTAAAGGATTTGTTTGATTACAGATGGATGTTTTCTTATTCTGCTATCATTCAAATCCTAAAACGTTAAGGAACTGGATATAGAACTTAGATGTCAACTGTTTATTTCAGAAACCAGGTATGAGTAAATATGGCAGGAGTATCTTCTTAGAGGATGAAACAAATTCGTGCTATTTCTTCCAGGAAATAAAAAATAATATCACTTGACTATCTAAGATAGCCTTAGTTTGGCAGGTGAAGTGAAAATTTTGACCGCGACCGTATTCGAAGCAACAACCAACTGGTAGAGGACCAAGCCGGAAACCAGGTGGTCGCTGATTCGAGTCCGGCCGCGGTCCAAATTTTCATTTCATCTTCAATCACTACCCAGTACAAATAAAAAAATACTTCATTTTTCATACTAAAAATCAATTAATTTATATCGAATGCGTTCTCCAAGGTTGACTGGTTGTAAATACTAATTGAGTAGGTGTTATTAAACTGTTCTCACGTTGTGTAAAATGATCAGTTATCTAGTAGATAGAAAACTTGTACGGCGTTGTATGAAAATTATGCGAAGACTAGTACCTATTTGTTATATAATTTGTTCTCTAAGGTATTCTTATCAAGTCAGAAGGAGAACAGAAGTTGAAATATGTTTAAACTCCGTTCATTGCATCTTATATCTTGTAATCAACTCTTTTTTTTCTACAATATGTTCCTTGTGGGTTGGGCTGTCTATTTCAGCGACCATATATTCGTCTCTACTCCAAGCTTTTTCCAGAAGATCTAAGTTATCTTGAAAATTCTGCTGCCTCTGTACAGTTCTCCAGATTTCGTCGAAAACAGACCATCTATAAGCTGGAATTTCGATACACCACTCAAAAAGCTACGGTTGAACACGATTAGTTGTAGGCTATTTCGTTAGAATTTACTGTGACATACAATTTTAATGAGTTTCATACAGACCTACATATCTGAAGCGCACAGTCTGATGGTCGTATGCATCAATGGACACTAACCACCTATCTTTAGTAACCAATTACCTGTTGAGATGTGCTTAAAAGTCATCTACATCATGAATCCCCCTTCAAACTTCCCGCATTTACACATCGTTATCACAAAGATCCATACGAAATGTGATGATATCTTATATTCCTTTTTATGAGCTACAAAAATAGCTGGCAGTTTAGGATTGCATTTTACTGCAAAACTGTCTGTATTCATTTCCAGTACCAGGACGTGAGAACCGATCTGTTCTTATTTTCTCCCGCCAACGAATGACTCAGGCAAACCTTTGATGGTTTCAGGACCTTCCAGCCCTGCTAACATCCTGGCATGAAGTTCTTTGCTAGAGGCATTACTGCAATCTATGAAAATGGTATCAACAAGTTTCCTGATATTCCTAGACTTTATTCAACTTTCACTAACTATGAAGTCTGTCATGCAAGAGTAACTTTTATGAAAGTAATTTTAAATGGTTTTGAGTTGTGGGCAGTTTTCTTTATTGCTTTTTCCAAGATTTTTACCGTAACACTTGTTTTTTGATTAGATGAGTCCCTTCTAAGATGATCGGATAATCAAAGCGTTTTGAACCCTATCCTGGAATAGGTTACGTATTACTAGCGCTAGATCTCTTCTCTTAACTTTCTGTTGTTAGTGAAAGATATTGTATGGCTTTGAAATTTTCATGTATACCACATATTATTACTATTGTCTTTGTTTCTAGGTCCCTGATGAAACACTTCATATTGAATCGGATATCCAGTCTAGTAATATGACCTCCAAATTGGTAAATGGTAAGTGATCAGATGTTTTAGCGCGAATTGTGGACACTTTTCAAAACACCTGTAATTATGGGGTGAATTGTTTGTAAAGTTGTCTTATAATATTCAGACGGACAGAATAGTTTTCAAATACTTAGAGATACAAGTCTTCGGTGGTAATAACCCATCTGTACCGTGAGCCTATGCAGTATCGTGATGAAAAGAATAAATAATACTTAACAAGTATATTGCATTAGTTATCAAGAAATGTACCAAGTCTAAGTTGACGAACATGGATTACCATCGACAAGTATATCAGTAACCTAATCTGTCTGCTCATCTGGAGAAAGAATACCTGAGATCAATAGTTCATGTGACAGACAATGTTATGGGATGTAAGATCTTTATTTCGAAAGATGTACTTCAGATATCATGCAAAAAGGGGTAAAATAACAGAACCCGGCTATTTCTTGCTTAAACAATACTGAAGAGAAAGGTGTTGTCCTATTTTTCTGTGATCTGTGATGTAACTGTTCAAATGAATGTACTTTTGAAAGATATGAATTTCCCATTGACAGAAGTTATCACTACATGTTAGTCATTCCGTTTAATGAAACTCTACAAATCACGAAAAAGCAACCAATCAAAACAGAATCCATCAGTAGTAATTTTTTATTTATTTGTCCCTTGGGTTCCTAGTAGAACATAGGGTTTCAGTAGCTCGCCGCCATTTCACTCTGTTCTATGGAGTCTCTTGAACCCGACTCTACGACTACCCATAACCTTTCCTTTCTTCCTCACACGATCTCCTCCATATCACCTTCAGACGCCCAACTCATCGATTCCCATTTGAATTCCACTCGAGGGCCTGAACTGACACGTGATGACCCCAAATGGTCTTCCCAGTGTACGTCCAATCCATCTCCACTTTCTTCTGCATATTTGTTGGCTCGTTGCCAGTCAGCTAGAGTTCCTTGTTGCTTATTCTTATTATTCTGGCCATCTAATCTGATCTTCAGTATTGAGTGAGCGTAGACGGCAGCTGTTGATGATGATGTATGTCTGTAGTTTGCTGGAAATGCTTTTCGTAACCCGCCAAGTCTCTGAACCATCATATTGAAGCACTGACTTGATTGAATGTGTTGAAAACCGGGATCTTGTTCTTTATACTGAGTACAGTGCAGTAGATTTCCACACTGATTTCAGATTAATGAAAGGCTTTTTTCCTGTCTTTCCGATCCTGGTTTTGGCATCCTCATATGTGCCACCACCTATGGTAATTGAAACGATGCAGCATTGCCTACGTAGGTGAAACAGACTACTTCCTTTAGGTTTCTCCCGTCAATGGTGATTGGAGCTTGTTGTTGTTGATGCTGATGTTGGTTGGGTATCTTCATCACCTCTGTCTTCTCTATGTTCACTTGAAGGAAGTCCGGTTTTCGCTGCACTTCCTCTTCTGTTAACTTGTTAGTTTTCGCCTGTAGATCTTCGAGTTTATGCAACAACACATTAGACAGAAATCATCATTGGCGAAATCCAAATCTTCTAGACTCTTTTCATCGGTCAAGAAGCGTATGCTCATCTCTTCACTCCTCAAGGTTTGCCACATGATCCAGTCCACCACAATCAGGAAGATGATCGGTGGTAGTAGACAGCCTTTTCTTACTCCTGTCTTCACTACGATGGTATCACTGAGCTTTCCATTTTGAATCACTTGGTATGTGACATCATGTAGCTAACTGTTGGATGATTTTGATAAAGATTTGTGGCACTAAAACCGTAATGTTGAAGTAGTTTTCAAATTAGTTTTCGGTCGACGCTATCGACGGCCTTTTCAAAATCGATGAAGTTGAGGTAAAGATCCAGTTGACTGCCATTCTATTCTCTGTTCTATAATGATGCGTAGCGTTGCAATTTGATCTGAAGTAGTAATACAAAGCAAAAACTCATCTGATGGCTTTGTAAATATTCAACTAAGTTATCTGATCAACTACATAATAGCTGAATAGGGTTTTCGATGAAAACCACGGCGACCAGCTAGTCTGTACGCCACTGTCACAGGTATGCAAATATGTATCAGTCAGTAAGTGGAATTATTTTATCGATCGTATACAGCCTCAGCACAATAAAATATCATGGACACTCAAGTTAAATCTTCCCTCTAGTTTTAAGTATGGTGAAACTAATAAGGTATATATGTTTTGTTCTACCACTATTGTGCTACCTAGACTACGAGTATTTTTTTGAATGATTTATCCTTCAAGAAATGTATCATTGTCTCAAATAAATATGAGGTAAATTAAATTGTTAGTTGGTTTGGCATTGGATTGTATATTTTCTGTTAATCTTTATTCAGGTATGCCGTCTTTGTTAGCGTTAGATTTCGATGAATCAAGGTTTGAGGTACATAGAACTCACGTCTGTCAAATAAGGGCATTCTACTAGACTATCAAGTTGTCAACGATTGGTTTTGTGGTACTTCACTAGCCTTTTGATGTGTTCATTGTGGTGTCAAAATCGGTGATTGGATAGACTGTCTGATACAACTAACCATCTGTTCTTTCGGTATAAAGTGGTGGTTGGAAGCAATTGGCAGGAAACCGTGGAACGAGATCCCGTGTTTTACGGTACTGATTTACAAGGTGTACCTAGAATCAGGGACCTTATCTATGAGCTTTTCCGGTCACGATTGAGTTCCTATAGGATTGCTTTAGGTAAGTTTTTTGAACAGTCGGGAGTAAGCAATGTCACTTCATCTAGTCCTATATGCTGACTGAATCCTATCGACTATATGCACGGCCTTCTGATGAATACTTCCAACCACCTAAAATCAATTGGAGTGCACTGTGTTAGAGATTCTCATAGCTGGTTGATCACATTACGAACGTGATTAATAGGTTTTAGTCACCATTTGGGACTAGACAATATGATATTGATTACTCGCCAAGCATCGACCAAGGTTTTAATGATACACCACCAATCCTTTATTTTGTAGTGTACCTTTCATGTCTCAGTTTGTTATTCTATATTCCACTCTTTACGGATAATTAATACATAAGTTTGGTTGAATACTTCACTAAATCTATTATACTTTTACCACATATCTTTTACAGAGCATCAGACATCTCATAGTGATCCATGTGTAGCATCAACAAACTCTGTTGGACAATCATCTGCGAAAATTCGTTACACTTCAGACTCTAATCATTCTCAACATCCAGCGAAACCGGTGGCTAAAATAGAAGGAGCAACTGTAGACAATCATCCACCAGGTGCACCAGCAAAGCCTACATTAAATTTGGTTAAGACATTACGCAAAAATACAAGTGACAAAAAAAAGTTAGTATTTATACTTTAAAAAATTACAATTATTCTCCACTTGTTCTTAATATCATTGGTGAGATGTTTTAGCTGAAAGATAGCTTCTATCACAATCCAGTTGCACTGAAACAACCATTAGGCATCAAAAGAATGTTGGGTACTCCTAATTCTACACCAAAAATAAACCATGTTTACTAAGGTTGGACTTATGTGTGAAATTCTATGATTAAGCGAACAGCAAGTAGGAATGAATTGAAAAAGTTGAATTCTGATAGACAAATTGTAGATATGCACAAAAAATCCTTAATATGCTAGCTGGTCTTACGGTGATGCATATTTTTTCCAATAACTTGATCATTGTAACCAGTCGAAATTGAGAATTTCCAGTGAACCAGATGTAAACAGATGAAATTGAGTATTCAGTGCGCCTGATGAGCACAGCGGTTTGGAAGCCTGACTACTATATATATATATATATATATATATATATATATATATATATATATATATATATATGTATATATATATATATATATGTATATATATATATATATATATATATATATATATATATATATATATATAGGTGATATTTCTGTTGAGTGTACGAATCCATTCCAATTTCATTTAGTAGTTAGTTACCTTGGTTATAGAAATTTCGCATTTCTCTCAAATAGCCGAAAGCGATATATATTTGTAAAATGCGAGTTTTGTCACATGCATACTCATCGTCTACCCTGTCATGCAGTGTTAACTGCAGTAGATTTAGGTTAGAAAAAACGTCAGACATGGTTGGAGTAAAACATAAAATCAATCCACGAAATCTGTAATTGTTGATCCAAGTGGTGTTTGCAAATATATACTTCTACGTCGGGGTCCTTGTGACAGCGGAAACCACTGGTTGGAGACTAGGTGATATGGTTCAGAATCGATCTCAGTGGCGTAGATATATCCACATATTATCTTCATCTTGATCGTCTTATTGAATTCCAGTGTTCCTTCATTCCCTGAACCGTTATTCAGTGATTCCACGTACTATGTTGATATCATCTGAACCAGTCTGTTTGTGCGGAAAAGTATGTTTTTTTCAATGAAGACATACAGAAAGCGGTTGATAACTTTGCCAATCATCTATTTCGTTGACAAATAAGTTCTTATTTCAAGTAATAAAGGAAAAGGAGTGTCAGAATACTTATTCGGTGACGACGTGCTTCTTTGCGCTCATCTTCACTAGATACCTTCAACCTTGGAGTCGTATATTCAGTTGTGCAGCGGAAGAAGTTAGTCTAGATTTTGTAAAACTATGAAAATCTGTTCATGTTATTTCCGAAAAAAACGTTTTTCTTGAAATTATTCGATCTTATCAGTCAGCATGAACGGTAGGCTATTTATCTCTAGTGCTAGAATTTGTTGAATTTTTTTCAGTAACTACTAACGATCAGAATAGAGGAAATTTCATTGAAATTTCTTTTACCCAGTGTTGTAAATATATTTCAATCAAGTTTAAGTATTCAATTCTTGTTAGATATCGTGAAATAGCGGTTGTTACAGAGTTATCTGCTTAGTATGTTTGGAAGGATGGAAGCGATCATTGAGTGTGTATTACTTGTCATATCAGCAGTGTAAATACATCCTTACTGGTGCACCTGTTGACCCAGACTTCAATCCTCATCATTTCAAACTCCGATATGTTTTTCATTAGTAAGTCGAGTAGAAATAAGCAAGTTTATTTGTTGTTGTCCTCCATAATGTTGTATTAATTATGTTATACACTTGTAAGACGTATAACCTAATCGCACAAGAGCTTACAAAATACAGGATAGTCATTCAGAGCCAATTAAAGATTAACAAGAGAGATTGAAATTGTTTAGATAAGTGAACTGGCAGTTGTTAGGAACTACGGAGTGCCATAAACTTCTATCAACCTGATTCAATAACTATATGACGATGCCACATAATAAGTAATTCACAATGGAAACCTCAGTGATACCATCGTAGTGAAGACAGGAGTAAGAAAAGGCTGTCTACTACCACCGATCATCTTCCTGATTGTGGTGGACTGGGTCATGTGGCAAACCTTGAGGAGTGAAGAGATGAGCATACGCTTCTTGACCGATGAAAAGAGTCTAGAAGATTTGGATTTCGCCAATGATGATTTCTGTCTAATGTGTTGTTGCATAAACTCGAAGATCTACAGGCGAAAACTAACAAGTTAACAGAAGAGGAAGTGCAGCGAAAACCGGACTTCCTTCAAGTGAACATAGAGAAGACAGAGGTGATGAAGATACCCAACCAACATCAGCATCAACAACAACAAGCTCCAATCACCATTGACGGGAGAAACCTAAAGGAAGTAGTCTGTTTCACCTACGTAGGCAATGCTGCATCGTTTCACTTACCACAGGTGGCGGCACAGACGAGGATGTCAAAATCAGGATCAGAAGGGCAGCAAGACAGGCCTTTCTTCATTCACCTGAAATCAGTGTGGAGATCTTCTGCACTCAGCAGAAAGTGTGAACAACATCCGGATTTTCAACACCAACGTCAAGTCAGTGCTTCTATGTGATGGTTCAGAAACTTGGCACGTTACAAAAAGCACTTCCAACAAATTACAGACATTCATCAACAACTGCTTACGCTCACCCGATACTGAAGATCATATGAGATGGCCAGAAAGAATAAGCAATAAGGAAATCAGGCTGACTGTCAACGAACCAACCAAAAACCTATCACTCAATGAATATGCAGAAGTAGAAAGTGGAGATGGGTTGGTGTGGGCATACACTGAGAAGGCCGAGTGGGGACATCAGGCGTCAGGTGAGGCCGTCGAGTGGAATCCGAAGGGTAAACGACGAGTTGGGTGTCCGAAGTGAGGGTGACATGGAGGAGGTCGTGTGAGGAAGAGATGGAATTTTGTGGGCAGTTGTGACGCCGGGTCCAAAAGACTGAGGAGAACAGAGTGGAATGGAGACGTGCTAATGAAGCCCTATGTTCCACTAGGAACCCGAGGGACAAATAATAATAATTTGTTCAGCTTGAGATTCTCTCGATGCAAGCCTATCTACTCCATGCATCGTGAAGTATTTTTCATTGGTTAGCTGAGCGTACTGTATGACAAAGACGGTGGTTTGATACTGGTACCATAATTAATCAATCTACTTTACACTTAACCTCAACTCTGCTAGCTTATCGGCTTTCGTATATCTCACATACACCATATGTGAGATAGGTTGTGAATTACCAATGAACTGTTTGTATCCACTTCGAAACTTCATCAATCTAGTCTATGGATTTTCAAAGTGTTTGCTGGAAGTAATTTTAATTGTAAGAATGGTTTCCTTGAATAATTTCCCTCAGATTATCCACTTGTTCTGTATGTTTTTTTCTCAGTAAACAGGAAACATTGAAAAAGTTGAATTGTTCTGCTTCGAAAAACCAAATAATTGAGAATTGTGGTAGTGAAGGTAATGCGTTTATGGTAATAACTTTTCCTTGCTACAACAGAACAAGAACAATGTCCCCCTGTTTCTTCAACATCTAATCCTACCCTGAGGACTCAATCAAATGATTATGGCAAGGGTGACAAAACTATTGGAGTATGTAGTGTGTTGACGTGTTACCTGTTTTTTTTTATTTTCATATAAATCATATTCTAATGCACTTTTTATTTCGTTCACTTAACTGACTCATGAAGTAACGGTTATTTGAAAGATAGTTCTTGTCAAAAACTGTCATTATCTGAAGAACCAGTGGATATTAAACAGTGGTGAACAGCCATTTTATTCACACTAAAAACTCAAAAAATTTACAATCTTCTGGTAACACTGAACTTGGAGTATTCCAGTCTTGGATATGAAAACCTATAAATCCTACTTTTGTTGTACGATTAGTAGAAGTTCAGCAAATATATAATTTCATATGATTTTGTGTCGTGAAAACTATTTTTGGAGGTTTATTTTCACACCGTAACTGTACTACTCAATTTAAATTCAGTAGCATGTTTTCGTATTATTATTTATTTTGCCTTTCAGAAAATACTCAAGGAGCTTGATCAAGAAAAAACGTTGAGAAAACAAGCTGAACAATTATGCCAAGATTTAGTTGGCCGAATACGTGAATTGGAAGCTTCCGGTAGGTTTTTTAATTGTCAACTGATTATTTTGACCTTAGTTTGAACGTAAAGAACAACTCTTCTGCGAATCGTTTTAGTGAACTCATCAGTAGTCATATCTTCCAAGTTAAAACCCTAGGAGTGGGTGTTATTTTCCTTAAAAATGCATCTAGGAGTAAAAGGCTGTTTGTTAATCTTCGAGCAGTTGCTTGCGGTATCGCAGAACTCCCTTTTATTCATAAAAATGAATCAGATTTCCCTAGGGATTATGAAAAATTATTGCAATTCAACTATCTACTAACCTAATTCCACTGCGAAGAAATTCACACTAGTATCCTTGTGAACCCCTTAGGAATGGAGATATCTTTATCGTAATAAGGATAATGTAACTCACACTGGTACATTCTTACACTCCAGTCTACCAGCCACACATATTTTACAAGAACTTATGAAACTATTCAGGTGAAACAAGTTTCACTATTGAGCATCATTTGTTGATACTTGTAATTCTTTGTTGTTATGCTGATACATCCAGCTGAGGAGCACCAAATATCCAAAACTAAGTCAATCATATTGTTTTGACGTCTTGATAAAACTTAGCATCCATTTTTTAGAAGTTTTGGTTTCCTTATTTCAACATTACCTAGCACACCGTATTTGCAGATTAGCATGAAAATAGATCTTCAGACAACAAACAGATTTGCGTCCAAGCAAACACTCCAGTCACCTCAGCATTATATTTATATTGATGAAGATATATGATAGTCATTTTTCTGAAGGCTCGCCTATGGAAACCTTGCTATTATGCTTACTTCTTCTAAACAGTCTATTTAAATCGTCTTTTCAGCATCAGTCGAGCAGTAAGGAGATTTCAACAAACAGAGTTCAACGATATCACTACATCATTCAGCTGGTAGTAGCAACAGACCGTATACATTTTCCATAGTTTGTTATCAGACTTTATTATTCCACTTAGGAGTTATTCAACATAGATATTTAATATCATTACGATTACTAGAAAATTTTCATTAATATTCGTCCCTTGGGTTCCTAGTGGAACATAGGGCTTCATTAGCACGTCTCCATTCCACTCTGTTCTCCTCAGTCTTTTGGACCCGGCGTCACAACTGCCCACAAAATTCCATCTCTTCCTCACACGACCTCCTCCATGTCACCCTCACTTCGGACACCCAACTCGTCGTTTACCCTTCGGATTCCACTCGACGGCCTCACCTGACGCCTGATGTCCCCACTCGGCCTTCTCAGTGTATGCCCACACCAACCCATCTCCACTTTCTACTTCTGCATATTCATTGAGTGATAGGTTTTTGGTTGGTTCGTTGACAGTCAGCCTGATTTCCTTATTGCTTATTCTTTCTGGCCATCTCATATGATCTTCAGTATCGGGTGAGCGTAAGCAGTTGTTGATGAATGTCTGTAATTTGTTGGAAGTGCTTTTCGTAACGTGCCAAGTCTCTGAACCATCACATAGAAGCACTGACTTGACGTTGGTGTTGAAAATCCGGATGTTGTTCACACTTTCTGCTGAGTGCAGAAGATCTCCACACTGATTTCAGGTGAATGAAGAAAGGCCTGTCTTGCTGCCCTTCTGATCCTGATTTTGACATCCTCGTCTGTGCCGCCACCTGTGGTAAGTGAAACGATGCAGCATTGCCTACGTAGGTGAAACAGACTACTTCCTTTAGGTTTCTCCCGTCAATGGTGATTGGAGCTTGTTGTTGTTGATGCTGATGTTGGTTGGGTATCTTCATCACCTCTGTCTTCTCTATGTTCACTTGAAGGAAGTCCGGTTTTCGCTGCACTTCCTCTTCTGTTAACTTGTTAGTTTTCGCCTGTAGATCTTCGAGTTTATGCAACAACACATTAGACAGAAATCATCATTGGCGAAATCCAAATCTTCTAGACTCTTTTCATCGGTCAAGAAGCGTATGCTCATCTCTTCACTCCTCAAGGTTTGCCACATGATCCAGTCCACCACAATCAGGAAGATGATCGGTGGTAGTAGACAGTCTTTTCTTACTCCTGTCTTCACTACGATGGTATCACTGAGGTTTCCATTGTGAATTACTTATTATGTGGCATCGTCATATAGTTATTGAATCAGGTTGATAAAGGTTTGTGATAGTGCGTAGTGTGTGAGCAGAGAAAATTGTTGGAGGATATATATTAGTGAGTATCAATATATATGATAGTAACAATGTGGAAATCATGCAAAAGTAAGAGATTGAGTTGCTGTCGTGGAGGCCACTGGTTGGAGGCTTATCATGACCTGGATTTTCATTTCATCTCTAGTCAATACAACTAGTCTATCGAACTACAGGTATCTCAGATAGTCGTACTGATGATCAATGTGACACTTCCCACTTTTATTGTGTGTACAACAGTCTTCCTGCAACGTTAAGTTTTTTCTTCATTGTTAAAATAGTATTTGTTCGATTTTCATGTATAAATTCAAAATTTGAGTTCACTTTTGAATGACTCATAGCATTACACTTCAAGATGTAGGGCAGCAAGATGAAAGAGAAATAAGGAAGAAAGCAGTCAAAAGTGGTAGAAGGTGAGTAGTTGAGAAGAAGTGAGAATAAACAAATGCCGAAATTCTATGGAACTATTAGGATGATCAAATCTAAGTTATATCATCGAGACTCTCCAACCACTGATTTCATTTGTCACACGGACACCACATGGCTGAGATCAAGTGTCAGGAACTTCATGGACTCATACCATGTATTAGTTTCTCCGCTTTTGATATTTTTCCTGTTTAAAATACTTCAGCTGAGGTTGTACGTTAGGCTAGACACTGACTATGCATGCGTAACATATTTCTCAGTCATCTGAGTTTCCAACTTCATCAAGTGACTGCCTTTTTTTCCTAGAACTGTTTACTTAACCTCAAAATTTTCCCCGAAGTTTTTCCATGAGAATTTGGAAATGCTATGAAGACAGCGGCAGTTGTTTATTTGAAGCCTTCTTATATTTTCCTCCTTCATTGGCCATATTTCAAATCCGTACAGTAGAGGCATTCCTTATCTATGGTGACTCGCAGTCACAGAACTAAATCGATATCTTTCTATTATTTCACCTATGAACCTCTTACATTGTTATTTATGATTTTTTCTTGAATATACATCATGTATTTAGTATTCATCTTTTTCTCCACCAAATACTTATGACAGTGATCGATGAAAACGAAGCGTTAAAGGTCACCGAGGATTTGAAACAAGCATTTACCGTAGAACATCAAGAGAAATTGTCAACACAATCACAGTTAAAGGAAATGGAAGTAAGTTCTCTTACTGTTTGTGTTGATGAGTTGCTACTGTCAGCTATGGGTCAGTGGTTCAGGGATATGCTCACCAACCAACTGGTCATTGGTCCGAATCCCACTCCATCTACCGAGGTTTTAGCAGCCAGATAGTATCATTAGCCGTTACACAATACATGTGGTTCGTTACGTAATGCACGGATGTGAATAAGTTTGCTAAATGCGAGAATATATGAGTCTCTGGTAATATTAGAGCTATTTTAGCATAGGATGTTTATTCTGTGATTTATATTGTTCGAATTACATAATATTTGTCCAGATATTCCCTCGACCATTTTTCTTTTGGTTCGAATTATTGAATTTCAGGATAATTTTCATCTACTTAGAAAAATCGGAGATCACAAAACTATAACGACCCAATTTTTTGACTCCTCAGCAGTGCATAATCCCTCCTCCCCTCCCCACAAAACCTCTTACTGGTACCGAATTTTAGGTTCTTCCGTAGTAGTTAAGAGACTGTTAGCCTGTAAGTGATAACAGATCCTAATAAAATTATTTGATGAAGTCATAAAATCTTGTAAATCATCTATCTCAGGCTTCTAAAGTCAGTAATGGTAAACAATGACGATACTTGATTTTTATTGTGAGTTAGTATTAGGAACTGACCTAACCACCAAACACTTTCTTTATTAAAGCAACACATTGTGTTATTGATTCATCAGCGCTGTAGTTTGATGACCTATTTGTTTGTTAGCCTAATTTTTTAGCTTTGACATCTTCATAAATACACCAGGGGTAGACGAAAGACGATTTTTGAAGTTTTCTTGAAACTCTCAATCTAAACTGAAAAATTAATAATCGCAGAAAATTGCTATGACTGGTAGTATGACCTAAAACTCTGTGAAGGATACGAGCCAAGCAGACTACGAACGATAAAAATCTAACGCGCAACAAATCGACTCTAACGCAAACCAGAACATGAACTACCATCATAGCAATACCATCGACGCGCGAAGATAAGAAGAGAAGACAGACCATTGACAGACAGCTTTTTGCTGTCTCAGCAACAGTCAATACAGTTGATAGCGATCCTAAATATAAACATTTTAAGATGACCTTGACAATCTACATATAGTTAACAATCAATGGGACTTCAGCCTTGAGATCAGAGGGAAGAAAAACTAGTAATGGTAGGAAAACAGCCATGTAGGTTATTTTAAGGTTATGTGCAAAACAATCGGCAAAAGTTATGCAAAATTAGGGGTACATAGCAAGAATAAATTGTTATTTCACGAATTCTTTCAGTTTATGATTGATATATTGTAAAGATGCCTTTCTGATAAACTGGTACTATTACACGATCATTAAGTCACAATGTATCGTTTTTTCTCTAAGATTTAGATGACCTAAAAAGATTTTAGTCTGATGATATTTTATACGTAACTGAGACAGATATCTGCTCATTTAACCATCTACGTAAACTTTGATCAATGAACTTCATATTTATAAACAAATTAGTGATTTTAAGTTCATTGTGAAATTCAGTATTCCTACTCTCAAGTATTGTCAGTCCGGTAAAAGTGTCATTCACTCAGTATCCCAAACTGTATACAGTAATGGTAAGCTTCGAACTTTGATTGTTCTACTAAAATGATTTAGTGAATTTGAGCATGATACACATGCATAACGACTGTGTTGCCAGTACTTTATATTTCACTGAAAATACCAGAAAACAGATTGGTTTCTGACATTATATATAACATACATACAGAACGCTAGAAAATGCTTATCGATGACTAGCTTCCAATTGTGATTCCTGAAGTCCCAATAAGAAGTCGTGATAAGGGAAGCCAACCAGGTCGAACATAAGGACAGTTGCTCAACGATGACATTGGATGGGGGTCGCGCAATGTCGTGAACTAACAAAAGTTAGAAATATGGACCACTGGATTCCGCCACAGCGGTAAAGTGCTCGCTGCGGGAACTAAAGATCCTTAGTTTGATCCCTCGTCGGGCGGAGTCATGGATGTGCACTACTGAGGAGTCCCATACTAAGGCGAAACAGCTGTCCAGTGCTCCCAGATTTCCAATGTTTCTTCAACCGATATCAGTCCATGATGAAGTCAATCAATTTCCACAAACCTCAAAAATGCTAATTAGTTTGTTCTTATTGATCCAGGGAAACGCGAATCTCCCATTGATGTCATTCTGACCACATGACAGCGTAGATCATATTTTCAAACTGAAAAACGTTTACCTCAGTGACCAATTACAAAATTATCATTATTATTATTATTATTATTATTATTATTATTATTATTATTATTATTATTATTATTATTATTAGTCCCTTGGGTTCCTAGTGGAAAATAGGGCTTCAGTAGCATGTCTCCATTTCATCCTGTTCTCTGAGATTTTTTGAACCTGGTTCCACGACAGCCCACAAGCTCTCATTTCCTCCTCACACGACCTCCTCCATGTCACCCTCGGACGTCCAACTCGTCGCTTCCCATGGGGATTCCACTCGAGTAACTGGCCTGACGCGTGATGTCCTCAGTCGGCCTTCTCAGTGCATGCCCAATCCATCTCCACTTCCTCCTGCATATTTGTTGCGTGATAGGTTCTTGGTTGGTTCGTTCCCAGAGTTCCTTTTTGCTTATCCTTTCTGGCCATCTGATCTTCAGTAGCGAGCCAGCGTAAGCAGTTGTTGATGAATGTCTGTAGTTTATTGGAAATCCCTTTCGTGACGCGCCAAGTCTCTCAACCATACAGGAGCACTGACTTGACGTTGGTGTTGAAAATCCGTATCTTATTCCACATGCTGAGTGCAGAAGATCTCCACACTGGTTTCAGGCTAATGAACTCCTGTCTTGCTTTTCCGATTCTGACTTTGACGTCCTCGTCCATCCCGCCTGTAGTTGAAACAGTGCTTCCTAGATAAGTGAAGGAGGTTACTTCCTTTAAGTTTCGCCCACTGATGGTGACTGGAGTTTGTTGTTGTTTTTGATGGTAGTGGTGCGGTATCTTCATCACCTCTGTCTTCTCTATATTCACCTGAAGTCCCGTCTTCGCTGCCTCTTCTATCAACTTGTTAGTTTTTGCCTGCAGATCTTCAAGTTAATGTGACACCAGGCACAAGTCATCGGCGAAATCCAAATCTTCTAGGTTCTTTTCCGCAGTCCAGCGTATCCCTCTCTTCTCGCTGCCTACTGTTTGCTGCATGATCCAGTTGACCACAATCAGGAATATTATGGGGGATAGTAGGCAACCTTGTTTCACTCCTGTCCCCTGTCTTCACTTCAAAAGCATCACTGAGCTTCCCACTGTGAATTACTTGGCATATGGCGTCTTCATATAGTTGTTGAATGAGGCGGATAAAGGTTTGCGGTACTCCGTAGTATTGAAGCAGTTTCCAAATTACTTGTCGGTCGACGCTGTCAAAGGCCTTCTCAAAGTCGATGAAGTTGAGGTAGAGAGCTGATTGCCATTCTATGCTCTGTTCTATGATGATGCGTAGTGTTGCGTTGCAATTTGGTCTGCACATGATTTGTACTTCCTGAAGCCTGCCTGTTCCGGTCGTAGTTTTGAGTCCAGTGCATCTTTAAGCCTCTCCAGGATGATGCGGCTTAATATTTTACTTGGGGTGGACAGGAGAGTGATTCCGCGCCAGTTCTTGCAAGCACTGAGGTCTCCTTTCTTCGGCAGTTTGACAAGGTATCCCTTCTTCCAATCGTCAGGTACCTTCTCTTCCTTCCAGACCTTCTGCAATAGTGGTGTGGTGTGAGCATGTCTGCTGTTGTCTCTGCATCTGTTTTCAGTGCTTCTGGTGGGATCCCATCTGGTCCTGCTGCTTCCCCACATTTCAGTAGCTTTATGGCGTTCAGGACTTCCATTTTCGTTGGGGGATTTATGTTCACTTGTAATTCAGCGGCTGCAGGTGGTATTTCTGGACGAAGTGCAGGTGGTGGTCGATTCAAGAGCTTTTTGAAGTGGTCGGCCCATCGTTTCCTCTGTTTCTCTTCTTTCGTAATTAAATTTCCTTCTTCATCTTTTATTGGTTTCATCTGTGTTGGTCTCTTCCCTGATAGCAACCTGGTTATTTGATACAATGTCGTCAGGTCTCTCTTACCAGCCGGCAGCCTGTTCTGCTTCACTTGTTAGTGTGTCGTAGAAGTGTCTTTTGTCTTTGCGCACACTCTTCACTTCTTTGTCTAGTGTAGTGTTTTATAAGTTGTGTTCAGTTTCTCTTCTCGTTGTTCATCCTTGCACTGGTTTATCTTCTGCTTCTTCATCATCCTCCTCTCCCTGCTCTATCAGCTTCCATGTGTCCGTCGAGATCCATTTCATTCCTTATTTTCTTTCTTCTTCCTTCCTAATACGGTTGTGCAGGTTTCTTTCCACATAGCTTTCAAAGACTTCCAGTGTTCTTCCACACAGGTTTCTTCAGGGATGTTGCTCGATATCTCCCATTTTGTCTTGATGGCTGACGTGAAGATTTCCTTTGTAGTTTTATCCTTCAGTTTCCGAGTGTTGTACTTGAATTGAGGTCTATCACCAGCTTCCTTGAAGGCTTTTAACTTGATTTGGAAGGTTCCTTGCACTAGACAGTGAGTGGTCTGAACCCACATCTGCTCCTCTTTTTGACCTTGTGTCAAGTAGGCTGCGTCTCCATTTTCTTGAGATTGAGATGAAGTCGATCTGATTTTTAGTGTGTCCTGGTGTCTGGTGAAATCCATGTTGCTTTGTGGATATCCTTGTGCTTGAACACAGTGCCTCCCTCCAATCACCAAATCGGTGAATGCACAGAATTCTGCAAACAATTCTCCATCCTCGTTCATCACTTCACCGAGCGCTTCTCGACCCGTGGTTAGTTCTCTTCCTGTGTTGTCCGCTCCCAGTTTGGCATTCATGTCGCCCATTAGAATTTTGATATCGCCAACTGAGGTCTTGTCCAGTGTTGATTGCAGTTGTCTGTAGAATTCCTCCTTTTTCTCTTGATCTGCATAATTTGTAGGTGCATAACAGTGTATGATTGTGACCTTTCTTCCTTTTGAGTTGAATCTTTCTGTCATGATCCTGGAGGAGATTGGTTCTCACTGCATGAGAGCCTTCGATGCTCTTGAGGACATCATGATAGCCACTCCCTCAGTGTGCTCGTGGTTGTCGTCTGGGTGACCGGAGTAGATTATTGATTCTCCAGTTGACAGTTTGGAGAGTCCACTCCCATTCCATCTGCTTTCGCAAATCCCAAGCACTTCGATGTGATTCCTTCTCATCTCCTTTGCAATCTGGGCTGCCTTACTGGGTTCAAACATCGTGCGGACATTCCATGTCCCCACGTTTACTTTCGCTTTCATCGAGAGAGAGAAGACACATTGGCCAATTGGCTTCCCGAAGGCTTTCACCAACCGGCGTCCTTTCGCCTCTCCGATTCCAGCGGGGAATAAGTTTGTTTTCATTTTTTATATTTTGTTTGTGCTTTGAAGTTTCTTTAGCGGTTAGATTTGTTTTACGGGGTAGGGTTGCTAGCCGTGTGCCCAACCTTCCCTCTTTACCTGGGCTTAGGACCGGCTAATAAGTAGTGAACTAGTTAACCAGGCGAGGTTAATTACAAAATGGTTATTTCTTTTTGGCGACTTATCATCATTTATCCATCCCATTTTTCTCACACTGCAACTTGTAAAATGAAAGCTTATTACAGTGAATCCTCATTTGATTTTTTATATACGTAAATGCTAACAATGCATTGGTTTACATCGTAGTCTTATTTTCTAATTTTAACCTTAAATTTAGAATAAATTCAATGAAATTTGTCAAGTTGCTGATAATCTGCGTATTAAAGAAGAAACAGAAAAGAGTCGATATCAACAGGAGGTAGAATAATTCATTGGTTAATGATAAAAGAGAATAATTTGCCTTACATGGTTTCCATTTAGTGAATTCTGTAACCTAAGTTTTTATTCGATAAAACTTGGTTACGATTGCTAGCAACGTAATTCAGGATATACATTCTGTCATACTTTCTACCCATCAGTTGAATGTACCTACATCTCTTCACTGAGCCTCTGATATCATCTATCGCTTAAAATACGAAATGTTTATCTAATAAGTTACTGAGTTTTGATATCCAAAGGAAGCTAAAATTTCTGGTTATTGTTATTTGCGTCACCAAATTGATCAGTCAATTTAAGAATATCAGATATATGTACAGATACTTCAGTGTTAATGCTGGCCAAATTTCAAGGTCATTGAACCTCACTTCGAAGTTATGATGGAAAGTACAGTTATTACCATATTTTCTCGTTTATGCAAAGACCCTATAAGTTTAAGACAGATCCCGACATCCTGAGAATAAAGGAAATAGTATCTACTAATTCGATTAATGGTCTGTAATCTTATATGACGCATCTGTGGAATAAGAGAATCAGTAAAAAAAAATGATTCAAAGTTATACAGTGGAACTGAACCCACAACACAATAATATGGAGATATCAACCTCTTCAACAATGTAAAGTAGCTTACTAAGATGCATCAGTTATGTTTGCCACACCTTTATGGGGAAAAAGAAATAAGCGAATAAACACTGCTAGGGAAGTATCGTCTTCAAAATTCCAATGATAAATAATGAATATGTTGAAATCACTCTGGAGCTCTATACATTCTGACTTCCCTGACAAAGATCTTCCGAAATTCTAACAAAGATAGCATTCCTTATCATGTATATCATGACAGCAAATAATAGAAGGGTGTTACAGCGTAGCTTAAACTCCTCTTAGCTTTTTTGACAATCGTTTTCTACCCAAAATATTATATTATATCAGCGTAAATGATTACTGCGAATGAGTGATGTACTTTATTCTTGGTAACCTTCACCTATTTCTTACATTTACTGATTAGAGCCAGAATTGTAAAACCTACTTAAAGTGAACAAGCATTTTAGTTTCAATCCAGCAACCCTAGACAGTCCCCCAAAAACGGTTTATCATACAATTTGAAGTACCTGTGTTTATGGTGGCATGGTCACAGTAGCATTTGAATTGACAGCCAATAAAATTACAAGATCAACTATATTAACACAGATTAAAGATAGCTGATGTCGATGTTATGACCTATGGATATATTTACCGTATTCCAATAGCGAGCTTCTAACAAAATGGGTTTGATTCTAAAACCAACTGTAGCAACTACTGAAACGACCAATAAGAATTCTTTATTTCGTGAAAAAACCTCCCATATGCTTAGACAAGATTATGAAACATAATTGATTATTCCAGCGGTTTCTGATGTAATCATCAAACTCACTCTTCTTCTATAGATCTGACAGACCAGCAATAATCAGCCGTCAAAGTAACCTATTAAATTAAATGCTAAATATCAAGGCTTTGTCTTGTATAACAATGTAATAATGCTTCTCGTCCTCCTGAAAACTCCCAGATAAATTTATGATAAAGTGTCTGAAGTTAATGACAGGTGATCAGTGTTTAGTTTCCTTATAGAATATCTATCTCTACAATTGGTAAATGCACCTTGCGAATATTCACTAACAAAATGAGAGATTAAAAACTGACAGGCACCTGCCGATTTCTTTCAAACATCTCTTACGTAGGCAGGATGTGAGATCAATCAATATGTTATCCACTTTCCAATCGCTAACGATAGAGTTCCCTTACTATAAATTTTGTGACAGAACGATATCTGTTTTCATGTCACAACGGATTAGCTGTGTTTGGTTTGTATGCATAATTTTAAGTTTAACGCTTGTTGCAAATGGAAATAATGCAACTCAGTACTGTTTTAAAGGTTTGTGCAAGTCCAAATGACACTACTTGGTTGGCTTTAGCCCAGCGATCGGTAGGTAACTGCCTTGAGTCTTTAGCGTTTGCTATCATAACAGTATTGAACATCAGCTTTGAAATAATGTTGCAAACTACTTATTAATACTTGATAATAGTTAGGAAGAGTGTGATGTAATTTTTTTTTCGCCAGCAATGAATATTGTTTTTAACATTTCACTTAACCTCTAAAAATAAACAGGATCAAAATCTACCCGTTGATATGAGCTACTGACTCTATGAACCACTGCTGTCGACAGAAAATAAAATTTAGGACAAACTGTACTGTGGAGAACATTACTACTAATCTTAAATACTTCAAGGCTCACCAACCTGAAGAATAGATAGAAATATGAAAAGCTTCACTGACACTGGCTAGGAGTTCAACTATCCATCGACATATGTATCAATTCATCTATACTATGATGATGCATGGTAATTTATAATGGATGACATAAGAGGGTTACAATCATGCTAAATACTGTTTGTTTCATGAATAATGACGTGTTTAACAATCTTGTAAATAAATACGGGGTTTAAAGAATGCGAGATTTCGAATCTGAACTGATGGAATTGATCTGGTACGTGTTATTCATTGTTGGGTCCTGCTTACTTCAAGGTGTGATACTTGCTGTAGTAGGAGTAGATTAGATCAGGCCTAAGCAACTTACATAAAGTTTAGATAGAATACTACGTGCTAAGGTTGTTTTTGTTAACTAATTTCTCTACAATAATTGTTATTTTTATAAAACCGATAGAAAGCCAACAATATAAAGTAAATTCTTGTTTCTCTTGCTCTTCATATATTTTGGTAATGACCCTTTGTAAAATTATGCATTCTTCCTACAGATTGAAAATTTAAATCAGTTGCTAAATGAAGCGCGTAAGGATTATAAAAATGTACTATCAAGGGCAGAAAATTCTGAACAGAAGCTAGACAAAGCTCAATCCCTTCTACATAATCGTGAGATAGAGTATAGGTAAGTATGATAAAATCATAACTCCATGTTTGTCTATCGTATATTCTAACAGCATCATTCATTCGTTAACATTACGAAAAAACCTTTTCAATCATAGTCCTATTATGAGACAGTATAAACGATTTCTAGCTCAGTGTAAGGCTTGATAGTTGTTTAATGTTCAGTAAGGTTTGAGGTCTGCTCTTGAACGACTTCACCGTTTACTTTCCATAGAAGTTAAGCATTTCTAATTCACGTGAATGTTTATAAAAGATATTTGCTGAACCTTGGCATGCTGTTGACCTATTGGCTAATTATTGATTTGCCTGATTGATTTCCAGTTGGATGATCCCTCCCTGATAGCCCGTATATTGGGGTCAATATCTACATTTCTGCTGATTATCATTTGACGAACGTACCATACTTTCAGGAATTCACTCCTAGTTTTAAAGCTTGGTTGTTATAGTATTTCCACGTTATCCCAATCAAAGTTGTGGTTTTAGTAATCTAAATATGGATATCAACCTCGCCTGGTTAACTAGTTCACTACTTATTAGCCGTCCTAAGCCCAGGTAAAGAGGGAAGGTTGTGCACACGGCTAGCAACCCTAAACCGTAAAACAATCCAACCGCCAAAGAAACTTCAAAGCACAGACAAAATATAAAAAATAAAAACAAACTTATTCCCCGCTGGAATCGGAGAGGCGAAAGGACGCCGGTTGGTGAAAGCCTGCCTTCGCGAAGCCAATTGGCCAATGTGTCTTCTCTCTCTCGATGAACGCGAAAGTAAACGTGGGGACATGGAATGTCCGCACCATGTTTGAAACTAGCAAGGCTGCTCAGATTGCCAAAGAGATGAGAAAGTATAGCATAGAAGTGCTAGGAATCTGCAAAAGCAAATGGAATTGAAGTGAACTCTTCAAACTGTCAACTGGAGAGTCAATAATTTACTCCGATATTGTCACCCAGACGACAACCACTAGCACACTGAGTTATGGAGTGGCTATCATGATGTCCCGGAGGGCATCAAGGGCACTCATACAGTGGGAACCGATCTCCTCCAAAATTATGACAGCAAGGTTCAACTCAAAAGGAAGGAAAGTCACAATCATAACCACGGGTCGAGAAGCGCTCGGTGAAGTGATAACGAGGATGGAGAATTGTTTGCAGAATTCTGTGCATTCAACGACTTGGTGATTGGAGGGAGGCACTGTGTTCAAGCACAAGGATATCCACAAAGCAACATGGATTTCACCAGACACCAGGACACACTAAAAATCAGATCGACTTCATCTCAATCTCAAGAAAGTGGAGACGCAGCCTACTTGACACAAGGTCAAAAAGAGGAGCAGATGTGGGTTCAGACCACTCACTGTCTAGTGCAAGGAACCTTCCAAATCAAGTTGAAAACCTTCAAAGAAGTCGGTGATAGACCACAGTTCAAGTTTAACACTCGGAAACTGAAGGACGAAACTACAAAGGAAATCTTCACAGCAGCCATCAAGACAAAATGGGAGATATCGAGCAACATCCCTGAAAAAACCTGTGTGGAAGAACACTGGAAGTCTTTGAAAGATGTGGAAAGAAACCTGCATAACCGTATTAGGAAGGAAGAAGAAAGAAAATAAGGAATGAAATGGATCTCGACGGACACATGGAAGCTGATAGAGCAGGGAGAGGAGGATGATGAAGAAGCAGAAGATAAACCAGTGCAAGGATGAACAACGAGAAGAGGAACTGAACACAACTTATAAAACACTACACTAGACAAAGAAGTGAAGAGTGTGCGCAAAGACAAAAGACGCTTCTACGACACACTAACAAGTGAAGCAGAACAGGCTGCCGGCTGGTAGGAGAGACAGAGACCTGACAACATTGTATCAAATAACCAGGTTACTATCTGCCAGGGTAGAGATCAACACACATGAAACCAATAAAAGATGAAGGAAATCTAACTACCAACGAAGAGAAACAAAGGAAACGATGGGCCGACCACTTCAAAAAGCTCTTGAATCGACCACCACCTGCACTTCGTCAAAAATACCACCAGCACCCCAGCCACAGAACCACAAGTGAACACAAGCCCTCCGACGAAAGTCGAAGTCCTGAACGCCATAAGGCTACTGAAATGCGGAAAAGCAGCAGGACCAGATGGATCCCACCAGAAGCACTGAAAACAGACGCAGAGACAACAGCGGACATGCTCGCACCACACCACTATTACAGAAGGTCTGGAAGGAAGGAAAGGTACCTGCAGATTGGAAGAAGGGATACCTTGTCAAACTCCCGATGAAGGGAGACCTAAGTCTTTGCAAGAACTGGCGTGGAATCATGCTCCTCTCTATCCAAAGTAAGCAAAATATTAAGCCGCATCATCCTGGAGAGAATGAAGGATGCGCTGGATTCAAAACTACAACCAGAACAGGCTGACTGGATTCAGGAAGTACAAATCATGTGCGGACCAAATCGCAACGCTACGCTACGCATCATCATAGAACAGAATACAGAATGGCAATCAACTCAACTCTCTAGCTCAACTTCATCGACTTTGAAAACGCCTTCGACAGCGTCGACCGACAAGTAATTTGGAAACTGCTTCAACACTAAGGAATATTACAACCTCTATCAACCTCATTCAACAATTATATGAAGACGCCACATGACAAGTAATTCACAGTGGGAAGCTCAGTGATGCCTTTGAAGTGAAGACAGGAGCAAGACAAGGCTGTCTACTATCACCATCAATGATCTTCCTAATTGTGGTGAACTGGATAATGCAACAAACAGTGAGGAGAGAGAAGAGGGGGATACGCTGGACCGGGGAAAACATCCTAGAAGATTTGGGTTTCGCCGATGACTTGTATCTAATGTCACACAAACTTGAAGATCTACAGGCAAACACTAACAAGTTGACAGAGGAGGCAGGGCAGCGAAGACGGGACTTCAAGTGAACATAGAGAAGACAGAGGTGATGATAATACCTAACCAACGCCACCACTAACAACAAGCTCCAATCACCATTGACGGGAGAAACCTAAAGGAAGTAGTCTGTTTCACCTACCTAGGCAATGCTGCATCGTTTCACTTACCACAGGTGGCGGCACAGACGAGGATGTCAAAACCAGGATCAGAAGGGCAGCAAGACAGGCCTTTCTTCATTCACCTGAAATCAGTGTGGAGACCTTCTGCACTCAGCATAAAGTGTGAACAACATCCAGATTTCTAACACCAACGTCAAGTCAGTGCTTCTATGTGATGGTTCAGAGACTTGGCACGTTACGAAAAGCACTTCCAACAAATTACAGACATTCATCAACAACTGCTTACGCTCACTCAATACTGAAGATCATATGAGATGGCCAGAAAGAATAAGCAATAAGGAACTCTGGCTGACTGTCAACGAACCAACCAAGAACCTATCACTCAAGGAATATGCAGAAGTAGAAAGTGAAGATGGGTTGGTGTGAGCATACACTGAGAAGGCCAGTGGGGACATCAGCGTCAGGTGAGGCCGTCGAGTGGAATCCGAAGGGTAAACGACGAGTTGGGTGTCCGAAGTGAGGGTGACATGGAGGAGATCATGTGAGGAAGAAATGAAAGCTTGTGGGCAGTCATGGAGCGAGTTTCAAAAGACTGGAGAGAACAGAGTGGAATGGAGACGCGCTAATGTAGCGGTATGTTCCACTGGGAACTAAAGGGATAAATAATAATACTAAATATCAACATCAATGAGCATATGTTGTGTCACTGGAAGTTGACATTCGTGAATTCTTTGGCTTATTCAGCCACTAGATTGGTCAAAATAGTGACATCTACAGTTTTAACGACTAATTTTAGTTACCACATTCGTAACGTTTTCTTTCGGTATTCTGCTGGGAGTTAGTTGGTTTGTATGCTATGCTGATACTGCACATGAGTGAAGTAATCGGTTGATAGTTTCTGCTATATTTTTTGTGTACGGTAAAGTGATCCATTTTTTAAGTTGAATTAATTACCTTGATGCAGGTTTCTTTTGTTGGAATTTCTCTATAAAGTTGATTGGATAGTCCTTTTCTTTGATATAGTTTTCTTCTGACTTCCATAGTTGTTGAGTACTGCAATGAGTCTGCACGTACGAATAGTGTTTGTGCACAACTGTTCTTATGAGATATTAAGGTGTCGCTGTAGTAATTCAAAACTTGATCTATGTGTATCACTCTCCTGTTTACTTGAGTCTGTAATGGTGTCGTCATCTGTTCTTCTGATAAGTACACCTAGGAATGCGATTTCTTTATTTTCTTCTCCTTTTGTGAATTGAATACCTTCAAATGTTTACTTGATGATATAGAATGTATTTACCAATTCTTTAATCTTGATAATTACAACAGTGTCATGGACATAATTAATCCAATTTTTCTGTTTGATTATTGAAATGAAAATTGATTCTTATCTTTGTGTTACTGAATATGTTTGAGCTCATGACAGTTCCTTTGATTTGTTTGTTGATCTCCTCGTTGAACTGAAACTACATCATGAGATGATGGTTAATTAGCTTAAGCAAGTTTGTAGCAGTAATTTTTGAATACTTTGGAAAATTCTGGTTGACCTTGAGAAGGTCTGGGTTGATTGACTCGAAAAGTGTAGTCGTACTGAAGGACACTATTTCTTTGTCAATATCTGTCTTTGGGTCTTTTATTCTCTCTAGGAATTAATTTTTTGATTTGACTGAATGTTGACTTGCATCGACAAGATAGTTTAGTCTTTAGTATAATTCTCTGGATAAATTAAATTATGATACTCCCACTAGTGACACTCGATTGTTATGGAATACCTGACTTGTGTATTTTTGGTCGACCGTAAAATCTAGGTAGAACTGGACCGTTCATTTTCATTCGCGATTTCTCTTCTTTCGTAATTTGACCAGCTTTTATATATCCTAATTGATTCTGAAACATGTATATGATCACTACCACAACTTTGACAGGGACAACGTGGAATACTAGAAGAATCAGGCTGAACTTTATTTCGCTGTGTCCAGAATAACCCAGGATATGCATTTCGTCCTACTTAGGACTCATCAGCTGGATAACCTGCACCCTAGAACGGAGCGATGTTGTCCCCACTGAGATTCGAACGTCGTACCCATCGCTTCAAACACCAAGGCATTATCCACTAGGCCACTGAGGCATGATACCCACCTCTTGTACAATTGGTAGTAGTTATTGCTGCTTGTTGATATGCGGGTGATAACCGAGCTAAACGTTGAGAGGTCCTGGAAGCATGATACTCCAACCAGATAGCAATCAACAGACACGCGGACATTGACCTCAATGTATGGTCTATCGAGGAGACCTATGCATCAATTACAGATGGAAGTCATCCGAAGAATTGTTGCAATCTAAAGAATACCGTTGCATTTTAATTTATCCATCGTCATCCATTCATTTGTGTAAATGCTTTCAAACTTATCATAATTTGTTTTATACTTTCCTGATAGATTTCCTTGAAACTAACAATCTGTTTGTCAGGTTAGAAGCACATGCTCTTGATGTGTTTCCTCAGAAATCAATTGCATGCGGTAGTCTTTCTTGGATTCTTAAGAATTCTGAAAGGTATAAATCAGTACCTAATGATATTGCTTGCATTATATACGCAACAACATTGAAAACTAAACCCATCGCACAAGAAGTGGCTATTGTGACTAGGTGGTTTAGTGGTAACACTCTGGAGTTTGGAGCGGTCGATCCCGAGTTCGAGTCCCATCACGAACAACGTCATTGGTTGGGAGGCAGAGACTTCTAGCTGGTGAGTCCCAAATGGGACGAAATGCATATCCTGCATTCCATTGCTAGCTAATAACCATCCTTTGTTAATCAGTACCGTTTGAAACTCCTTTAACTTTTATCACTTTGTTTCCGTTTTCTTGTTTTCCAAATTGGATATCTTACTAGTTAGCTACTAAAAATATTACTGAAGAGTACGTTTTAGTGGAAGCTAGAAAAGTATTTAAGTTTTCAGAAATTGAAACGAGATTAATGGCAAACATTTTGTTACCATCTACCAAAACACAGCCTCACATTGTGTTGATTTAATAAATGCAATGACTGTAGTCTTCCCAACTATGGGATTTGACCATAGTTTTCTCATTGGAGATCGTCATATCATCAAATTGATCTCACAGTAGAATGTTTAGTTCTCATACTTTACTTGTGTTTACTGTCATTAATGCGCATAGTGAATCACCTTTTGATGAACTGTACCGCAGTCAAAGTGGAGTTATGGCTAGTTGGTCTAGAGAGATGATTATCAACCAGTAAGTCAGGGATTCGAACCCCGCTCCACCTACCGAGGTTTGGGAAACCAAATAGTATCACTATCCCCCACACAATAGGTGTGCTTCCTTGCCTATTGAACAGATAAGCACAAGGTGGCCGAATGCATTTCGTTCGTTCATTCACCAGAGTTAAAGACCCATGTTAGTACGCAGATATTTTCAAAGGTATCTCAATACTGTTGCAAAATTAATTCGCATCGTATTTAATTTCAAGTAGAAGGATAATTCAAGATATGTGTTATTTGCCTGGGACTGTAGACTCAAATAAATCATTATTCTGCACTCTTCTGCTAAGTCTTTGTTTCCTTGGAGTTATGTCCTGCACTAGTAAGTATTAATAGAATCTTTGTGAAAATACTAACATAGAGTTTTACTTAACATGAATTCTCCCTGTCTCTTAATTTATATCTCTATTGTTGTTTTCCTATTTTTGTTTTCACAGACGAGAACTGGATAGCCGTTACAAATTAGATAGCCCAGAGTTGACAAAATTAATATCAACTAAAATTGATTTGATACAAACACGTTACCAACATACTATTGATACCTTACAAGAAAAGTAAGTTTAGTATGTCTGGAATTTTAAAACATGCATAGACTTCCTGTTTATGAATACAGTTTGATTACCGAAACATTTTTCACCTTCTGTGCTTTCTCTGTAGCTGTATGACCGCGTATTAGATTCATCTATATTTTTATTTTGAAAATGTCTTCTAAAAGTGAAAGGTATCGGCCGAACTGGAAAGCAACACTTAAAGTTATCAGCCGCTAAGGTAGAAGTTTTTATATTTCAATTTTTATTTCATGTCACTGTGGTGTAGTCAAGAGAATCTTATTGGATAGTTTTATCCTACAGCCAACTAATCAGAACAAGGCCTTAGGCTCCTGACCTAAAGGTTTTATATCTTGATGTAAACTATACATATAAATGATGTATTTTTGTCAAACAAAGGGTGTTCTTTACAGTCGCGGGCCATTCCTTGTCTTCTGATACCTTCATGGCTCAGTAAAGTATGAGATATTGAAGGAGAACAGTAGCTATTCAGGTATCTCATTGCTTAGTATCGTCAGTGTATTTCTTATTACTGACTAAATCACTTCGAAAAGGTGTCAACAATAAAATTTCCCAAGTTTTTTTTCTGTGGCTGACTAAATGGATGCAAAAATATTAATGCTTTTCAGAGGTGATGCCAAATCACCAAAAGCAACTTTGTCTTTATGTTGTCTTATATACTGCTTGGTGTATTTTTTGGAAATTGAGATGGTTGTACATATCACGAAATTTTGTCCTTGCATAATCAATATTGTTCTTAGTTCTGGTCAACGGAATTCAACCAACAATAAAAGCTATACAATCTACTACTGTTTACTTTGCACTGTTTTGTTACTGTATTTGATATTATTGTAACATGAACAGCTAAATAACTGCATCCTCAAGTTGTTTGAACTTGAATGAATCCTCAGTGGAGCATGATCATTGACTTGTCGATTGAGCGGTCTTGTGGTAATCTATGTTACTGAAAAGGTCACTTTTCGTAGAAAGCTCTTTACCTGAGTATTTTTGGGCTCATCGAAACTTATGACTATATTTTGGTCACCGTTTGAATTAACTCTCTTGAGTCATGTCTTCATTTCTCCTTTCTAATTTCCTTTTTGGAAATGAAATCATCACATTCATGTTTGTTTCTTATTTGTGTGCCTTCTTAGGCGTAGCAACTGAAACCGATGTAGTTATGTTGGAGGGTTGTAAGTCAGTCTCCCAGTCTTCGCATATACTGTTGACGGGATCTCGGCCGGATTTCAAAATACCCGTCTGGCGTTTGTCAATTCAAGTGACTTGTACTGCTGATGAGTTAGACGACTACGTGCCAAAGAAGTTAGGCGGGTGGTTCTAGTCAAAGTGACAACTTAATCGGTGAAGTTGTGAACCTTCACCGACTGAGGTAATGTGAATGTGTGTTGTGCACTCCGACCCACCCCCCAAGTAGACGAAAGGTGTTAGTCAAAGTTGAATCAGGTTGAAAGGAAGTTGAAGTAGACGAAATCGACAAGTGGTACCTGTCGATGAAGTTTCTGACTATTAATCTGACCCTCATTTAGTGGTTTCTTCTGCGTGGTTGGAGTACCGTAGATGATGCGAATCCATCGTTAAAGACTATTGGTGATATGGCTGTAAATCTGTTGCATTAGCCTACACATATACACTATCTATTTTCTTCTAACTCTGAAACAGCTTTAGTAGCAGTAATATATTTATGATCGCTTCTTACGTGCAGTTTTGTCAACTTTTATTTCATTCATTTCCTGTCAACTTCCTAGTTGCATGCTGATGTGAAGTAAGGCGATTTGGAATGATACGCTTCTATGTTAATCGAACTGTCTGTCTTTCTCAGGAAATGTTTAGACGCAACACTTCCATCCTGCAATTTCTGATAGTTGATTGTCTAACAGATACTTATCTTTTAGACTTGTAATAGTTGGATGGTTAAGTATTGTTTGATTAAAATGTTGATAAAATGGAGATTCTTCTGAACATTCATTTATCCATTCTATCTATGGTGCTTGGCTACTAACGAAGAAAATATGTAAGATTTGCAGCTCGTTAACTAATACTGCCATTAAAACACTACTTGCAGCTGTTATAACCGCTTATTGAACGAATTCAGTTCTAATCTGGGAGTATTCATTCAAATGACTAGATCATTCGACAGTTTGTTAAACATTTATTAACTACTTGATTTATAGATATAATGAGCCTAACAAACCATTATTTGTCCCGAAGCGATATTTTAGCTAGTGAATGAGTACATTCGAAGAAGACAGACTGGCAAATCAACGTAAAACTTAATCAAGAAGCACATCACCTCAAGTTTCCATATTTTTAAACAGAATGTTAATTAGGAGTGAAGAGAAAACAACTGATATTAGAACAGACAAAGGATAAATAATGATACTACATACTCGCTCAAACCTTGCTAAATGGGGCGAGATTCAAATCTGTTATCCCCTGATTGGGTGTCACATAACTAGACCAGTGCATTAAGAAGTTGGAAGTCCCATTGTTATCAAAAATGATGTGAGTTATCAAATTCGAAACTGGTCTTCTACATCCAACGTGAGATTTCGATAGCAACTTCCTAAATGAATGGAGTGTTCAACGCATTCACACTTGAGAATTCAATGTGGGACAATTTTGAAACACTAACTTAAAGTTAACTGATGTATGCCAAACACTCAAATTTCTGCTCAACGCGTTTAGAAGACCCTAAATTTTGTTAGTCTCCAACTAGCAGGACAAAGTTATCTGCTTATTCCAAGTCAACTAGATGGCCCAGACAGTACGTTAATCCCTGCGAAGTTAGACGTATCTATAGTTATGTTCAGAAGTACGTCTGTGATGAAGTTAAATAGGAACGGTGACAGTGGATTTCCCTGCCAAACATCACAGATTGCTGTCATTTCATATGACAACTCTTAATAAGCCGTCACACGTTTGCGTGAACTCGAGTAAAAAGCTTTGATTAGTGTCATATACTTGCCCGGTACTTCCTTCACAGTCAAATACTGCCACAACACTTCATGATCGACAGAGTCAAATGCTGCCGTCAAGTTGAGAAATATGGCAAGCGTCGGCCCCTATTACGTATACCTATGTTTCAGAACCAGCTAAAAGACGAAAATTTGGTCCTTGTACTCTCTTCCAAGTCTAAGACGTTCCTGGTTTTCCCAAGCCGTGAACCTTCAGCGACTGAGATGGCTTGAATATGTGTTGTGCATACCAGGCCATGTCCTACCTCGTTGTCTAGTGCTAGGAAAATTTGCATTAGGTTGAAAGATGGCTCAGCGTGGCCAGACCAAGACATAGTACCGGTTGGTGGGATTCCTGACTGTTGCTTTCAATTCATTTCTGTAATCTATTCTTCTTTATTTTCACAGACTTACTGAAAGCATCAAACGTTATACAGCTCTGGAAGATGAATTTCGAATGGCATTAAGGATAGAAGCAGAACGATATGATATAGTATGTTGAATAATCAATAATAATTAAAGTGTTACTTTGTGTATTAGTTTAGAAAACTAACTATTTCTGCTGTAGATAAAAACAGACAACCAGGTAATTACAACATTGTGAATATTCGTAAGTATCACAGTATCTACATAGGAGCCAATCTGCCAATGGAGGTCGAATAGTTTGACCACATATAGCATCGGGGAATTATGAGTTTCATACAACAGCCGATACCTATAGCACAAGAGGTGCATGTATATCCTGCTGACGGGTCCCAAGTAGAACAAAATGCGTATATTGGATTCTACTATTGGTCATCAGCATGAATAATAACACCTATTGATCAAATATATCAAATACTGTGAAATATATGTACCAAGTAGTTAGAATACAGAATAGAATAGGACCTTGAGACAGACCAGTAAAGAAAATAATTGTTTAGAGACCACATACACACTGACCTGTTGATTTTATTAACTATTTCAAGATGATTTGAACATGGTGATTTACGAGAAAGAAGTGCACTTATCCAATTATCTGAACGACTTGATTACTGGCAGATTATCGTCAGAAGTAAGTGACGGTAGAACAGGATGTTCGGATAAAGTGAATGCATCCCCATTTTCATGATTTATTTTAAGTCATAACATGAATCTCATTCATTGGAATCTCTAGTTTCTTGAATTTTTCTGCGACGAGGTCTTTACTAACCAACATTACTCAGACCAGAATTTAATAATTCCATAAATCTATATCGTTTGCTGGTTGCCTATTAGAAATAACATCGATTTGTATTTAATCCTATCAGTATGCTACCTTGGCTATGTGTAGTCATAACTTTTGCAGTCATTCAAAGTAATAGTTACTGACTCATCGATTCTCCATGATCAAGTTTGTTGACTTTGCATGTCCTTCATATGTCAATCCAATAGTTTAACTTTGTTTTCATCAACTTCTCTGGAATCTTCAAAGGATCCAAGAATGTTAGCAAACACTTGTATAACCAAAGTAGTTTCTGGTTTAGAATTCGAAAAACTATAAGCAATGGACTTTTAAAAATCAGATGGTTTTGTGATAGCTAAGAGGTTTCATCGGCTTAATAGGTTGCAAGTCTTCGTCGTTGATTGGCCACTTTTAGCATATGGGCTCCTGTGTAGATGCCTTGATATTGCCAGTATTTTTAGCTTCGATATTATTGCTAGGCAGTAGCTTGCATATGACATCAAAACCACACTATACCCTTTGCACAGTGAGTGGCTATCATGACTCATTGGCCCCTATTCTAGGTTTGATCGGTCAGTTTGTCAACCATTGTCATAGTGGGTAATAACATTGCCCAGAACCTTGAGAGAAACCCCAAACCGCTGAAGCTTTTCATAGCCAATCATTTTCTATTCAAGTTTCGGGAAAAGGTGCATGATCATATATACAAATATAAGATTGGTTGAAGAGGCCAAGTCAGCAGTGAATGCCCTTCGAGAAAGGCCTGAAAATATCAAACGCTTTTGTGAGCATATATGTAAACAGATATACTTGTATACATTTAAACTTTGCAACACGCCTCCTCTTATTTTACCGCCTTTTCTTTTTACCAAGGAACTGAGCAATCACCAACAGTGGAGACTGAACGTTATGTTTCAAGTGTCCATACCCACACAAATAACCAAATTATATCAAATATGATGAAGTTAGATTTCCTAGTAATCATACTTATAAAAATATTAGAACATTTTATGTGGAATAATTCCAAGTTTTGATCGAACGGGTTTGTTTTATTTTCCTTAGGAAAATTAACAAAGTTAAGAGATAAGTAGTATAAAAATAAAGTCAAAAGTTTGTGACATCTTCATTATTTTTCCACTTTGAATTAAATCCAAATCGGATCCATTTTATAGCATACTAATTTCTGATTGAATCATATCATTTTTTTTGGAGCTGATATTGGGGAATGTCGATAAGATATTATTGTTTTCGGCGAGGGACTTATATGAATACCAGATATACTTTAATTTTATAGTAATCGGTCACTTGATAGCAACCAATTTCATATAATCTGGTCACGAGGGCTAACCGTGTTCTATCGGTCACTTTGCAATGTGGACATCAAGCTAGGAAACTTAATAGTACTTCCAAATTCTCATGGAACCACTTCGGGGAAAATTTTGAGGTTAAGTAAACAGTTCTAGGAAAAAAAGGCAGTCACTTGATGAAGTTGGAAACTCAGATGACTGAGAAATATGTTACGCATGCATAGTCAGTGTCTAGCCTAACGTACAACCTCAGCTGAAGTATTTTAAACAGGAAAAATATCAAAAGCGGAGAAACTAATACATGGTATGAGTCCATGAAGTTCCTGACACTTGATCTCAGCCATGTGGTGTCCGTGTGACAAATGAAATCAGTGGTTGGAGAGTCTCGATGATATAACTTAGATTTGATCATCCTAATAGTTCCATAGAATTTCGGCACTTATTTATTCTCCCTTTTTCTAACCTTCTCACGTTCTACCACTTTTGACTGTTTTCTTCCTTATTTCTCTTCATCTTGCTGCCCTACATCTTGAAGTGTAATGCTATGAGTCATTCAAAAGTGAACTCAAATTTTAAATTTATACATGAAAATCGAACAAATACTATTTTAACAATGAAGAAACAACTTAACGTTGTAGGAAGACTGTTGTACACATAATAAAAGTGGGAAGTGTCATATTGATCATCAGTACGACTATCAGAGATACCTGTGGTTCGATAGACTAGTTGTATTGACTGAAGATGAAATGAAAATCCAGGTCATGATAAGCTTCCAACCAGTGGCCTCCACGACAGCAACTCAATCTCTTACTTTTGCATGATTTCCACATTCTTACTATCATTGATATTAATACTCACTAATATATATCCTCCAAGAATTTTCTCAGCTCACACACTACGGAGTGCCATAAACTTCTATCAACCTGATTCAATAACTATATGACGATGCCACATGCCAAGTAATTCACAATGGAAAGCTCAGTGATACCATCGTAGTGAAGACAGGAGTAAGAAAAGGCTGTCTACTACCACCGATCATCTTCCTGATTGTGGTGGACTGGATCATGTGGCTAACCTTGAGGAGTGAAGAGATGAGCATACGCTTCCTGACCGATGAAAAGAGTCTAGAAGATTTGGATTTCGCCAATGATGATTTCTGTCTAATGTGTTGTTGCATAAACTCGAAGATCTACAGGCGAAAACTAACAGGTTGACAGAAGAGGCAGTGCAGCGAAAACCGGACTTCCTTCAAGTGAACATAGAGAAGACAGAGGTGATGAAGATACCCAACCAACATCAGCATCAACAACAACAAGCTCCAATCACCATTGACGGGAGAAACCTAAAGGAAGTAGTCTGTTTCACCTACGTAGGCAATGCTGCATCGTTTCACTTACCACAGGTGGTGGCACATATGAGGATGCCAAAACCAGGATCAGAAGGGCAGCAAGACAGGCCTTCGTTCATTCACCTGAAATCAGTGTGGAAATCTTCTGCACTCAGCATAAAGTGTGAACAACATCCGGATTTTCAACACCAACGTCAAGTCGGTGCTTCTATGTGATGGTTCAGAGACTTTGCACGTTACGATGAGCACTTTCAACAAACTATAGACATCATCAGCAGCGGCCGTTTATGCTTACTCGATACTGAAGATCAGATCAGATTGCCTGAATAATAATCATAAGCAACATTGAACTCTGTGAACGAACCAACCAAGAACCTACTATTCAACAAATATACAGACGAAGAAAGTGGAGATGGATTGTGCAAACACTAAGAAAACGATTCAGAGGCATCACGTGCCAGGAATCCAATTTGAAAACGATTAGTTTGACTTCCGAGGGTGACATGGTGGAGATTTTGTGAGGAAGAGATGGAATTTTGTGGGCAGTCGTAAAGTGAGGTTCAAAAGACTGCAGCGAATAGTGTGAAATTGAGATGTGCGCCTGAAGCCCATTGTTCCACTGGGAACACAAGGGACAAATAATAACAATATAATTTTATGAGAAGTTGCCTTTCCAGCCGTAATAGATGAACCTATTTGGCCACTCCTATCGTTGCTAGCGTGGCCTTTAAAGTCACCCCAGCCTTACTGATTCTAAATTTAGAAAACAAACAATTTGGGCGAAGAAATATTTTTTTTCAATTACTTCCTAATCGATGGCTCGACGGCTTCATATGTAGCATTTTCAAAATATAAAATTATGTACTTGTATATTGGTGTTAATTGTTTCATAACAAGCTGTCAGTCTCAAAGTATTAGGGAGGTGATAATTAATCAAGTTGATTAAAACTGTAGCCAAAGTATAAATTAATTATATAGTAAAATTTGTGGAATTTTAAAACTAGGTCATAGGTGCGAACTACTGAGAATTCCCACATTAGGACGAAGCACCTCTGCAGTGCTCCAGGATTTTGAATGGTTCTCCGACTGCTGTTTGTCCGTGATGAGTACTGCCTTAAGATTTTAAACAGTTTGTTGCACAAATGATAGTGTGTATGGTCGTAACTAACACGAAGAGAAGAGAAAATGAATTATTGAGCCAAGTGGTCAATTCTTGGCAGTAGTTATAGACAACAGAGAGAAGAACATGATGGCTTAAGCTGTAATCATGATAATAGGGATAATAATAATTGAAAGCTTTCGTAGGATGAACGAGTGAAAGGGCGATGTATTTTATAGGTGAGCTGTACACGTGGCTAAGGGAAAGAAAGAGGCTGTACGAAATTCGTTTGAACACACGAACACAAGTGGATTATGATGACTTCCGATGTATGTGAAAGGTGAACTTGTAGGGCATGTGTGAGATTAGAACGAATGTGATAAATAACATTAAAGGCGTTATGAGTATTAATTCAGTGACCATTGTCAACCAGATAGAAGAGTATTAAGCCCAGTATCCGTCTTGTTTTCTCTTTACTTAAGCATAACGGATAATGTTCTTCGATTTGACAACAGACTTGGCTGACTGTGCACCCAATGAAACTGGCTGCATAGGAGCAGATGAAATGGTAAACACACAGAAGAGCCGAAGTCAGGTAGTCTGTATTTGATTCATGAAGCTATCATCGGTTGACTGTGGAATACACAGTATAAATTTGCTACGGTTTCTCGGAAACTGTAGATACTCGGGTTATTATATTAGACATGTTTGTACTCTTAGCTAGAAACTTTTCCGGACATTACTAGAGAGTAGATTATGGATAATTAGTTCTTCATCGAAAGTATCACCTGAACGGATAATTGAACCAAACATTCGACGAGATTTTGTTTGTTCAAGGGGACCAATTGCATGAATAATCTTTCAGACGTCAGTTGAGCCTGATAATATATCGCATTCCCTGCATTGTAAAAATAATACGAAAAGTGATGGAGACTCTTTACACTGTCATTATACTTGATGTAGACCGTTTGGTGTAATTAGAACCTTTATTTTGGAAACATTGGTTTTATGTGGTGTACTATCGACTTTATGTTTGGAGGAATGATCGGTAAACCAATTCTGAATGAATTAATCTCATATCGATTAGCTTTTCTATCCAGATACTGGGTGATGATTGAAGGTGAAATGAAAATCTGGGCCTCAGTAGGGTTCTAATCAGCAACCACTGGGTTTCCGGCTCAATGCTCTACCAACTGAGCTATGAGGTCCAACTGCTGACCAGATTTTTATTTCACCTCAATCAAGAAGGGTTTTTCCCGACCACCGTGTGAATTCGTGACGCCTTACTACCGCTTGATCGTATTCAGGTGAAGTAATACTCTGGTCAGCAATCGGACCTCATACCTCAGTTAGTTGAACATCAGGCCGGAAACCCGGTGGTTGCAGGTTCGAATCCTACCGTGGTTCAAATTTTTATTTCACTTTCAATCATCACCGATTATAATTACTAGTATTCCAAAACACGCCTATCTCAGACAGTCAAAATAGTAAATCATAGTTATGGATAGATGATTGAAGACAAAATAGAATCTTTTTCTCTAGGTGGATTACTACTGAAGGGCGTTTTATTTATCAGCCAAATGTTAGTTGAACTGATTTGTGAGATTTGATAGCTAACCAACCTTTAGTATCACTGTAACCGCATAGCTTTTCATGCTTATGTATTCACCTCAGCTTTCATTTTCGTTATCATGGACTTGTACACTGTTATTAATCATTGCTTTTGTTTTGCATACCATTTCTCTTTGACTACAGTTGCTTAAAACATCAGAGTTATGTAAAGAAGAATTAGGCGAAACACAGTCACAATTGAAAGAAAAAACTGAACGTGAAGAATCTATACGTCATTTAATTGAAGAAATGAATACAGTAGGTGTTTCACAATTTTTGCATTGATTTATGGCACTACTTAAACTATAAATAACAGCATCTTTACCAGTCAAGGGATTGTCGTATAGATAATCTTACATTTTGATGAGCTTTTGTGTTCCAAATGAGGCTTTATTCTGGCGCCTAGTTCTTAGACCACCAAAGTTGTCTCCAGTATACCTCAGTGAAAAAAAGGGTCTACTCTAAGTGAATTAAATTAGGAATTGGAAAGCTTCAAGCTCAAGGGATAAATAACGCTCATTCAAAATGTGGTTATCATATTCTTTTTACCTGATGGATATTGACTACTCACTGTTGAGTAGCCGTGTCATAGTTCACTACATTGTAGCTATAAATTAATTCCCTTTTGCTGACATCTGTGAATTATGATAAGCACATTCTTTTAACTATGGGAAATATGCATCTTCTCACTCTTGTACAACTATTCTTGTGAGCTTCATGTCTTTCCATTATTTCTTATTTCATGCCTTTCAATTCAAAAGCAACATCTGTTCAACTTTGGATGATAACACTCAGTTTCAGATCTAAGTGGCTATATAATGTGTATCTTTAAGTTATTTTATATTATGGAATTTTTATTCATATGTTGTCATATGGAACTTAAATAGAGGAGAACTAAAACTAGTAAAAAAAGGTACCACTATCTTACCTTGTGTTCCATCCACCACGTTATTAGTTCGTTATGAGATGTACACAAACCACTTGACTGAAGTTACAATGTGTATTTACCTTTATGACACATTCTTTGGTAAAAAAAATTCATAACGTAAACCATAAATTATTATGACTAAAGATCTTCCACGGTATGAAGCTATCTGTAACCATCCAGTGGCTTAAAAGTTATGTCTTTTTAATTCTAAATGAACAACTACGCGGAAACAGATTATGCAGCCGCTCTCATCAAAAATGTTAGAAAAAACGCAACATTATATTTCCATGAATTGTAGAGTTATAGGCTGAACTCTAAAAACTCTTCTGACATTACCTTCTTAACAAGTTTGATGATAATAATTTTGTAACTCATCCTGTATGTTAATGATGGATAAAGACTATCAGTGGAATCCAAGACACATGTTTCGTTCTATTTGGGACTCGCCAGCCGGATGTACCTGCTTCATAGTGAAGTGGTATTATTCCGATTAAGACTTTATCCCGAGACCGGTCTCTTCAAACAGCAGAATAAGCAACTGAGGCAAGGTAGCGATTCCTTATGCGATGGCGATAGTTCTGATATTGTAGTTTGTGATTTCCACACGTTGATTGAACCGAAATAATCAGGCACTGTTGGCTTATGGGCTCATGTGAGGATGCCGTGATATTGTCATTATTTTCAGTTTGATATCATTCTTAATTTTATGATGCTATAACAGAAGAGAATAAGACGATTCAATACACGTAAAAATATCTTGAAATAATTTTAATGAATATAATTCTTAACAATGACAAAGGGGAGCAGAGTGGAGAATATAATCACATTCAGTAATCATCCCATATCGTAATCTCATAGATGTCACTTGCGCGTTCGCATTTGTCAACTAGTTAGGTTCTCCTCAACTTTTTCTAACAGCGTTTTGTATTGCTAACCAACCCATCCTTTTTTTCTCCCTAGAACACTCTCCAGCTAATCGTTTACTCTTGTACCTTTCGGTGAAAACATCGCATTACATACTACTTAAATGCACTATTATAAGTAGTCTACACAGTAACACGAGCAAAGGAAGAATAAGACCGTAGGATTTGACAAAGTCTAAGGGTAGTGCCATCTTTGGCATTTTAAACCAAAGTGAACTGATCACTGTGAGGAAAAACGTATTTACTTGATTAGACATCAAAGGTTATCAACTTCGAGAAATTTACTACTCTAAACGATACACTGGCAATGGCTGAAAATGAACTGTTTAACCATTCACCAGTGCTATGTATTCTTCAACTATTTTATCCTTTCATTGCAAACAGTTCATACTGATGATAAATTCTCAGCATTAATCCCTGATATTTCGGGAGTTTAATGAAGTCTTAACTTTCAGAAGTTCACCTACAAAGTTCAAACTTTTCTACTTCCCACGGTCGTTTCTACTACATAACATGGGATTAAGTTTTAAATCCCTTAAAGTAGGTGTAATTACTAGTCAATAGACAAACTTTCGGCCACTAAATCCACTTATATATATATATATATTTCATGTATCAACTCATGAGCCGAAGTTTTTCATTAAAAGCACTGAATGAAGTGTATTACTCTTTCCATACTGCACACTAGTGGGTGATTGTGAGGCGTGTTCAGTGCGATCTATAAAATCTTGTCGAACATAAGAATTTGTTTTGACGTCTTTGAGAGTGATGAGCGTTGTATACTTCGATAATAAGTAATTTTATTTGATACAACATATGGAACTAATTGCTCATGACCATGTCAAGGTAGTCATACAACTTCTAACACCCGATCTTCATATTTCTATCATTTTTGATACTTTGGTTTCAATGGTATTAGGAGTTTTCATATATCCAAAATGAGTGTTACGTGATTTCGATTGCATTTATTATGTGTTGACTTGATGAACAGCAGCCCCGTAATCGATTTCTAGTCCCACCTAAATTGGTCTTTACTAGTGTCACCCTATTTCTAGTCCATAAGAATTGGGTGGTTTGGGATTTGGAAAGTCTCTATTTGAATATAATGCCAGGGCTAAGGCAGTTCGTAAGTTGAGCTATTTCTGAAGTTAACTATTTGGCGTGTAAAACAACCTGATTTATGAATCTAAATGATGCCATGCAGTCTGGTAGAATTATTGGTTTCAGGAAGTAAATTAAACTAATCTTATGAATTGAAACTAAGGGTTGATAGTCTGCGTAAAGAAAAGATTGGAAGGACTAATACTTTTTGTGACAAGCCTCTATATGTTAATCAGTATGGCTATTGAGGTTATTATAAGTCAACTCAGAGTTTCCTCTGAAGTTATTGATAACATCAGAGTACTGGCTAAAGAAAATATGTTAGGGGTACATTTATGCGCCTATCCTCTACAGTTATCAGATTTCAGGACGAACAAAAACAAACAGAAGGAGTCTCAGTGGAATCAACAATATCCCCGATTGTAGCAAACATATTTTTGGATAGCTGAGAATTCATAGCTTTAAGAACACTCAACCCTAACCCCGATATTATGTTGGAAATATGTATATGACAAATTTACTGTGCTGAAATCAAAGCATGTTCCCAATTTCTTAATGTTTACAAACTTCATGATAGATGCGACCCAATTCACTTTCGAGTTTACAGATGAACAAGAAGAATTAACCGTGTTGGATTGCAAAATTAAACGAAGGGAAAATGATGGCTTAAGTAGCACTGTTTATAGAAAACCAACGCATTATAATAGATATTTAGACTTCAGGTGAGTTCACCCGGAATCAGTTAAAGTAGGTTTAGTAATCACAAGCTAGATGTCTAACGAGTTAATCAAAAAAACCTAAGTAGTGAAAGGAAACAGATAAAAAAATCCTAAAAAGAAGAGAATAGGTAACAATGTAACTGGTGATTGAAACACAAAAAAGAGGGAATTCATGTCGTCGATAGTGTTACCATAGAAACAGAGGACAACGGGATTACGGTGGCCATCACACCTACAAACCCATTCAGAGGGAAACTGTATCTGCCTAAATATTCTATTAACCCAATAAAATCAAATAATTTGACTTGCCAAATAGTGTAATGAGTATCGGTTCAGTATATACTCTCGATACTGAAGATCAGATGGGCAGAAAGAATAAGCAACAAATAACTCTGGCTGGCTACGAACCAACCAAGAACCTATCACCCAATAAATATCCAGAAGCAGAAAGTGGAGGTGGATTGGGCATATACTGAGAATGCCGATTGCGGACATCACGTGCCAGTCTGTCGAGTGGAATTCAAAGGGAAACGACGACTGTGGGGTGGGAGGTGAGGGTGACATGGAGGAGATGACTTGAGGAAGAAATGAAAGCTTGTGGGCAGTCGTGGCGCCAGGTTCAAAAGACTGGAGAGAACAGAGTGCAGTGGAAGCGTGCTACTGAAGCCCTACATTCCATTAGGAACCCAAGGGAAAAATAATAAATAATATACGTCAGACGAGATGATCACAGTTAGTCAGATTAGCAGAATATATAAACTTAGCTAAATTTAGAATGATGGACCTAAACAATATAAGTAATTCACAAGGAATAGAATTTAACACTTTACAATCCTAGCTACCGACTTAGTAAGGTGGAACAACAGATTAACTACAGAATCTCTATCAAGTCAACATGTAATACATGCAATCGAAGTGACATAACACCCGTCTAGGATATATGGAAACTGCTATTATCACTAGAAATAATGCACAATAAATGACAGAAATATGAAAACTGAGTGTTGGAAGTTATAAGATTATCTTGATATGGTCATGAGCAATTATTTCTAGTCTGAACGTCATCCACTAAATAACAATATTTGACTGTAGACTGTATGTATCGAATAAACTTGCAAAACATGAAATTATACTCAATCATATTGCTCAAACTTTACTCTTACATGAAGCTTTGTATACATTTTTTCTTATACATTCTGTTCCATTGATAAGCATTATTAGTATGATAGGTTATTAAGTTGATCAAATATGTGTGTAAGAGACCAAATTTAATATGTAAATAATAGCCTAATAAAAAAGGTAGTTTCTGAAGTATTTCGGTTTCTGGGGATCCATATCACATTGAATGTGTGTGTTAGTTTGGTGTTTGTTTTTTTTTACTGTACAAGTTTTCCAGAACAACACCAGCGTCTTTTGTTCACTCTTTGGCTAGTATTTTCGAGATTTAACTAGTTTTTGAAGTAGGTGATACGTCGGAGTTTGCTAAAAATCTTTATCATCACATTACCTTACTACACCGAGAAATTGTAGTCGAATGGTCTAAATGAAGTTAACATAAAAATTTTAAATATCAGCTGAAATCAACAGCAGGATTTCGATGAAATTTGTTATCATCGGTTGTTATTATCATTTGATTAACTGTATACCTTGTGAAATATTATGCAGAATGACTCCGATTCCCATCATTAATGTTGAATGACTTTTTTTTTTCATATTCTCACTTTTTCGATGCTGAAAGTATTCTTTCTCATGTGAATTCAAAGGTTCATGTTGCTTAGTAATGCTGAATTAAAACAGTACAGCTGTTTAATACGTTTTGAACTTTCAAAGGTTGTACAGTTTATATCAATCTATAATGATGTGTTCCTACATTGAAATATAAACTGAAGATATATCATAGGGCTTTTCCAACCTTTTTTTTAATTTGAATTCTCTTCTCGTCTACACTTCTGTCTACTTCAATATCAGTCTTTTTCTGCTTACCTCTTTGTGTACCATGGTGAAGTGTGCCGAATTGAATTGAAGCACTCGTATGCAAGTTTCTTTATCCATCTATCTTTTATCGTAATAATTAAACTGGCAGAGAGTCAATGATACTAAATTCCAGTGTTTATAACAGATGTTTACTGGAAATAAAATAAACTATGATTAGTAGTTGAAGGCAAACTACATTTCAGCTTAACATTCAAATATCTTCCAACAAATCATCCTACTGTTCATATATTTAAAGGTAGTTTTTTTAATAAAAACTGATAGTTAAACCACATACAATGGTCATGATTGTAAGGTAAGGTTGGTGGTAAATAACTTTGGGAAATGACGAAGCGTATCCACCAGGTTGAAGCTGAATATAAGCTGCATTTCAACAACTTTTAACATCCTTGTATGCCAGACTATACAACACTCTTGATGTAGGGTAGTTCAGTTACTTTATTCCCCAGGCAATATAGATGGATTGATGCATATATCAGTAAATCAATGGTTTAGAAATCCATTCCCTAGACCACTATGTGCATATAGTGACTAAAGTATAAACTTTCCTTCTTTGAAGAAAAAAAAACAGTTTTTCCCAAGATTATTTTTTAGGTGATCAAAGAACAAAAATCGAAGTACACAAGTCAACAAAAAGCTAACTTGTTATTGCAACATAATTTGAAGGTAAGTTGACTTACGATGAAGAACACTGGAAAGTTTTCTGTCTCTGTTTACTGAAAAAACACTACTGAGTTTGTCTGTTTAGAACGTTCATTAGTGATTACTATTATATTACATCTTGTATTTTAGACATTTAACAATGTTAATTCAGTCGGGTAAAATGAACTACAACAATCGACTATAGTGTGTAGTTCACAACTGAAAGCTGTTTTACGACGAAACGAGACACACCCAGCTACCTTGCCCATATCTACGCGGTAGACAATGAGCCACACTTACTGTGCAAGGGCTGATGATACTACTTGGCTGCCCAAACCTCAGTAGGTGGAGCGGTGCTCGAACCCGTGACCCTATGGTTGATAATCATTTCCACTAACTACTGAGCAACAGCTCTACAAAGCTATTGTACAAAAGAGAGTCTTCGTTACTGCTTTGTGTGATAGCTAACTGTTCGATACTTGGAGTGATGTGGTTGGTTTTACACTAAGTTGGAACATTATCATTGAATTCAATGGGATGAAACATGTGTTTTGAACTCCACTGCTGGCCAATAATGAAGAAACAGTAACTCACTATGTAATAAAAACCTAATCATGATTTTGAACCAGGTATGATTTCAGTATTGGTCATGGTAAACGATAGAACAAAATCTCATTCACAGTTATCAGTGAGGTGTTGCAACCCAACGGGTACAGTATATAACGGAGTCTATGATGAACCACTAGTCGTAGTTCATTCAATCTCCTTTCCATTTCAATCAATTGAAAGAATGGGACAAATCAGCAACCGTGTACAGTTTCAGTTACTAGTTTATTAGCCTAAAACATAGTTTATGAAGGTAGATTATTCGATTTAACTGACGAAACCCTGAACAATATTATCCAACTGTTAACTGTATGAACTGGTTACCATAGGATGAAGCAAATTCTCAAGTTACTCAGCTTTAAAATGTTTTTAAAGCACTAACTGGAATTTTCTTAGTATGATTGCTTGTATTATACCGTCGTTGATATCGAGGCATCCGCACAGGAACCCATAAGTCAACAGAGACCGGTCAATTAAACACAATCAATGACGGTATAATACAAGCAATCATAATAAAACTATACTGGTCGCACAAGAAGTGGCTGTCGAGGCTTGGTGGTGTAGTGGGTAACGCTCTGGTTTTTGAAGTGATCGCTCCCGAGTCCGAACCCCGGTTGAAACAACACTCCCTGGTATGTAGGTACATCCAGCTGACAGTTTTCAAATAGGATGAAATCAGCATCCTAGCTTCCTGTGCTAGTCACTATCCATCATTACTTTAACTAGAGTTGTCTAAGGAATTACTGAAAACCTGGGAACGTTGTACAACTGTCTCATCCTATTTCCGAATTCCTCAGCAGTCCCTATTCATGATCATAAGCAAGATTCAACTGAACCCTAAATCTTGAGTTAACCTTATCACCACTTAATTACTGTTTACCCTTTGAATTCAGTGAAGCTTCTGTGTACAATTTCTTATAGTTGCAGCTAGAAAAACGATAGAATTTAGTCAGATAATTTAACAATGTCTTTCTTCGGTGCTGAAACTCCAAAAATTTCATTTGGAAGCTTGAATATGGAAAACTGAACATTCCAAAAGACAGAAGTGATCTCCACTTGCTATACTTTGAATATCTTGATAATAACATGAGTATGCAGTCGATACTTTGGATATCCGTCTTTCGACCAAGTTTCAGCCCTTTTGAAAACAAATAGCCTATTAACTGATAGAATATTGAGACAACTTCATGGCTGTTTTGAGTCATACTGATGATTCAGTCGTATATAGCAATTGAAAACCTACGCCAAACCTGCGACTGCAAAAAATAGTCATTCTAGATGTAGTTAGTCGATTGGTTGTAAAGATATTTCATTAATTTGAACCTTTGTTTTCTTTTTTCACCTAAAGGAACGCATCGCAACTTTAGAAGCTCATCTGGAAGAAGCTCGAACACGGATTACAAATCATGAAAACTTACGAAAGGTTGTTACACACTCATAAACCATATATCTGTTTGTTCAACTTTCACTTTGTATTCTGAACTTTCAATCCTTAGCTATGAATTCGTATATCAAAGTGCTACTTAATTTGGTATAGACAGAGTTGAAATAAGTAGTTGTCTGTCACTGTGATTTGAGAATTTTTAAGCAGGTGCTTCTATCTATACAATCATTTATTTATTCACTTCTACATCAAACCGCTACAAACTGATGCATTATTTCTTTGTTTATCTATTATTGTAGAGAATATTATAGAAATGAAATTTATGATGCTTAACTCAACAGTTTTCATTAGTAGGCTCTTCCTATTTGTTAACTATTTCTTTTCCTAATATTACCCTACACTGAAGACGCGTGAATCTCGAATGAATGCCATGTTTAGGTGCATCGCTATGCATGTTTGCTACTCACTTTGCAGATGATCATATCAAAAGAGTCGAAGAGTAGAACAGTAGTGTAAGCTCCCAGCTCTCCGTTTTATTGAGTTAACACCTCCACTTCCTTCTATTTAAATAGTTACACTGTAACATCGAAATCCTCACTGAGGTAGGTGGTAATAAGAAACTAATACAATATATCTATAAGTTATTATAAAGTTACTGAGTTGTTTGCTTTCGATTGAAATTTATCTCCTACAGTTTCTTTGTAAAAGTCAGTTCTTTTTTGTCTTCAACCTTTCACGTCCTTGTCCACCTACATTCCTGTCATTAAAAAGAAAAATATTACTGATTCTTTTTTTGACCATCCACCATCCAACTTCATAATAGTCATGTTTATCAGGTGTGGTAAATGATTTGTCAACTTGTGAAGTTTGAAAATCAACCACTGATGGAGGTACACTGTAGTGTAATCTCACTAACTATAAACAAGTGTAAATTACCGATCATTTATTTAACTCATCCTACAAACATCAAATAGATTATCATAGCTAAAGGCAGGTATTAGCAACCTAGAATAAGTAGTAACCGAATAACTACACAGAGATACAACATTGTGAAAAATCATGGGAAAAAAACAGAAAACTGAACCTAGCAATCATATAAAAAAAAACTACAAGATAAGGAGGAAAAGTAATGCAGAAAATGAGAGTATTCATAACAACTTACTCAAGAGTTGGATGAAGATTCAAGCTAAATGGATTTGTTTCATATTACTTAAAACATGCAACTATTGACTTTGTTTGTCTATCAGATTCCAACCAGGAAGCTTATAGTGTCTTACTCAACTCTGTAGAACTTTCTGCCTAACTTTCGGCATATTCCCTTAGTGATTCGTTCATAATGGTACCAAGAGTCATTATAAATCCTCCACTGTTGATAGTCGTATTACATGACTATGAGCCACTACTGCATAGTCTACTTGGCACTGATAGGCACTGAATTAGGCTTAGCGTGACAGAAGTAAATTGGGTCACTGACTAATCAAGCTTATGCTACTTCGCAGACTATAAAATTGCTCAATTTGGTTGCTATTATAAGCCAGGACATTAAAGACCACCAGTGAAATAACGATTTACAATTTGGATAGTGAGAAATACATTCCAAACATCCTCGTATTTTCACTGGAGTTGCTGATTAAAGCCTGTATCCTATTTGCATTTGTACTTTATATGACTATGTCATCTGCCTACTGTAAGGCAATGAAAGAGTTTCCTGTGATAAGATCAGTTTCTCAGGAGTTAATAACAAATTATATGATCTCCATAAATATGTCTTCAGTGGGGCCAAATAAACGTGGAGAAATTTAACTTTTCTAACAAATTTCATAAAACTGACTTGACCACTTCAGAAGATCGATCAATTTAATTTCAAAAGCGACTATAAAGGGCCGTGATTAAGTTGATATATTTGTCATATACTTAATACATTGAAACACCATTACAACATTACTTCATTCGCTAAATTTAAGTATATCTTGACATCTAGTCAGCAATAATATTGAATGACCAACCGAACTTACAAGATAATCATTGAAAACAACTTTTTCTCCTTTTATACTGATCTATTGTACATACAGTATCGAAATAGAGCAATCATCAATATCAACATAGGATCAGGCGTTACTGCGCAACGGTACAAGTTGCCACACTTCATATCAATACAAGAGACAAAGTAATAAGATGAAGAAGGGAAGAAAAATCTGTTCGAAGCAGTGGAAAATAGTAACAGAGGAAGGAAGAATGAGAAAATGCTGAATTCAGTACAAGCTCTAGGATGAAGATGAGGTAAAGATGCATCTATGCCACTGAAATCACTTCTGAGCCATTTCACTATAGTCTCCAACCACTGGTTTTTAATGTCATGTAGGTCTTAACTGGCTAGCCTTCATCACCCTACATGGGTCATACCAACAGTCAAGAACTTCATGCAATGATGCCATGTTTTAGAATGGAGCGAGGATTGTAGCAATATGTTTTGAGTGTTTTATTGGTCTATTAAACGGCATTACTATTCAAGATCTGTTTATTTTCTGTTTTGCTCTTTTCACTTGTGTATAGTTAATCTTTCCCAGTCTGTGAATTGAGTAATTTCATTATTCTTTATTGGTCAACTTATAGTCGGTCACATACATGTGCTTCTTTTCTTTCCTCTTGTATACTCTAGGAACTAAAACAACAAAAAGCAGAAATGCTAGCTCAAGAATCAATTATAGCTGGTTTAAGAGCAGAAAGACGTAATTGGAGTGAAGAATTAGCTAAACAAGGTCTGTTATGGGAAGTATATTTTTTACAGTGGTTTATAGTCTTTATACTGGGTGATGAGTGAAGGTGAAGTGAAAATTTGGACCATAGGCGGATTCGAACCAGTGACCATTGATTGGGTTTCTGGCCCGATGCCCTACCAACTGACCTCGTAGCTCAGTTGGTAGAGTATCGGGTCAGAAATCCGATGGTTCTTAGTCCGAATCCGGCTGCCGTTCAAATTTTCACTTCACCTTCAATCATCACCCAGTATAAATACTAGTCTGCCAAACTACGGCTATCTGGGATAGTCAAATGATAATTTATAGTCTTCCTAGACAAGTTAGTACCATTCATCCACTGACTGTATTTAGCTTAAAAATAGAATCCACTTATCATTCAATAAGCGGTTTTCAATAATTCACACTCATCAACATTGAAGTGACCAAAACACTAGATTACTGGGTTTTGTGAATGCTTATTTTACTTCTTTATTCTGGAGAATCGTTTCCGCTTACTTTCATTTAGAACTAATCCTTACTCAACTTGCAATGTGACATACAGCTTATAACCGGTTCCTATCATCTTAAAGATTTGATTTGTAGAACTATGAAGTTCTTTATTTATCTCAGATCTCTTGGTATTCCCTTATAGGGAATCACACTGTTTTGCAACTGTAACTGGGCACATTTTATTCCAAATCTTGCTTGACTTAATTTTGTATATTGATTACCTCCCATTTGCTAGTTGTATCGCTATGCAAATGATATGTATCAAGAAACAGTCTCATTACTTCACTTAATTTTCTATTCTACCAGTAGACGTAAAGTCAACATTGTGTGATTATTGGTGTTATATTCTTGTTCATCTTTTGTTGGTTTTTCCACCTCGTTCTTATGTGATATATGACTGCATGGACTTATGTACAGTTATGTCAAGTTATATGTTTCCTTATGTTCGTCTCCAACTGTTGCTGTTTAAAACATCTCAATTAATTCAGAGTAATTAAAATAAGTTTAATCCTTGTGTTCGCCGTGTTCAGTGGGACATATTCTCTGCTTAAATTTCAACCCAACATTCACAGAAGCAGTAATTAGCATAACTGTGCTGATGAAGGGTTCGAAAATTAAGGTTGAAGTAAATTACTCGAAAAACAGCCTACCATTTCCTCTAGTTTAAGATGTGGGTAAGCGAAAAAAAGTTTGCAAATCAAAAGAGCTACCATGGGATTCGCTAATGTATTTATTCATATTTTATGTAGTTTATTCCTCATATGTCTAAGGAAAGTAGTTGATTTCAGTACAGAGCCAGAACCAGGGTGTTAAACTATTTTTTAGCAAATCATTTGTCGTAAAAAAGAACAGTTGCAGTCTTACCTATTTTTCACTTTTCTCTTTGATTAACCATTTATATTCCAATAATTTTTGATTGAGAGCTATCTGAGAAAGCAGTGGTTTGACAGACTAGTATCGATACTGGGTGATGATTGAAGTTAAAATGAAAATTTGGGCCTCAGCAGGGTTCGAATCAGTGACGTCCAGGTTGCTAATCCGATGCTCTTCCAACTGATCTATGAGACCTAGACGCTGACCATATCTTAATTTCTCTTCAATCACCAAGGATTTACCACTCGAATTCGTGATATGTTACCATCGCTTGGTCGTATTCATGCTGGCTACTCATTTCAAATCAAAATTTACCTGAATTTGAGAGCAAGAGCATTATATTGATTATCAATCAGTTCGACTACCTGAGATTAAAGTAAAATTATTATCTGGTCAGCAATCAGGTCTCGTAGCTCAGTTGGTAAAGCACCGAGCTGGAAACCGGGAAGTCGCGTTTTCATTTCACCTTCAGTCATCAGCCAGTATCAATATCTTATGTATTTTAGTGATCGGTGTATCATATTATAGCATACACAACTTCAATCAGTTGGTCAGCAATTCTCTTATTCTTTCTATTGGGTTTTACCGAATAGTTACCTGCTAAATAACAGTCTGATGATTGTAAGTGAAAATCTTATGGGCGGTTCTTATATAATGTTCAGTAGTCAGTTCCTTATGTAATAAAGCCTCATCTCGTCATAAAATGGATAACTGCAGTTTCATTTTTTTGTTAGGATCAGCTTTAGCCCAAGATCGTGGACGTTTGGAAGCTAAAATTGAAGCACAAGAGCTTGAAATTGCCAGTCTGAAAAAATCCCTCAAAGTAAATTGTTATTAATTTCAAATGCCTCTTATGAATAATGAATCCTTTATGACCTTTTGTATTTACTGAAAGTGCAGATATTTACCGTAATTTAGAAAAGATAATATAAGTGAACAATATTGTTTTCAATTAGATCCTCTTCAGGTTTTACTCCAATGTAAATAACTTAATGTATATAAAATTAAACCAATCATATAGATTTGTCGGTTGATGTGATGTTTTAAAATAACGATGGTGATAATAATGTTATTAATAGTAGTAATAATAATAGTAACAATAATAATAATAATGACAAAAGTGATAACGTTGACTAAAGCACTTGCAGTGCAGAGATAATGATGATAAAATTGAAGAAAACAGAATGAAAATGTAGACATTCCAATGATCAAAGTGGATCAAAAGCTTGGAAAAATAGAGGTTACATATTACTGAAGGGCGAGGTAAGTAGATAAACAAAGTCTAGATAATTACAGTAAGTATATGAAAGGGGTGAAAAATAAGAAAGGAGTAGGAAAAAATCTCAATGATAAAGTTATTAAGTAAGTATTCTCTGGCCAAGGGAGAGAAGAGAGGGGATGTAGGAATTTCTTCTGGATACAAAAACTAGGATGATTAGTTTGAATTCCCATAACTTATGCTATGTGTAAAAGACGAGCTTGAATACCTTTCGAAAGATGAGGTGGTATGCATGCAGTGAGCAATCGTGAAAGCATTGTTCTTATCTACCAAGCGACCACAATGAATAAGATGAGATCAAACCGAACTTCTGATGGATTTTATATGTCCCTTTCCCAACCATGAAGGTAGATGCTCAAAAACACGTTTGTTAAGTTGTCTAGTAGTACACCTTATATAGCTTTCTCCACAGGGGCAGCTAAACATGCAAATACACATAGAAATGGCGAAACTAGATACCTTATCTTTTATTGAGCAACAACCATTGGTCGACTGGAAAATGATAGACAGAGTTGTGTGGCGTAGAAGGTCTTCTTAATGGTTCTAGAGAGTCTCTGATATAAAACTTCTTCGGCTACATACCCATTAAATTGCAATTTCATGAACAACGGTTTCTTTGGCACGGCAATGATTCCAGGCTTGTTTCCCTGACTTTGTTCGTGTTTTTTTGATGAAACTGTTAGGATAGCCCATTTCAACCAATGAACTAGGAATATATTCTAACTCCTTCTGTACTAGATCATCCGAACATTTTCTTCTCGCTCTGTTAGTGAGGCATCTAACCAGGTTTGCTTTGCACTGAATTAGTGCATGACTAATAAAATGTGTGTACTGACTTATAGGTGTAGTCTTCGTGTAAACACATCTGCTGAGTGAACCATTTTCTTTTCTGTTTAGCCGGACATTCAATGAAGTGTAGTCTACTCGCATTTTCTTCCTCACAGGTGAAAGTCAGTGAAGGGTGCACTTCATTAAATTTTCTTGAAACCTCGTTTGTATCCACATCCTGATCCAGGATAATGAATGTGTCGTCAATATAACGGTGATACGTAGTCACCTCATTAATGACATCTTTCAATGCTTCGTTCTCCAATTTGGCAAGAAATACATCAGCTAAAATAGGACCAAGTGGTGAGCGCATAACTATTCCATCAGTCTGTCTATAATAGTGAAAAATAAAATACATGGAATACAACCCTTAAATATCCCACTGAGTAACTCGAGACATGTGATGTAGTACGATATAAATTACGTAATCACTTTAACTCAAAACACTATGAAGTACTTCAGATTGAAGGTTAATATGCTGACCAATAAGGTAACCTGCATTTGGTTAAACCCTTGAAAACAGCTAGAGTGGAAAGTTTATTCTTTATTCCCTGTTTTGCAATAGTTGGATGAGTATCACCTCCTAATGCTCTTTTGGATAAAAACAGCATTTTATTTTGAAAGTCAGGATATCAAGGTAGACTTTTTGCGTGCTCCACTTTGATAAATATTTACTATAGAAATAACGTAACTTGTAAGTATAATATTACAGAAGTTTTTGAAGGGAGAGTCGGTGTTAATAAGAACTTTTATTGCAGTTCTGATAGTCATAAAAAACTTTATGAAACCTTTTGTTTTAAAGCACTGATGAGAGTGTGTTTTATACATTTAATCCATTTAGAACATGTAAGTGATACGTTTCTGTCAAACAATGGTACTAATAATGTCTCAGAGTCTTGCCTCTTGGAGAAATTCTTGGATCTTCAAACAACTTGAAGCGTGTTACGCTCTTATGATTTTGAAATGGTGGAGAATATTTGTAGCTCAGGTGGATGGTCTTGGTTGTATTGGGTTATCTAAGCTGGGTTATTTAGTAGTGAGCTTTCATCGTCTTGCTAGATGACATCATGAAGTATGACTTCATACTGAAGTTAGTACTGATGATGTCGTCCAGCGAGATGATGAATGCTCCGCGATTAAACAACTCAGCTTAGAGAACATAATACAATCAAGAATGTTTCAGAGTCTTCTGGAAAAACTTGACTAACATCTCAAATCTATACATGTTAGATAATTCTCCGAGATTAACTGATCTATTATCTATAGTTGTATCGGAGATGGATAGTGAAAAATCTCAGCATATCTAAGTCGAAAATTTTCGTTGTTGACTTTAGTCACTTATGAGATATGTTGTACTCTATCAATTTGTTTGTTATAGCTTTTTATTCAGCTCAAGTATTTTCCCTATCACATTAATGAATCGCCTTCTGAATACAAAGAATCTATCGAACCCTTCAGAAAATTCAATTCAGCAACCTTTTACATATTTGTATATTTGTGATGTGACCCGTACACAAGGTTTAAGGTACCATGCCATCTGCCTGCTCTAAAAGGATTTGATCCTGTGTTTCTAGATCACTCAATCAGATGACTCCAGAGAGCAGGTCAGTCCATGTGAAGTTAGACTTGCGCAAGGTTATATTTATTAGCAAGTCCATGACTAAGTTAAATATGGACGGTGACAGTGGACATCCCTGGCGAACGCCGCTAGTTGTCGTCAATTCACATGACAACTTTTCATAAGCCCGGACACGGTTGCATGAGTTCGATTAGCGTTATGTGCTTGTTCGGTACTCCCTTCACACTCAGGCACTGCCACAACACCTAGTGGTCGACAGAGTTGAATGCCACCTTCAGGTCAAGAAATATGGCAAGTGCCGGCCGCTAGTAGGTATACCTGTGTTCTAGAATCTGTCAGAGGGTAAAAATATGATCGAGACACTCTCGTCCAGCCCTGTCTGAAACCTGCTTGGTTTTCTTCAGTTCGGTGTTCTCGAGCCCCAATTAGGCGTAAGATAACTATGGATTTTAGTATCTTGGACACAATGATAGTCAAACGGATTCCCCTATGGTTGTCACAAGAAGATTTCTCCCCCTTCTTATACACTGAGATGATCAGTGAAGTAGATCAGTCTGATGGCACTACGTCTGATTCCCACAAACTACTTAGTACCTCCGTCACTCTAATCAGCAGTTTCCTACCTCCATCCTTGAAAACTTCAGGTAGTAAACTATCAGGTCCTGCTGCTTTGCATGGTTTCGGGTTCGACACAGGTTTCTCAACTTCAAAAAGAGTTGGAGAACCGACATCTACGTCCCATTCAGAATCAGCCTGCATGTGACCCACCCTAAGCGTTGCTGAGGGCCAGTTGAACTATGCTTCAAAGTGTTGTGCCCAACGTCCTAGCTGTTTATCCTTGGAAACTATCAGCGTTCCATCCTTTTTGGTAATGGTTTCACAAACCATCGTTTTCTTGCAGGTCAGACAATATTACTATTGGCGTAACCGATTTGTTACTTTAGTACACTATGATCCACATTAAATGACTTGGTATATTTTTCATTGTGGTGAAGAGAAAAAGACATTGACTATAAACGTCAAACTGATAGTCTATGCTACACATTAGATCACAGATACACATTAATAGTCACTCCAAAACTGAATTGAATGGAATATAAAACTGCTTAGTTTTGATAATTTACATGTCCATTGTTTTCTCCTTTCTTTAGAATGAAAGTGATTCAGTTAAAATTAAAAATAAAATAGTTGATGATCAAACAGAAACAATATTGAACTTAAAGAAGGTAAATTTTCGTAATACTCGAGATATACTACTTACTAATATAAGTGTAATACTTGAGCACTGGTAGAATGTAATTCCCTATTAGATTTGTTTATTTGATATAACCGACTGTTAAAAAGTATTTTCTTTTTTTATTTGGTCTGTTTCCGAGCATAAATTAGCGTTCGTAGTCATATCCGAGTAACCATACAACTTTCGACATTTGATTTTCATACTCCTACCACTTCGTCTTTTTTTGTTTTTATGGGTAGTAAAATACTTCCACATCTTTGGTATAGATGTTGCGTCATTCCTGTTTATTATACGTGTTGGACATTGACACAACACATATTGCACTCTAGTGTATTAAATAAATCACTGCTAATACAACACTTTCTCAATGTAATGCTGGATAGTGGCTAGCAGTGGAATCCAGGAAGCCCGTTTCGTTCTATTTGAGACTTGTCAGCTGCATGTACTTGTCTCCCAGTGAGTGATGTTGTTCCTACCAGGACTCCAAAATCGGGACCGGTCGCTTCAAATGTCGGAATATTATCCACTAAACCACTGAGTCACTATAGCCACTTCTTGTGTGACGGATTTAATGTTGTCGCTTGTCTTACCCCGTCGTTGAGTGGAACAAATTGATCGGTCTCTAATTAGCATATGGGCTGTATCGGGGCATCTGTGCAGCCCACATGCCAATAGAGACGGGTCAGTTCGATTCACTTAACGACGGGATAATGCAAGCAACAACATTTTATCAACTTGCCAAATGCAACACTTTTGAAGTACAAGAACTATTGCTCAGTGATCTAGTGCTTCGACTACCAACCATTAGATCAATCAACCTGCTCTTGGTTTGCACAACCAGTTTAGATCACAATCATTGACATATAAGGCATAGTTCTTTGTTTAGTAAATACTAATTCACGGCTTTTGAGTTACAACATACTGACTTTTAATCCTAGGTAGTTAGCTCTCACTAGATACGACTGTGATCTTCCTGTACGCAAGAACGCATTAAGCTGAGCTCATTGTATCTCTACAACCTTAGTGATTGCTGACTCCTTTAAAAACAGAGGGAGCAGTAAAATAACAGAAGGTTTGTTGTCAGGTCACTTCTATGCAAAATACTGATTTATTTGTATATCTACAGTTAGCCTATACATTTTCAAAGCACTTCAGAAGGTCATCACTGATTCAAATAGATTTTCTGGGAACCTTTTAATGGATCTGATTGGTTCTTGACCTGTTTCTGATATTTAGGGCTTCTTAAACGGTATTGAAGGTAATACTTCACATCATAATAGTTCAGCAATCAATTTCATACGACCTAATAGTTACAAATAAATCAATATTTGAAGTTGTAGTCCGTTATTTATGCAAACATGTTTAACTGACTGTAATAGTCTGCTTAGATGATAAACAGTTTGCTGTTAAAATTACTAGTTTTCTAATTCATCATATCAGTGTATTCAAGAAAATCAAGCTGAAATTAAACGTCTACAAAATGAGGCTGTACAAAATCATCGAAGCTTAGAAAATCAGTTGAATCAAAAAGTTAAAGAAAATACTGAAATGAATGTAAGTTGATTAAATGTTGACAAACTGAGTATAGTATATTTCCACTTTCATCATTTTTTTAATGTTTTGAAAATGATTCGCTTCATTGTCTGCTGTTCTAAGTCTTGCATACTGCATTACACTTATTCAAGCTGTTAATTGTATAATTTATCCTACAAGTTTTAAATTTCATCATTTGCAAATCTATTACTTATTTTAACAGACAGCATCATTCAATACCAGTTTAAGCGTAGCACAATCGACTGGATGAATGCATCAACATGAAGTTAGGAGACAGAGGACAAATGTACGAAGATTCATTTGAACCAAAACATTAAACTTTGTGAACAAACGAACTATTCTATCATTATAGGTTTTTTCCACATTAAGGATTTTTTAAACTTCCGATATAACCTTACTAGTTTCTTCAATTCAGAGGTTTGCAGGGATTTATTTATTGATTTCAGGTTGATATTCACCATGGACTGACAACATCTGGAGAAACATTGGAAACCTAGGAGCACTAGATAGCCGTTTCGTCCCATTACGGGACTTCTCAGCATAACCCCGCCTCTTCAGGAATCGAATCCATGCCCTTCAGGTTCCGCGACCAGCATATTAGACTTGAACCAATGGGTTGGTATCCAATGGTTCACATTTCTGTCAGTTCACGATATAGCGTGACCTCCCCCCCCCTATGCTGTCATCAAGTAGGTGTCCTTACGTCCGACATGATTGGCTCAACGGCTCACGACTTCGCATTAGAACTTTGAGAATCGCATCTCGAAGCAAGTTATTAATGAGTACTAGAGGTGTGTGGGGATTTCTTTTATTGATTTCAGGTTGGTATTTATCATGTTATTAGTTTCCTATAACCACTTTGTGGTCGTTTTACACAATAATTGTCAGTACAACCATCATTCAACTGGAACAGTAACTCAGATAACTTCTCAAAATACTTCTCTAGGAATCTACTTGCATCTATAAGCTTGCGGCTGACGAAAAAAGCTTCCAATTTTAAGAAATATCAGCTACAAATTCTTCAGATTATATCGAACGAAATTGTGTTCTATTATGTATCTTTCTAAGACCCTTCATGTTAATATACAGCCGATAGAATTTGGTAACAGATAGAGAGATAGATGAATCCCTTTCGTTTTCTGTTTATCATTATCAGGAGGAAATAAAGCATCTTGTTAAACGTAAAGAAGATTTGAAACAACTGGTATCTGAATTGCAATTGAAAGTAGACGAATTACAAGAACAAAATGAGTAATTTTTACCTTCTAATTGTGTATTTATGTTATATTTACCTTATCTTACTAGTTATCTGAATTTCATTGCTACAGAATGCACTAACTCTTTGAGTTACACCCATGGGATTTGGACTATATATCTTGGTGCTTTCAATCGATGTCTCCGGCTTTACTGACGTTGATATGTTGTCAAAAATGACGATAAAAAGCAATCGTGAACGACATTTATAACCATGGTATCCAGTTTTACGTCTATTCGTTTGACAGTCCTCTGCATGATGCTGTGTGGCAAACCTGATATAGGATCTAATGGTCATTCCACCTACCCAAAGCGATGCAGCCAAACTTAGTTTTCATGTGCGACCTAATGGTTTGTGTTTGTTTGTTTATATCTCTATATCATATCGCTGAGCACATCAACTACGTACACACACTACCACCATGTGAGCACATTGAAGTAGGTGGAGTGGTTTAGATACCATGACCCAAGGGTCACAATCCAAGTGTCAATACCAATAGACAATGACAGCCTAATGGCAGTTGGGTTTTTGAATAGGTACTTCCTGTTAAACTCACGGAATTAAATTACATCCGTTCCTTTGAAAACCTGTGTAACAGAAATTTCTTTGATGTGGCTATTTGACCTTGAACTTTTGTTCCTCGGATTAACGTTTATATGTAGATCTTGCTTTTGCTATTCTTTCTAAAGAAGTTTTTCAGCGTAATCGTATTGCTAGTTTGCCTCTCGAGGTAATGTTTGGAAATACTGATCTGTCACTGTTTGTTTAATACTAGTCAGTGAAAATATTTTGTTGACCAGGCTATGGATCACCCTTCATTTGCTTATTTCCTATGAAAATAACCCCCTGAGTATCCTTAGTTTTCAGTAAGCAAATAGTAGGACATAGAACCAAAGAAAATCAGATTAACAGAAAATGAAAGATAGTTCATTAAGAAAGGTATACGAGGAAAGTCAACAACTAAGTTAAGAATAACGGGTTGTTGAAGATTTTGAAGAAGATAAGAGAAATATGGATCTGCATCGTTGTAATCGACCTTAAACCATTTTGTCTGCAGCCTCCAACCATTGGTTCCTAAACATAAATATCTTTGAATAACACCCTAAACGACTAGATTCGGTGCTACAGATTCTGTTTTCTCAACCTGTAGATTACCGATTCTAATCTCCTCTTCTCACGTCAGTAGTGTGGTTACCTTGTGGACAAAAAATATCGTTCACAGACCAACACGCAGTTCTATGCATACTTCCTAAACCTTTTTTTATTTCCTATAACGGTATCAGTTATGCTTCAAGATATTACTTATCACTAATAGACTGAAAAAGTTGAGTCCCCTACAATTAGAATGATGCGAATTCTCGATAAACCATCTGGTATTAGCTTTTTCTTGCCAGATTTGTTTTGTTATCAGGTAGATCAACATTACTGAATGATTACATCAATATGTAGCCGTTCACCTGTAGACTTGTGATGATGCCTATGAATAAGATTGTGTGACTCACAGATACTTCCCAGTCATTTTATCGGTCTTTTTAATAAAGCTGCTACTTTTAGAGAGGAGTTTTGCTTTTACATTTCGAAGCTGCCAGCTTTTATGACTTGACTTACCTTGACAAAGTTATCCAGCATCCTCTTGATTGAGTTGTTCGGTATACAGTTCAAATGTATGTCTACTGTTTAGCAACTGGTTAGATTCCTAGGCAAATTCTCAACGAACAGTTACTCACTCTTTCTGCAACGACAGTTTTGTTCTTTTAGTATTATCATATTCCGTTTGTTTCTGAAGCAATTCCAGTGGTGAGCAATGAGCCGTTTTCGTTCTCTTTTATTAGACAAACTTGTTTTAGCATATCTTTAATTATTCTATGGTTTTTCCACTTTTCCGTCTACTGCTCTGTTAGCTAACAGAGGTATAATATGTCATCATCGTTAATTTAGTCATTTCATCATGAAGTGAAGAATGTTATTTTTTATGCGAAAACTCATTTATGACAGACTTCTGTTATTATCAGACACCTTTCTCAAATCATTTGGTTATAACCGCAGCAATTCAATGGAATTGTTAGTGATACAGTGAATAGATTAAGTTACAACTAATAACTAGGCTCAAAGTATCAAACCTGTTAGGAATATGGTTTAGCCTTGACTGTTCACAATGCTCAATAAGTGTCTTTCATCTATAGTATTTTCATTTACGTCATTGTTCGGTGTAGAAAACTCATCGTACGGACTTACATTTCTGTTAATCAGTAATTATACATATGACTTAGAAATCATAGGTCTGGTTTGACAACAGTATCGTATGTTAGTGTCATTTTCTTCTTTCTTGTCAATAGCTAACGTGACATCATGTCTTAGTATAGACAGTAAAATGTCACTGTGCTTTTAAATGCTTACACGCTTTTCACTGATAGACCTCAATCAATAAATTTTGCCAGAAAATATATATGACTACCACCTGACGACCAGTTTATGCAGTGTTTATGATAACACCTACTATTTAATAACGAATAATTTACTAGACTGTTTGGTAGGCCTATTTATATGCACAAGGACCAGACTATCTGATACATCAGCTCAGTTCATCGAACACTTGCGAAAATAGAGACTGCTTATTCGATTCCTCTCACGACCTGGTTTTTCTTCTCAATTTAGTTATCATCTGTGGGCAAATTCACTTTTCACCTTCTGTAATACGCATGAAAAAAATCTCCCCTTTCTTTCTCTCCTGTTTATAGCTCCATGTCAAAACGTTGGCGCGATCGTGCGAGTTTAATAGATAAATTAGAAAAACAAGTTGAACGAATGCACCATAATTGGGAGGAAGAACAGAAACGTTTGACTGATGAAAGGGATGCAGCACAGAAGCAAGTCCGGTAAATATTGCTGATAAATATTTGCAGCTTAAATTCTACTTGTTCTTGAAATTGGGTTTTGGTTGGTAGATGGTTCTATCATAAATCTAAGTATTATCTTTTGTACGATGACATAGAGGAATTTTGTGACAATGATGCTCAGTTTAATTGTGAAGCATCTGCCAACCAATATCTAAGTATGAGAGAGCAATCTATATCTAAATGAGGTACGTTATTAACCTTATTTGTATGCCACCTTGGTATCCCTACAATTCCCAGACAGTAACTAATTTTTGTTGCTTGTAATATCATATTGTTTTCACTCTTAATAACTTGGTTATTACCCCCGAGAATATGGGAATCTAAATGAGAGAAGTAACTCCATCGAAAACTATTCGCATTATCTTCAGAGACAAGTACACAAACACACAAGCAACCAATAATGTCTTAAAAATGATCGTTTTGGTCATTGAAATGAACACTGATGTACGTTGAAGATTAATGTACTTCTGAAAGACAATAAAAACAAAAGCAGTAAACGTTTGCAAAAATGAAACTCAAGTTACGGGGAACCCAACCATTCGAATATCCTGGCTCGTCACTAAACACGCCTGGATTAACGCATGGAGATATCCGTTTGTGTATCAGAGCTTCTAGCTCAGTAGTGTATATATACCGAAAAGAAACAGAATACACTGATTAGTCCTATAACCATCTTTGCTACACATCTCTGAAAGATTGGTTTCTGCAGTTAAATAATCCTACCTCCAATATTTTCACTGAAGTAGCAGTCGATATTGGGAATTCCTTCAGAAAAAGTTTTCACAAACCTTTTAAGGCCACGTTTTTCAGTTCCAAACAAAAATAGGACAAATTATTCCCCATTGTTTGCAAGTGTACAAATGAAGGAGAGCCAGGAAAATGGCTAGCAGTGGTGAATCTTAATAATGGGTATATTTTTGGTACCTTTTATCTCCGATCTATTAAATAAAAAAGCATATGCCTGGTGCTAACTCGAGATTTCATGAGTGACTAAAAAAGCTTCTTTATGTACTCAGAATTTTCTACCCGATCGGTAGTTGGGACTCATACGTTAACCGATAGAGCTCTAAGCTAGCAACTTAGTGGTCTACTTAAAACATGGCGACAATATAGGCTTTTTATCTAGGTTGATAACTGCGTATACAGTGTGTTCTAAAAAGTTACTTTCTCATAAAATGAATTCATCTTCCTTTTTCTTGTGAAGTACATTGCATTCACAAATGGAAAGTATGGATGAAGGATTTCGGCAACAATTAGTGGCTGTGGAAGAAATGAAGGAATATGCAATTAATAATGCACGAAATGAAGCTGAAAAGTTGCGCTTAGCATGTGAAACACGCGTAGTCGAAGTAAGTTCTTCCCTCTGTAGCAACATTTTTTCTAATATTTGCCATATAGTTTAAAACAATTAGTTGCCTTTATAAACTTCAACAAAACAATAAGACGTAAATTGTCTGAACCATGTAATATATTTGCGTAACACATTTCGATTAACCTGATCACACACGCACTTATCACAGGGATTTATATGAAAATTCATGAAGATAAGGGGTGAGAATATGAAAAGAGGCCATGTAGGAAGGCTGAATTAAAGGCCAAATAACAATGAAAATCAATAGAGCGAACTTTGTTTTAGAGTTGAATTCACCGAGATTTAATGTTATAACAAATTATTTTTGAACACACAAAAGTTTAAACTTTCTAATAACTAGGACTTCAACAAATTTAAGGGTCCATCTCCAACACATTTCGTAAATAGGTTAAAAGGAAGTAAGGGCGTCAGTCCTGCGACTTAACGATGTGTTCCGCGATCGAAGAACTCGGACGTCTGCTACTAACGTTTATTGATTTCGGTGATTCAATATGCTTCTGAAGCTACAATACACTGATTAATTTCAAAGTGCAAAGACTCTTTATGAACTCATTTAAGGCGATGCTACTCTGCTTTCCGTTCAACGCACTCCTACCAAGTGCTTCTGGAATATGGTGTTAGTGTCAACTTTTTCTCGTTGCACTTTGTATCTTCTAATGTACATAACAAGTCCACTGATCACTAATCAAGTGATGGACCTAACGAAAACATGGTTTTTATTTCATCTTTCTCACAGGTAGAATCGGAAATGCGTACAATTCTCTTAGAGGCTGAAAATTCAAGACAAGCAATGGAAGAAAGACTGAAGTCTACATCAATAGCTTTGTGTAATCCAGTATTGCCAGAATTCAATACACTACCAAGCCAACATCTGAACAGGGGAGAATATTTTAAGGATTACAGGATACCAAGTTCATCTCTCTCACCTCATAATACTGCACCTGTTGAAACCAGTCTGATCAAGAATCGGATCAATCCAAACGCCTAATCTGATTGTACAATATTCTTTTATTTACGATAATTAAATTTTGCATCATTACTTAATAGGTCGTTATACAGCAGTGCCAGGTCCTGTATTGATGCTAGCTAACCGACTTCTATACGAGCACATGATTCATCGCATATGTTGTTAATTGGCGAGCGATGAAGAACATGTACTATAGGGTACAACCAAATAATTATTCAATTCTGTAGACTGGAAATTCCATTCGAATCTGGCCTTTTACGCTAACTATCATTAGCTACAGTTAACTATGAGCAGTATACATACTTGGTAATGAAGAAATACCGACAACTACGTCACAAGAAATAGCAAAACACCACTAGAGCTTAAAGAAAAAGAATAAAAGATATGCGATTACGTCTCAACAAGCTTTTATTCCTTTCGTATTATTCCTTAAAAGCAGATGCTGTGGAATCCCAGTGATTCTAACTGATCTCAATCCTGAGTCTTATTCTGACATCTGTAACAAATAGGTTACGTAACCTCTCGGGAACCTTCAAAATGGACGTTAACCTGACACGCTACTGTTAACCTGAGAAGATACTTCATAAAAACAACCATGCGCTTGCTTTTTACAGACAATCCACCAGAGTGAAGAATACGGAGTGTGAGAAAGATCAGCCAGTTTAATGTCAACGTGACCCGATATTCCTGCGTAACGATTCAATTTGCCACATCAAGACAAGAAATAACAGGATGGAAGACAAAGTGAAAAAAATCACTGAAAATCGTAGGAAGTCAAACCATGAAAAGAGATAGATTAGGACTAATAAATACGTGTCACGGAGGTAAGGTATGAATGCATTAACGTTACAACCAAACTGGTCTACGACTATCGAATCTGGTTGTCTCATACAGCCTGGAAGCCCACATTTCCCTACAATCAGCAGCTTCATTGATTGTAATCCCGTCAAAATCTGACCCCTCATAGTTTTTCTGCAATCGAACTATGGTGCAACTAACCTCCCTAACTGACGAGGTATTAATACAGACCAGTTCTGAAGCATTAATCGGTACATGGATAGTGAGATACCCATCCTAAGAGTTCTACAACTGTCAGTATGTTCAGAAAACTATCTTATCCATTTAGCAGAAATAATCTGTGCGTGTACTGCAGGTGGACTAGTTTTCTGCGACATCAAAACAAGCAGTCAGGCATAGAGAGCAAGGCTTTCACAGAATCGGTTTTTTATTTTTTTCTGAAAAATGGATGCACAGGGACTCATGCAAGTGGGCTTGGAGCATGATCTAAAGCATAAGTAGTTCAACATTAATCAGTTCAAGAAATCTTCACAACCAAAGGTAGTGAGGAGCTGAACCAATTTCAAGCAGTTCGTTAGACTGCTGATAAGTCCAGTTGCGGTCACAACTTCAGCTGCTAGAGATAATGTTGACTGAACGTACGAAGCAGAAAGCATCAACAAACAGTTTGATTGAGCTTTAGTAGCTTCAGCACTGGTCGTAAGACATGTCAACAAAATCCGGGTTTTTCCTAATCCTGAAAGTGAAGCATAGCGGAATGCCATGGGCAGACTCTCCTATTTTATAGGCAGGAGACTCGGAAATACCCGTTAAACAAAACTGGCAAGTGTAAGATGTGGACGCAGCTGACTCGTCTGCAAGCATGAGAGTGGCAGACATTAGAACAAATTCAAACACCCCCTGCAACAATCGCTCGGACATTAAAGGCATGAGAGTTTGATATTCAACAATGATTGGACACCTAACTGGAGCTAAGGAGTAGAAAACGAAGGAAAAGAGGGTTGGTCTCAGGCGTACTCATCTCTAAACTAGACGCCAGCTCTACAATGGGTCGTGAAATAGAGTAGAGATATGGTAACCAGCACTAGCTATACCTCTTGCCTAGAAACAGCACGAATCGAAAGATCTCATGACGGCACTTCTCAGTGAAAGATGTTTGGTGTGCATTATTTTAACGAAGCCTCTATAATTGAGCAGACGTCTCCATCCTAGGGCCTGTAAGGTTGTCTTTTTAAATTATACTGTGAATCAGCTCGTAGACTAGCGCACAGCCTAGCACAAAAATGACACGTTCGGCTAACAGAACGAGATATTACAGTAAACAAGAATGATAAAGTGGAAAAAACAAATCAAGGGAAACAAGGTTTTCAGCAGATCACCTACTCGCTGTTGGCAAAATAAGGTGAAGTCAGTGAGCGAACTACGATCTTTTGTCTATACATACCCACTTCTTTGCATGCTGCTGTGAAGTCTGGCAACTTAAATTAATGCGCTTATGTGGCAGCATTCACGTTGATCTCTCCACCTATCGTTTGGAATGCAGCTATCGCTTGCAAAGCACTTTCTTCTGCTTAGTATGATATTTGAGGTTTGAAGATAAGGAATCATCTAGCCTCACGCAAGATCGCTAACAATAAGTGTTCAGTAAAAGATGGAAATGTGACTAATTGGTTTAAGCATCCGACTTTCAAGCAATCGGTTCTAGCTTCAAATCCCGTTACACCCACTTCGACATAGGCAACCGAGCAGAATCATAAGCCCTCACATAAGTTTAGTTCGTAACTTATGTAATAAAGCTTAGGCGGTTGGGTTGGGTCATGAATATTTTTTCCACAAAGATGCTGAGACTGGAAGCGAGTAGAAATCCCTACGGGATATTTTCTAACCCGAGGTCTAGAAGTAGGAGGCAACAGATACGACCATTTGATAAGTAACAGAAACAAACGAAATGAGTCACTTTTGGTTGCCCCACCCCAGGGCACACCATATATAAGTTCTAGTATATGAGGCTCACTATTAGGTGCTTCATTCCACGCAGGGAAAGCTGTACATCTTTGATGTATACCACGTAAAAACAACACTGACATCACCATTACATGACAAATTTACACCACTCAAGACACAGTTGAACTAGTTTGCTGAACAGGCATATGCAGCTATAAAATGCACACACAAAGAGACGAGCATTTACCCTTGTGGTTATGCGCAGGTGTTTTGGAAAGTCAATGTCACTCTAAATAACTTGTTCCCAAGTCTAATACCAAATGAAATCGTCACGGACTGACTGAAGACATCAACTAACATAAGCAACGAAGTAGGAGAATATTTATCACAGCTTATCCAATGTAACCAGAATCATTTAGAAAGAACTTAGTCAGAGGCAACTAAACGACAACCATCGAGGCAGAGAACTCCAATAGACAACGGTTATGGAAAACTGCAACGACTGGCTTCCCAAGTGAGACGGGTGCCTTACAGTCTCATGATGGGATAACATTCAGTTCGCAAATAATAGATGTAGAGGACTTATACACTTAACTCTGACGTGTAGTTATACGGATAACCAAGACGCATGAAAACCAGATACGCTCAGCTTCCATGTGACACTGTGGGTCTCTAATAAAAGATGGAGCGAAGTATGTGGCCGCAGAACGGTTGTCAAGGAGTAACAGCTCAGTGTGTTTGTGGGCAACCCAATTCATGAGATAATGCAGACCACATTACGAGCTCCTTCATACTGAAGGCTCCGGAAAGAGCTTCTACATACCTTACCGCTGAGCTGTATGTAGCCGAATTTCAAAATGAAACGGCGTAAAATGCAATAACTAACACTAACCAGAATACATACATTTAGAACATACAAGCGAGGTCAGACCATTTATTTGTACATTCATTTAGATAGGCTTAAGAATCTTTCTTCGCCTTCTTTGGTTTAGTTCCTCTGAACTTTTTAGCCTTGTTCTTCCTTTCCTTCCTTATCTTTCTTCCTTTTTGTGGTATTGTCACCAATTTATTCTATGGAATGTTTAATTGCGAAGAGTCGACTTACCCTGGCAAGACGGAACTTCGGCTCAAATTTCTTAGCATGGTCCAACGAATCGTAGACAAGAGCGAACCCCGTTGACTTTCCTCCACCAAATTGAGTCCGGAAACCATACGGAAAGACAACATCAGGCGAAGTTTTGTACGTTTTTGCAAGTCTTTCTCGTATCTCACTTCTTGAAAGGACACAACGACCGGGATGTAAAATGTCCACAACCATCTGCTTGCGACACAGCAAGCGGTTAGACATAAACTTCCTTGTTCTTATCAAGGTGTTCTCACTCTGAAGGAAAACAACCAGTATTAGACCACATCAGAAGACAAAATAGACAGAGTTGGAGCGCAACTCACCATGTCCAACGGTGCACGATTTCCACCGAATGTGCCTCCAAGCGCGTGATGATTATTCAAACAAACATCAGTTTTCACGCGACGAATGCTTCACTGTTGCTCGCCTCCATATTCTTCAGTTACTAGTGTTTACTGCGTCCCTGAAACTCTATTTGGGATGCTTCAAGGTGCTATTTACGTTGATCGGCACGGTGTTTCCAAAGTTCTTTGAAATGCTCATGGTCCTTAAATCAGGGTGGATAACAATTTCCCACGTTTTCATTACTCATACTGACTGCTCACTTAGCAGTCAAGTTGGTTTGTTTTCGTCAATGAGGCAACACTCACAAATAAAGTCAACTTACGCCACTTCTTTTAAATACCGGAAAATCATTCATCTATGTATATGTATGTGCACCTAGATATTCATATGTGTAAGATTCAGTCTCCAGAATTAAGAACCGCAGGCCAGGTGGCCTACACTAATCTCTGCGATGTCTACTGCTCTGGGGATGCAATCTTGCCTTGAGTGTGTCAATGGAAGATGCATGAACATCAAACTCTGCTGAAGAATTCTACTGGTTCACATTTAGTTCCAAGCAATGGATTTCCAGACGCGGATGATCTAGCTCTCTATTGACGTCGTTTGATCTGACCAGTTCTGAATGGGAGGAAGAGGTGGGACAAATTGGTGCCCAAATCGCCAACTAAGGTACGGCAAGCCAACAAGTGGGTATTTCCCTGACTTTCGGCAAAATAGTGGGAATTGGTCAAGGCGGTGTAGTTGCTTCTCACTTAAAAGGTTAGAGGAGCCGTTAATCTATTTAGTCCCCACTGTCCGGATCCCCTCCAACACATGCATTCTATATTTTAAGCATAGGCTCGCTGCTCATTTCCAGTACTCCGAACTCGGCCTGACATCTGTTGAATACAATATATTAGATATATCTGTATCACAACACTGAATGATTCTGCGAGGCAACCATCAGACCTGGGAAGCCACAGAAAGAAGCTGATGCTCTTAAATTCGCTGTACTTTTAAGACCATGACTGGTATTCTGCGGCGGTGAAGAGATTTGTCAGGAACCTGCGACCAAACCGGAGGCGATTCTGTTTGTCAACCAGGAACTTAATTCACCCGATGTATTTTGGGACCAAGCTATGGGTCACCATTCCTGGTAGCCTGACGATCGCACTAGCCACACTAACCGAATGGCGTCAGGCAGCCAGAACGTTAATAACATCCCTTTCCTCACTCGGTGATTCAGACCTCGTCAGTGACACGTTAAACGGCACCAACAATGGTTCGGCGGTGATATCCCGCGTTGCCGATACTACGCGAGGTGGCCCATCCAAACTACTGGACTTACCGGGATCGAGGTATTTTGGTGATTGCGGCACACTTCCCAGGTCAACTAGCTTTGGTTTCATCTCAAAATCGCACCTAGTGAAGATCACTGGTTGTATGTCGCGACCTGCCGAGAATACTCGGTTACAGTAATGTGACGATACCAGAGCACTGGCCAAATCATCGACCATCTCTGTTGAGTCGTTATCGATAAGTAATGTTAGTAACACGTTATTCCTACCAGCTATTCTAATGGTAATGATGATAATATATTTTGAATTATGAACTGTATGAACACATGCCATTTTTACAGGCAACATCTGAATGTAACTTCTCCTACTCAAGCTGAAAAGGTTCAGAAAGGATAAACCATAGCGCCATACAGTCTTCCGGAGTAGGCAACTGTTTGGATGTTGCTCGTCAAAACATTGGGCAAAAGCCACTTCTGTGAATTTTGGTCTAGTTTTGTGTGGTGTTAAGTACAGTCTGACTATTGTTTACGGTCATGGTGCTGCAAACAGTGACATCTGAATAAATCAAACGAAACGCTCAATTTTATCCAGCTACCGATGTCACATTACGAGGGAGAATTCGTAAGGCTTCATTGTTGAAGCACTCAATGAGACTCTGAGGTTTGCATTTCATGTGAGGTTACCTTCGGTTAGCTTTGTCATCACGTCAGTGGTTGTCAGGAGTGAAAATGACCTGCATATTTGGCGCAAACCTTCATTTATCGTCAACATTTCCAGATGGACCCCAATTGAAGCTACGAATTTTGGGGGGTTTACAGTGTGAGACGAATTGCCTTCTGGTTTCTGCATCTTTAGGTGGCGAAAAGTGACAGTCAATGCATGTTGCATAGAGGTCCGAAGTACGTTTCGATGTTGAGTGTGAGTTGGTATCATGGTCTGCATACCGGATGAGAAACAGAAACAAACGTATGAGAAATGGAGTAAGTTATCAGAGAATTAATTGAAACATTACTGAAGACTAGAGTGCCTAAAGAGGTCGCGAGGAATAAAGGGCTTCATAGCTTAATATATTATTTTTAGGACATCTTTGGAGTTTCACATAGTGCATTTTCATGCCCGAGTTTAGGCTGCATTAAAAATGCCAAAGGAGGGTGGCTGTATTTTACATTTGAGAACCAGTTAGAGCCTTGATATGTACACACTGGGCTGAAGGAAGATGGTACTGTGATCTCAGGGAAAGGGAGGGTGTAAAGGGTATGTTGGGTATGATGACCTCAAGTAGGGGTGGGTTCCATGGGCCCCTATCATCAGATCTGCCATCCCCCCTCATGCATTTTAGCATTTCCGCGTCATTTCAGTCTGTCACTGCTTTGCCTGTGCCGCGCGCTATCGTCACTTTTTCACCCCTTAGCCCCTAATCCTTTCGCTAACCGTAGTGGTGTGGAGGACATGGAGGAAGTTAAAGTTTGTTGCATCGGTCATCAGGTACCTGCCGTCATCGTATTCTTTGTTGTGTTATGTCACCGAGTATCCAGAGGCCCGAACCACTCTTGACTGTCCCATCAATAGAGAGGTTTTCATAATTCCCTATCGACATATCTACCATCTCATGCTGTCAAGCTGCTTTTATATTTTGGATCATCTTTCGACCGGTCATCAATACTCTCGTAGCATGCGCTATCGTAAAATCCCTTCTTTAAAGAAACCTCTTTTTTTTGCGAATCGTAACGTCACTTACAGAATGCCCATAATCACTGAACGTTCAATCTAGTATTGTGCAGTGGAGGTATGTAGGTAATTGTTCAACAAGATATGACTAGAGTGAAGTCACAGTCAGAGAAATATGGGCGCTAGTTAAGACATTCTGAATTAGTCCACATGGGGTGAGGAGCAAAAGATTTGCTTTTCATGGTTCAGAATGCAAGACGTGTTAAATCCAGAGATCAGTTGGGTCATCAGGGTAGCCACATAGCTCAGTGTTGGAAATTGGATAACACTCCACATGGTGCTACATGTCTGTTTTTCGCTAGCTGTTTTGTTAGATCTAAGGCTAACTTAAGTGCCTAGTTTTTGGTATGACACACTCATGTCCTTGCCAAGTGTATCTCCCATTGAGTCTGTGAACCGGAGCCACAATTACACATGGCACCACCGTTTGTGAGTTGTTTGTGAAGAAATAGGTGAGAATCGTTATAGAGAAGGTGTAACAGCCAAAATACAATTACTTTGGCCCGGACGCGGGAAACAACTAGGCGGTGCCAAACTAACGCGAATTTGACTAGTTCCTAAGTTCTATTTTATAGCTTCCGAACTTCCGCTTGTGACGCCTGGTCAGAGGTTGGATCAAAACATTAAAACATGGTTGACAGTAAATCGGTGGTAAATTCACAACGAAATCTGTGGTACTATCAAAGCAACAATAAGTTATATCAAAATTACAATAATACCTCAACAGTGCCGTTGGGTAACTATACAGTCCAAACGTTCTCGGACGCAAATGCGTACTATACAGCAAAAACAAACACAACTGTTAAGTACCCGAGGGTCAATAGGAATATTCCCGACAAAAGGGGATCAGAACTCTGTCTATCAGAATCAAATCAAAAAATAAACGTTTCCGGCAGGCAGTAAAAAGACAAACAGTCATATCACAATGCAGCCGTTAGTTGAAACAAAACAAACTGCCGGGCTCAGTAAAACGACGCCTCGTTGTCAACGGCCGGTGTCACATAATAGGGAAGTGAAACATTCATGATAAGTCTCAATCATACAAAGGCAAATACTGAGTGAAAAGTAGAAGGAGACAGCCAAACAGCCAAATAACATTGCATCGGCTAGGGTCAATGGCACACTATCCATAACGAGAGAGAAAATATTCAAATAGATGGCAATACCGTGAAATAGGGTGATCAGGAGGGATTTTTTAGATACTTTTTCTGTTACGGTGGTCATATATATTAGAAAGCACTTAAAAAACGTAGCGATTTCTACCGTTTCTAACCAATCCCTGGACTCCCTTCGGTGCTGTTTCAGCATGTAGCACACGACGTACATATCAGGGATGGTATGCAATCCTCTGCTATTCACTGCAGAGAAGAAGGAGAGAATGCCGATCACGATTTCGGTTTACATGTTGTCAGCCCCCGGCCACGCAGTCCTCGTTGGAGGCTCTAACGCAACAGTATTTTTCCCCGTGTGGGAGGTAGGCTATAGATAACAATCTTCTAAAGGGAGGCTGGGGATAGCATCTGTGTCAGCTGAACTAATACAGAAGGTTTGAGAAAGCACCGATGGAGGCCCGCTAAGAGGATCCCAACTCGACTGCTTTCTAACGAACGAGTACTTTTTGGTGGACACTATTCTCATCCAGCCCCCCATGCAAGAGGGATCCCCGATAACCGGGGAGAAACTACCAAAAGCATTCCTCTATTACCAGAATGCGGACTACCAGCTCATGAACAATGGACCCCTGAACGCTTCATGACCACAAGAATGGGGCCTTTTATCAATAGGCGAAAGCCAGGTACATAAAAAGGGCATGACCTGGAGCGCTATCAAAAAGAGTTCTCAAGCAATAAGCAAACGACCACCTATCAAATGCTGCTGAGTTGCCTCTGCAGCCCAAAGAGAAACACGGCGAAAGAGATGGCGCTGTGTGGGTGACATTCATCTCACAAGGAATCAGACTTTTTGCTGCAAGAAGCTACGTGGCTGGTGTAGATTAAGCGTTCGTAATAACGTGTAGAAATACTGGAGCAACATGGCCAAAAAGATAAGCTTCAAACCTAAAAGACTACGCAGATTTATGTCACAACGAAAACCGATGAATAAAGGTTTCAGCCCTGCCGCAGGGCCGAACGAAGAATCCTCGAAAGTCAGTGAGGTAACGGAAGTGCTGGAGAGCTTATTCGACGGACAGCTGAATCCACTGATGCATCCACCACCAACATCCTGTAGTATAATTAAGTTACAGGGTTGCGATACAAAGGTGATGACTGAAAAGATTTCGGCAAACCAAGTGTTTGCAAGACTTTTAACACTGAGACTAGGGAAATCCCCAGGCTGCGAAGACATAAGACCGTCATTCCTGGGGGACTGTGCCAAAGCGTTAAAATTACTCATTTGAAATCTAAACAGCGTAATGAGAAGACGAAGATTATCTGAAACATGTGATGTATTAGCGCTATACATTAACTATTAACTTCATTGACCTTTTCGTAAATTTTCATATAAATAGTTCGACAAGTCCATGTGTGATCAGATTGTTCGAAATGTGTAGCGCTAATACATCACATGTTTCAGATAATCTTTGTCTTCTCATTACGCTGTTTAAATTTATCAAAGGGACCAGTTGCTTTACATTTGAAATCTGTTCACGCACCCGCTGAAAATCAGTCAACCCACTAAAGAATGGCAGCGCGCTATCTTTTCACCAATTTTCAAGCTAGGAGATCGAAAACACCCAAGCAGTTAAGGACCAACTGCGTTGATTCCCATGGCGTCAGAAGTGTTGGAAAGCCCGTTCATAGATGCTGTTTGAGACTAACTAAACAGAAACAACGTTACTCATCCCATTCATCGCGGCTTCAGACGTGGACCGTCATGTGCCACAAACTTGATGATCACTTGGGATGGCCAGACCACTAGGTGGGGCAACAAGAAACCAGTGACGTTGTCTCTGGACTTCGCAAAACCTTTCGATGGTGTATCATACCTCATCATTCTCACCTAACTGACAAAACTGGGTACCACTGAGCTATTCATAGGGTCTTGTACGTCATATCTGCAGGAGGGAGGACTCTGCACTAAAGTGAACAGAATTCACTCAGCTTCCAGGAGTGCAAAAACAGGAGTTTCTCAAGGAGCGACCCCTAAGCCATTCCCATTCTGCTACTCACCAGCGGTATCCCCGCTCAAATCTCACCGTCTGTCCCCTTGTTTGCCAACAACATGAAAATACTGAAGACAATATTTGGAGAAGAGGGTATTAGTATGCTTCAAGACGATCTGCTACAGCTGGAGTACTGACCAGCAGTGAGTGGTTTTCAGCCTCAACCTGGGGAAGTACAGGGTGACGTCATCGCACACCGACAGCCACGCAAACCAGCTATACACTCGAAAAGTGAGGGGACACCAGTGACCACAGAGACTGACCGGAGAACAAACTTCTGCGACACGCTGAATACCCGTGCCAAATGTAAAGGAAAGGTGGAAAAGGCGAACGCCACCATGCGCCTTTTTAGAGCTCTGGCCATAGTATTCTTCGTCCTGGCACTCAAGGCCTATTTCAGACCGCATGTGGAGGCGTTCGACACGGTAACCCCGCTGTGCGGAAGAGTGACCCATACACTCTCAAGACGGTACAGAAAAAGGTAACAAGGTTGGTTGTCGGACTAGCAGGCAAAGAACACGCGCGAGGTCTTAGAAAAATTACTCTTTCATAACTAAGCAATCGAAGAAGAAAAGGCGACCGAATAACGGCATAAAAGACCATCCACCAGGTGAACTACCCCGCCGGACAACATTGTGGGTCAAAAGCCTGCAGTCTCATAGGGACATTAGTCGCATACCAGACCACTAGACAAAGAAGACAGCGCGATCTAACTCTTATTCAGAAAGAACGTTTGCCACATAAAACGCACTGCAGAAAGAAATAGACGCAGCTACATAAGTTTACTCGTCAGAAAGAATGTCCGAGAGGAAGGAAAGCACCGGTAGCCCGCCACCATAACTCGCCAGTATTTTCAGATAAATTTACACCCAGCTTTCGAAACGCAGTGTGCTCTTGCCGATTACGTAACTCACCATTGCCAGGATACTGCTGATACCGAGTGATTATACCCGTATCAATTTCTACTGCCGTTGTGTACAGAAGTGGCTTTTGCCCAATGTTTTGACGAGCAACATCCAAACAGTTGCCTACTCCGGAAGACTGTATGGCGCTATGGTTTATCCTTTCTGAACCTTTTCAGCTTGAGTAGGAGAAGTTACATTCAGATGTTGCCTGTAAAAATGGCATGTGTTCATACAGTTCATAATTCAAAATATATTATCATCATTACCATTAGAATAGCTGGTAGGAATAACGTGTTACTAACATTACTTATCGATAACGACTCAACAGAGATGGTCGATGATTTGGCCAGTGCTCTGGTATCGTCACATTACTGTAACCGAGTATTCTCGGCAGGTCGCGACATACAACCAGTGATCTTCACTAGGTGCGATTTTGAGATGAAACCAAAGCTAGTTGACCTGGGAAGTGTGCCGCAATCACCAAAATACCTCGATCCCGGTAAGTCCAGTAGTTTGGATGGGCCACCTCGCGTAGTATCGGCAACGCGGGATATCACCGCCGAACCATTGTTGGTGCCGTTTAACGTGTCACTGACGAGGTCTGAATCACCGAGTGAGGAAAGGGATGTTATTAACGTTCTGGCTGCCTGACGCCATTCGGTTAGTGTGGCTAGTGCGATCGTCAGGCTACCAGGAATGGTGACCCATAGCTTGGTCCCAAAATACATCGGGTGAATTAAGTTCCTGGTTGACAAACAGAATCGCCTCCGGTTTGGTCGCAGGTTCCTGACAAATCTCTTCACCGCCGCAGAATACCAGTCATGGTCTTAAAAGTACAGCGAATTTAAGAGCATCAGCTTCTTTCTGTGGCTTCCCAGGTCTGATGGTTGCCTCGCAGAATCATTCAGTGTTGTGATACAGATATATCTAATATATTGTATTCAACAGATGTCAGGCCGAGTTCGGAGTACTGGAAATGAGCAGCGAGCCTATGCTTAAAATATAGAATGCATGTGTTGGAGGGGATCCGGACAGTGGGGACTAAATAGATTAACGGCTCCTCTAACCTTTTAAGTGAGAAGCAACTACACCGCCTTGACCAATTCCCACTATTTTGCCGAAAGTCAGGGAAATACCCACTTGTTGGCTTGCCGTACCTTAGTTGGCGATTTGGGCACCAATTTGTCCCACCTCTTCCTCCCATTCAGAACTGGTCAGATCAAACGACGTCAATAGAGAGCTAGATCATCCGCGTCTGGAAATCCATTGCTTGGAACTAAATGTGAACCAGTAGAATTCTTCAGCAGAGTTTGATGTTCATGCATCTTCCATTGACACACTCAAGGCAAGATTGCATCCCCAGAGTAGTAGACATCGCAGAGATTAGTGTAGGCCACCTGGCCTGCGGTTCTTAATTCTGGAGACTGAATCTTACACATATGAATATCTAGGTGCACATACATATACATAGATGAATGATTTTCCGGTATTTAAAAGAAGTGGCGTAAGTTGACTTTATTTGTGAGTGTTGCCTCATTGACGAAAACAAACCAACTTGACTGCTAAGTGAGCAGTCAGTATGAGTAATGAAAACGTGGGAAATTGTTATCCACCCTGATTTAAGGACCATGAGCATTTCAAAGAACTTTGGAAACACCGTGCCGATCAACGTAAATAGCACCTTGAAGCATCCCAAATAGAGTTTCAGGGACGCAGTAAACACTAGTAACTGAAGAATATGGAGGCGAGCAACAGTGAAGCATTCGTCGCGTGAAAACTGATGTTTGTTTGAATAATCATCACGCGCTTGGAGGCACATTCGGTGGAAATCGTGCACCGTTGGACATGGTGAGTTGCGCTCCAACTCTGTCTATTTTGTCTTCTGATGTGGTCTAATACTGGTTGTTTTCCTTCAGAGTGAGAACACCTTGATAAGAACAAGGAAGTTTATGTCTAACCGCTTGCTGTGTCGCAAGCAGATGGTTGTGGACATTTTACATCCCGGTCGTTGTGTCCTTTCAAGAAGTGAGATACGAGAAAGACTTGCAAAAACGTACAAAACTTCGCCTGATGTTGTCTTTCCGTATGGTTTCCGGACTCAATTTGGTGGAGGAAAGTCAACGGGGTTCGCTCTTGTCTACGATTCGTTGGACCATGCTAAGAAATTTGAGCCGAAGTTCCGTCTTGCCAGGGTAAGTCGACTCTTCGCAATTAAACATTCCATAGAATAAATTGGTGACAATACCACAAAAAGGAAGAAAGATAAGGAAGGAAAGGAAGAACAAGGCTAAAAAGTTCAGAGGAACTAAACCAAAGAAGGCGAAGAAAGATTCTTAAGCCTATCTAAATGAATGTACAAATAAATGGTCTGACCTCGCTTGTATGTTCTAAATGTATGTATTCTGGTTAGTGTTAGTTATTGCATTTTACGCCGTTTCATTTTGAAATTCGGCTACATACAGCTCAGCGGTAAGGTATGTAGAAGCTCTTTCCGGAGCCTTCAGTATGAAGGAGCTCGTAATGTGGTCTGCATTATCTCATGAATTGGGTTGCCCACAAACACACTGAGCTGTTACTCCTTGACAACCGTTCTGCGGCCACATACTTCGCTCCATCTTTTATTAGAGACCCACAGTGTCACATGGAAGCTGAGCGTATCTGGTTTTCATGCGTCTTGGTTATCCGTATAACTACACGTCAGAGTTAAGTGTATAAGTCCTCTACATCTATTATTTGCGAACTGAATGTTATCCCATCATGAGACTGTAAGGCACCCGTCTCACTTGGGAAGCCAGTCGTTGCAGTTTTCCATAACCGTTGTCTATTGGAGTTCTCTGCCTCGATGGTTGTCGTTTAGTTGCCTCTGACTAAGTTCTTTCTAAATGATTCTGGTTACATTGGATAAGCTGTGATAAATATTCTCCTACTTCGTTGCTTATGTTAGTTGATGTCTTCAGTCAGTCCGTGACGATTTCATTTGGTATTAGACTTGGGAACAAGTTATTTAGAGTGACATTGACTTTCCAAAACACCTGCGCATAACCACAAGGGTAAATGCTCGTCTCTTTGTGTGTGCATTTTATAGCTGCATATGCCTGTTCAGCAAACTAGTTCAACTGTGTCTTGAGTGGTGTAAATTTGTCATGTAATGGTGATGTCAGTGTTGTTTTTACGTGGTATACATCAAAGATGTACAGCTTTCCCTGCGTGGAATGAAGCACCTAATAGTGAGCCTCATATACTAGAACTTATATATGGTGTGCCCTGGGGTGGGGCAACCAAAAGTGACTCATTTCGTTTGTTTCTGTTACTTATCAAATGGTCGTATCTGTTGCCTCCTACTTCTAGACCTCGGGTTAGAAAATATCCCGTAGGGATTTCTACTCGCTTCCAGTCTCAGCATCTTTGTGGAAAAAATATTCATGACCCAACCCAACCGCCTAAGCTTTATTACATAAGTTACGAACTAAACTTATGTGAGGGCTTATGATTCTGCTCGGTTGCCTATGTCGAAGTGGGTGTAACGGGATTTGAAGCTAGAACCGATTGCTTGAAAGTCGGATGCTTAAACCAATTAGTCACATTTCCATCTTTTACTGAACACTTATTGTTAGCGATCTTGCGTGAGGCTAGATGATTCCTTATCTTCAAACCTCAAATATCATACTAAGCAGAAGAAAGTGCTTTGCAAGCGATAGCTGCATTCCAAACGATAGGTGGAGAGATCAACGTGAATGCTGCCACATAAGCGCATTAATTTAAGTTGCCAGACTTCACAGCAGCATGCAAAGAAGTGGGTATGTATAGACAAAAGATCGTAGTTCGCTCACTGACTTCACCTTATTTTGCCAACAGCGAGTAGGTGATCTGCTGAAAACCTTGTTTCCCTTGATTTGTTTTTTCCACTTTATCATTCTTGTTTACTGTAATATCTCGTTCTGTTAGCCGAACGTGTCATTTTTGTGCTAGGCTGTGCGCTAGTCTACGAGCTGATTCACAGTATAATTTAAAAAGACAACCTTACAGGCCCTAGGATGGAGACGTCTGCTCAATTATAGAGGCTTCGTTAAAATAATGCACACCAAACATCTTTCACTGAGAAGTGCCGTCATGAGATCTTTCGATTCGTGCTGTTTCTAGGCAAGAGGTATAGCTAGTGCTGGTTACCATATCTCTACTCTATTTCACGACCCATTGTAGAGCTGGCGTCTAGTTTAGAGATGAGTACGCCTGAGACCAACCCTCTTTTCCTTCGTTTTCTACTCCTTAGCTCCAGTTAGGTGTCCAATCATTGTTGAATATCAAACTCTCATGCCTTTAATGTCCGAGCGTTTTATGCAGTCAGTATTGTGCTTCTTTCAATCTCCTATCCCTGGTGGCAAGTTGTTTTTGTAGCTATGTGCATGTTCGGTTGTGATGCTTTGTTCAAGTTTTTTGCTGTGATACCTTATGTCGATGACCTTTAAGTGTCACTAACAATGATGTTTTCTTGGCTGCCCTCTTAATGCGGCGGCTTTAATGCATTTGTTCAACCCAATACGCGTTTTTCTTATTTAATTTGCGGTTTTGGGCAATAATCACATGTACACATTCGTGACTATTTCATGGTGTGACTTCTGGTGAAATAGACGTTCCCCTCATGTAGTGTTATGCACTCGATTAATGTTTTCATTCGCCGGTTTTTGCAAGTGTTTCACTACAATTCGAGAACTGGATTTCCTGTTAGATGTGAATGGGGTTTGAAGCACATGACAGCGCCATATTTTAATGCTAAATTTACTACTATCTGATGGAAATCCCGGCACTTAAATTAGGCTTGATTTTCCATTCACTCCCTCCCCTGAGCCACATTTTTGTCGAGCAGCGGCCGGCCGTTTTGCGTTACTACCCATAAAACTGTCCTTGATAACATAGTTCACACCCCTTAAATATTTGTTGAAAAACGTTATATATGGAATGAATTTGTTGAAATATTAAATGCCGAGAATTAGATCTCCGAACCATATTTGGTGGAGTAATCATGTTATTCTACGCCGGTAACTAGGCCATGCGTGTTGTTTGCCACAGCTGCCGAACAAACTTTTCACTCCTCAGGACGACTCACACTTTGTAGCATTCAGTTTCTTTGCAATGATGCTTTACACCATAAATTCTAATGGCCAAGAGTGGCCCGACTAATGCACTGTTAGTCTGAACCTCCAGATGAACCTAAGGCCGGCTTGATCCCTGTAGACTCTGGGAACTAGTGGATAAAATTCTTCGTGACGTGGTTCGGCGGTGTTCACGACGGGGGAGAAATCACTTCAAGGTTTTGTCATCGTTTTGAACTAACTGTTTATCATCCCTTCCTGACACTGTTACCAGCTTGAGTTACATCTGCTGCACGTTGGTCTTTTATTAACCCCTAGCGCTTTCATGTTTTAGACATCACGATCACCAATCACTGTAATACACAAAGAAGTCGCAACGATTTCATTAGCCATCGACGCAATCAAGAACAACAGTTCAGTAGTTTGTGATATTTACGGTGTCTAATAACATTTTGAGAAGGGCGGGAAGATGAAAGAAACTAATTTACAACAAATGGTGGGTATATGACCGACCGTTTTAGTACGAAGTTGTTGTATCTGCGTGTCCGTGAACTTCATCACTAACTAACCAGTGTAAACCTTCGTAAAAATTATCACTGATACAGCTAGTATGATGAGTAAATGCAGGTGCATGCACCTACACTTCATACAGGACACTAGATAGATTACTGTCGGCTGCGGTTTGACTACGTTCACAACATACACTTAGTATTGACGTGATATTGTGATTTTCCAGTAGTATACATACATTTAAGTGGGTTAACATTTGTGGAATGTTCACCCTGGAAGTAGAAAAGGATCTAGAATCTTAAGCCGTCGCGAAGGTAACAAAGATCACGCGGATTCAGCAACGAGTGGGGATAAGCACAAGCAAATCGTGGTGGTAATGGCGGTAACAAAAGTAATGCTACGGTAGTAACAGACCGCACGTACTGTGTAGCCAAAATGCTTTGGTAGTCTGTTCTTCTTACCCGCAGAATAATGATATGGTGAGCAAAGGCACTATCAGCACATTCACTCAGTTCTCAATAAAATTCTTTATTTAAACTTATCGTTTTTAGCGCCCGTGGAATACGAAGCACTTTACATAGTGGGATGACCAGTGAATACGGAAATAACTCCATACCATTAAAGGCATACAGTGGTATGAGTCATTTATGTTCACAAACAGAGTACGGTGAACGTTGGTATCGGTGTGTGTAACTGTGTGCATTACTTACAGTAATTTTTGTCTGTGTTCCTTGTCCCTATTAGAGGGTCTATAAGCTTCTCCAACCAGATGCTTGGCGTATCTGGCCGCAAAGTGGCACCGGATTGAGTCTCAGAGCTCCGTCATTACAGTGTCACTGGTTTGTCCACTTTTGACCAGTTGTCCAAGTACATTGCAGCCCCCTCTCTCCTTTTGTCGTCCACCCCTCCAAAACAAAAACATATCACCCGTGTTCACTTCGGTGTCACTTATGTCTGGCGATAGCCATGTTTTGCTAGGATTTTACCTTTTTGGAAAAGGTGGGGGCAGGGGGATAGCAGCTTTGGCATTTTGTCCAGGAGTACCCTCGCATTGCCTTAAAGACACTTAGAGGTGCTTTTCACAACATGAGAAATATCTGGACCAACCTACAGCACAGTTTTGGATGTGGTGGAGGTTTTTAACCGACCAGACGGTTCCCATGGGGCCGGTCCAGTTAAGTTTCATTCTGGGATGATCGGTATAGTCAGTATTGGGTGGTTTTTCTGGCCTAACCCTCAACGTGCCAGCATAAGGTGATGGCGACCTGAACACAGGGAGTAGTGGTTGTTTGCTGTTGTCGCAGTATTGTAGGTCTGCTTTGATGGCTGTGACTATCCCCGCTCCTGACTTCATACCACATCTCTGGCACCGTGGTTGGGACCTCCTGGTATTTGGAGTTGACGGAGTTAGTCTGGGTGGGACCGAGGTTGTCAGGTGTGGAGGACTTGGGAGCTTGCCGATTACCACGACCTCAAACCCACCTAGCCCCAGCCGCGGTGATGACCACTCCTGCTGTTGGACACCATGGGTGTACTTACCTCCTAGAGTACCAGTTGTCGGTTCAGGTATCCCAAGGTTGGTCACGTTACTAGGCCTTGTGGATCAGGTGCTTCTTGAGATGTCCTTCTCACTGGCCATGATAGGTTAGGTCAGTCCCAGTGCTGGAGCATCTGCTGACAGCCAGCGTGCTCGAAGGTAAGAAGGACCTTTCAGCCTCTGTAGTTACTCCCATCAGC